CTGTTGTCCGATTTGTCAGGACATGGATGTGTGGCTCTGAGACTCTGTTGGATCTTTATGACACTGACTGCATCTGTTGTGTGATATGACAATACATGATTATGTGGCTCTGTGACTGTATGTTGGATCTATATGACACTGACTGCATCTGTTGTCCGATATGACAAGACATGGGTGTGTGGTTCTGTGATTGTATGTTGGACGTATATGACAGTGACTGCATCTGTTGTCTGATATGACAATACATGATTGTGTGATTCTGTGACTGTGTGTTGGATCTATATGACAGTGACTGCATCTGTTGTCCGATATGACAATAGATAGGTGTGTGGTTCTGTGACTGTATGTTGGATGTATATGACACTGACTGCATCTGTTGATCGATATGACAATATATGATTGTGTGGCTCTGTGACTGTGTGTTCGATTTATATGACACTGACTGCATCTGTTGTGTGATATGACAATACATGAGAGTGTGATTCTGTGACTGTGTGTTCGATCTATATGACACTGACTGCATCTGTTGATCGATATTACAAAACATGGGTGTGTGGTTCTGTGACTGTATGTTGGGTCTATATGACACTGACTGCATATGTTGATTAATATGACAATACATGAGTGTGTGTGGATTCTGTGACTGTTTGTTGGATCTATATGACACTGACTGCATCTGTTGTCCGATATGACAATACATGGGTGTGTGGATCTGTGAGACTGTATGTTGGATCTATATGACAGTGACTGCATCTCTTGTCGATATGACAATACATGGGTATGTGATTCTGTGATTGTATGTTGGACGTATATGACAGTGACTGCATATGTTGATTAATATGACAATACATGGGTGTGTGGTTCTGTGACTGCATGTTGGATATATATGACACTGACTGCATCTGTTGTGTGGTATGACAATACATAAGTGTGTTTCTGTGACTGTGTTGGATCTATCTGACACTGACTGCATCTGTTGTCCGATATGACAATGCATGGGTGTGTGGTTCTGTGACTGTGTGTTGGATCTATATGACACTGAGTGCATCTGTTGTGTGATATGACAATACATGGGTGTGTGGCTCTGTGACTGTTAGTTGGATCTATATGACACTGACTGCATCTGTTGTCCGATATGACAATACATGGATGTGTGGTTCTGAGGTTCTGTTGTTGGATCTATATGACACTGACTGCATCTGTTGTGTGATATGACAATACATGAGTGTGTAGCTCTGAGACTGTATGTTGGATCTATATGACAAAGTGACTGCATCTGTTGATCCGATATGACAATACATGGGTGTGTGGTTCTGTGACTGTATGTTGAATCTATATGACACTGACTGCATCTGTTGATCGATATGACAATACATGGGTGTGTGGTTCTGTGACTGTGTGTTGGATCTATATGACACTGACTGCATCTGTTGTCCGATATGACAATACATGGAGTTGTGTGGTTCTGTGACTGTGTTGGATCTATATGACACTGACTGCATCTGTTGTCCGATATGACAAAACATGTGTGTGTGGCTCTGTGACTGTGTCTTGGATTTATATGACACTGACTGCATCTGCTGATCGATATGACAATACATGGGTGTGTGGCTCTGCGACTGTATGTTGGATCTATATGACACTGACTGCATCTGTTGTCCGATATGACAATACATGAGATGTGTGGTTCTGTGACTGTATGTTGGATCTATATGACACTGACTGCATCTGTTGTCCGATATGACAATACATGGATGTGTGGTTCTGTGACTGTATGTTGGATATATATGACAGTGACTGCATCTGTTGTCCGATATGACAATACATGGATGTGTGGCTCTGAGACTGTATGTTGGATCTATATGACACTGACTGCATCTGTTGTTGTCCGATATGACAATACATGAGTGTGTGGTTCTGTGACTGTATGTTGGATCTATATATGACACTCGACTGCATCTGCTGATGATATGACAATACATGGGTGTGTGGTTTCTGTGACTGTGTGTTGGATCTATATGACAGTGACTGCATCTGTTGTCCGATATGACAATACATGAAGTGTGTGGTTCTGTGACTGTGTTGGATCTATATGACACTGACTGCATCTGTTCTCCGATGGATATGACAATACATGCATTAGTATTGTGGCTCTGTGACTGTGTGTTGGATCTATATGACAACTGACTGCATCTGTTGTCCGATATGACAATACATAGGTGTGTGGTTCTGTGACTGTATGTTGGATCTATATGACACTGACTGCATCTGTTGTCTGATATGACAATACATGATTGTGTGATTCTGTGACTGTGTGTTGGATCTATATGACAGTGACTGCATCTGTTGTCCGATATGACAATAGATAGGTGTGTGGTTCTGTGACTGTATGTTGGATGTATATGACACTGACTGCATCTGTTGATCGATATGACAATATATGATTGTGTGGCTCTGTGACTGTGTGTTCGATTTATATGACACTGACTGCATCTGTTGTGTGATATGACAATACATGAGAGTGTGATTCTGTGACTGTGTGTTCGATCTATATGACACTGACTGCATCTGTTGATCGATATTACAAAACATGGGTGTGTGGTTCTGTGACTGTATGTTGGGTCTATATGACACTGACTGCATATGTTGATTAATATGACAATACATGAGTGTGTGATTCTGTGACTGTGAGTTGGATATATATGACACTGACTGCATCTGTTGTGTGATATGACAATACATAAGTGTGGTTCTGTGACTGTGTTGGATCTATCTGACACTGACTGCATCTGTTGTCCGATATGACAATGCATAGGTGTGTGGTTCTGTGACTGTGTGTTGGATCTATATGACACTGAGTGCATCTGTTGTGTGATATGACAATGCATGAGTGTGTGGCTCTGTGACTTAGTTGGATCTATATGACACTGACTGCATCTGTTGTCCGATATGACAAGACATGGATGTGTGGTTCTGAGACTGTTTTGGATCTATATGCCACTGACTGCATCTGTTGTGTGATATGACAATACATGAGTGTGTAGCTCTGTGACTGTATGTTGGATCTATATGACAATGATTGCATCTGTTGTCCGATATGACAATGCATGGGTGTGTGGTTCTGTGATTGTATGCTGAATCTATATGACACTGACTGCATCTGTTGATCGATGTGACAATACATGGGTGTGTGGTTTGTGACTGTGTGTTGGATCTACATGAAAGTGACTGCATCTGTTGTCCGATATAACAATACATAGGTTTGTGTTTCTGTGACTGTGTTGGATCTATATGACACTGACTGCATCTGTTGTCCGATATGACAAAACATGTGTGTGTGGCTCTGTGACTGTGTCTTGGATTTATATGCCACTGACTGCATCTGCTGATCGATATGACAATACATTAGTGTGTGGCTCTGCGACTGTATGTTGGATCTATATGACACTGACTGCATCTGTTGTCCGATATGACAAGACATGGATGTGTGGTTCTGTGACTGTATGTTGGATCTATAAGACACTGACTGCATCTGTTGTCCGATATGACAAGACATGGATGTGTGGTTCTGTGACTGTATGTTGGATATATATGACAGTGACTGCATCTGTTGTCCGATATGACAAGACATGGATGTGTGGCTCTGAGACTGTTTTGGATCTATATGCCACTGACTGCATCTGTTGTGTGATATGACAATACATGAGTGTGTGGTTCTGTGACTGTATGTTGGATTTATATGACACTGACTGCGTCTGCTGATCGACATGACAGTACATGGGTGTGTGGTTTGTGACTGTGTGTTGGATCTATATGACAGTGACTGCATCTGTTGTCCGATATGACAATACATAGGTGTGTGGTTCTGTGACTGTGTTGGATCTATATGACACTGACTGCATCTGTTGTCCGATATGACAATACATGTGTGTGTGGCTCTGTGTCTGTGTCTTGGATCTATATGACAATGATTGCATCTGTTGTCCGATATGACAATACATGTGTGTGTGGCTTTGTGACTTTGTGTTGGTTCCATATGACAGTGACTGCATCTGTTGATCGATATGACAATGCATGGGTGTGTGGTTCTGTGACTGTGTTGGATCTATAAGACACTGACTGCATCTGTTGTCCGATATGACAATGCATAGGTGTGTGGTTCTGTGACTGTGTGTTGGATCTATATGACACTGACTGCATCTGTTGTCCGATATGACAATACATGGATGTGTGGCTCTGTGACTGTGTTGGATCTATATGGCACTGACTGCATCTGTTGTCCGATATGACAATACATGGATGTGTGGTTCTGTGACTGTGTGTTGGATTTATATGTCACTGACTGCATCTGTTGTGTGATATGACAATACACGGGTGTGTGGTTCTGTGACTCTTTGTTGGTCTATATGACACTGACTGCATCTGTTGTGTGATATGACAATACATGGGTGTGTGGCTCTGAGACTGTGCTGGATCTATATGTCACTGACTGCATCTGTTGTCCGATATGACAAGACATGGGTGTGTGGTTCTGTGTACTGTGACTGTATTACTGGTTCTGATACTAACGTTGTCTGTAGTTCACCTTCTGACACCTACAGTGCCTCTGGTCTTCTGTAATGCTGATACCCGTGAAGATCCGGGTTAGAATTGATCTTCAGTAACCCATGCTTGTCGTAAGAGGCGATTAACAGGATCGGGTGGTCAGGCTCGCTGACTTGGTTGACACATGTCATTGGTTCCCAATTGCGCAGATCGATGCTCATGTTGTTGATCACTAGATTGTCTGGTCCAGATCCGATAATTAACAGACCGCCGCCATATATCTTGAAGATAGCTGAGTGCAGCGTAAACTATACTCACTCACTCACTCACTCACTCTAACGCTGACTATTTCCTGTAACCCTCTATGACAATGATTCTCCCTTTCTCTGAGGTCCTCCATTATAATGATCATGTATGTGATCCATAATATTATGTCTCTTGTCCTTCATGTTCAGGTTATGATGAGCTTTTCGCGCTGGTTACGGACTTCGACGGCAAGATCTACAAATACAGCATGCGGGACAAAAGCATTAAACGCATCCCCGTGTCGGACTCCGGACAAGGGCCCGAGGCGATAGACTACGATCCTGTTACTTCTCAGATGTTCTGGTCCAACATAAGATCAGATAAAATAAAGCGAGCAGATCTTGACGGAGGGAACGAAAGGATTGTCAGATCAGAAACAGAAAGTAGGTTCTTTCAGAAATAGCAGAGAAATGTAACATTGAAGTGTGTTTTTGATGCTCCCATGAGATACTCAGTACCGTGGGTCTTATAACATGCATCTTATTCACATGGGGCGGTGGATAGCCTAGTGGTTAAAGCGTCCGCTCGTCACGCCGAAGACCCGGGTTCGATTCCCCACTTGGGTACAATGTGTGAAGCCTATTTGTGGTGTCCCTCGCCGTGATATTGCTGGAATATTGCTAAAAGCGGCGTAAAACCATACTCACTCACTCGCTCATCTTATTCACCTGCGTTTGTACACAAATAAATGCGTGTGGATTTTAAGATTGCATCCGGACTTAGCACACCAAGGCTGATTAATAATATTGGTACGTTTTCAGCCACACAGATATTGCGTGGGCATTACATGATATCATCGTATCAGTTGAGCCAACTGCTGACCTCTGGGAGCTGGAGAAACTTGAGGAACGTGCATTGACAAAGTACATGCAGATAAGGGCTTAACACCAAAAGACAGATAGGGGTATTCTTTCTATGACCAAATGTAGATGTCGGCATCACCAGAGATGATCGCAAGAACCAACACTATGGCCATGATGTACCGGCGAGTGACTGAGCGTTATACTGCCGTCTCAGCTGATTCCAAGAGTTAGCACTTGTCACAACAAAACTTGATATGAAGAGTGTACCACAGCTTCCGATATCTCATTAAAAAACAAATGACACAGAATGTCCCTTGATATCGTGGGTCTGTTTGAACTGATGTAGGCAGCTTCTTGTCGAGTGATTATGGATGTAACCTGGGTTCAAAGCACTTGACGCATTGTCATCGCCACCAGAGGCAAAGACCGTCCCATCGGCTGAAATAGCAATTACCTTCATGTTGTTGGATACCGGGGACGTCGTCATAGTGGACTATCTCCCACAAGGCCAGACCATATACGGAACATGATATGTGGCAATTACGAGAGGATGTAAATATAGATGTTGAAAGCTGAGCAAAGGACAGGACAGTGTGTCAGAAAAATTAGTCAATGCCACACAGCTATCCGTGGGTGTCTTTCAGTTCCTTCACGGCTCACCATATTCTCCTCATATGGCCATGCTCTGATTTTGACGTCCAAGCAGCTGGAGAGGAAGTGTTGGACAACCAAGAGAAGAACTTCAGCCAAACGTGCATGAAAGAAGCCAAACATCGCTTGCAAATGTTACCAGAGCGGAGAGGGATTATGTTGAAACAGAAACCGTTTGTGTCTCTGTGTCTTTCCATGCGAGTTTCAGAATGCAGACTTGATCTTGTCACTATATGGCTGGAATAATCCCGATGTGACGAAAAGCCCAGCTTAACTCAACCATGTGAGGCTCACAACTTATCATTCAGCCGACCCCCAAACCCACTTTCCGTTTCTATTCAATCCGTAATAATATTATTTTTGTTAACTAGCATTATGTAATTAAGAACGTTTTTCCTGCGCATAGCACGTTTTTCGAATCGACTTCTAATACCTGTAAAATACATCGTTTGTCAGATGGTGTGTTTTGAAATGATCATTATCTGTAAACACATGGTATACATCTCCAAGAGGTAAAACTAAGGTGTATTCCCCACAGCGCCACGGGGTATTGCCGTCGACTACATCAACCGTCTGATGTTCTACACAGAAGAAAAGATCGACATAGTTGCCATGCTAAACCTCTCCAGCTCGGAACACAAAGTCCTGGTCCGTACAGGCATGGACCGACCTCTGGCCATAACTATAAACATGAAGACCAAGTAAGTTTCAAATCATTTATTTTCGTGTTTTTATTTGCCAGTAATATGTACCCTTCTTACAGTCATGCTACCACCAACTATTGGAACAAAGGTAAGTGTTGACAACTGGGACAAACCAGTGATGCTGCAAATAACAGGTGTTTTTATTGACAGAGTTATCTACTGGAGTGACATCGGATCACCAGCGAAGATAGAGACGGCGAATTATGACGGGACTGGCAGAAAAGTGTTGAAGTCTGACGACCTGAGGTGGCCTATAGCACTGTCTCTTGATGAGACTGGTAAGGATGCACTTGGTGTTTATTCTGATTTCACTTTGTAGTTTCCTGTTGATGTTTCATAATAAGGTCCGCAATGATACGGATGATGAAAGATAAAGATGCCGAATGATGGTCAAGATAAGGGTAAGGGTTTAGGTCAGAGGGTTCACGCGAGTAATCAGTGAGGGTGCAAGTCATATGCCAATTGGATATTTAATAAGTGCAATGTGGGTTTATATCTTTATCTTGGGAATGTTGAGTTCAGTACCTACTGGGTTCATTGTGCCTTCAGTCTGCCATACAGGGAGGGTTCATTGTACCTTCAGTCTGCCATACAGGGTGGGTTCATTGTACCTTCAGTCTGCCATACAGGGTGGGTTCATTGTACCTTCAGTCTGCCATACAGGGAGGGTTCATTGTACCTTCAGTCTGCCATACAGAGAGGGTTCATTGTACCTTCAGGCTGCCATACAGAGAGGGTTCATTGTGCCTTCAGTCTGCCATACAGGGAGGGTTCATTGTACCTTCAGGCTGCTACACAGTGGGGGTTCATTGTACCTTCAGGCTGCCATACAGAGAGGGTTCATTGTGCCTTCAGTCTGTCATACAGGGAGGGTTCATTGTACCTTCAGTCTGCCATACAGGGAGGGTTCATTGTACCTTCAGTCTGCCATACAGGGTGGGTTCATTGTACCTTCAGTCTGCCATACAGGGTGGGTTCATTGTGCCTTCAGTCTGCCATACAGGGTGGGTTCATTATACTTCAGTCTGACATACAGGGTGGGTTCATTATACTTCAGTCTGCCATACAGGGTGGGTTCATTATACCTTCAGTCTGCCATACAGGGTGGGTTCATTGTGCCTTCAGTCTGCCATACAGGGAGGGTTCATTGTGCGTTTCAGTCTGCCATACAGGAAGGGTTCATTGTACCTTCAGTCAGCCATACAGAGAGGGTTCATTGTGCGTTTCAGTCTGCCATACAGGGAGGGTTCATTGTACCTTCAGTCTGCCATACAGGGAGGGTTCATTGTACCTTCAGTCTGCCATACAGGGTGGGTTCATTGTACCTTCAGTCTGCCATACAGGGTGGGTTCATTATACTTCAGTCTGCCATAAAGGTGGGTTCATTGTGCCTTCAGTCTGCCATACAGGGAGGGTTCATTGTGCGTTTCAGTCTGCCATACAGGAAGGGTTCATTGTACCTTCAGTCTGCCATACAAGAAGGGTTCATTGTACCTTCAGTCTGCCAGACAGGGAGGGTTCATTGTACCTTCAGTCTGCCATACAGGAAGAGTTCATTGTACCTTCAGTCTGCCATACAGGGAGGGTTCATTGTACCTTCAGTCTGGCATGCAGGGAGGGTTCATTGTACCTTCAGTCTGCCATACAGAGAGGGTTCATTGTACCTTCAGGCTGCCATACAGAGAGGGTTCATTGTGCCTTCAGTCTGCCATACAGGGAGGGTTCATTGTACCTTCAGGCTGCCACACAGTGGGGGTTCATTGTACCTTCAGTCTACCATACAGAGAGGGTTCATTGTACCTTCAGGCTGCCATACAGAGAGGGTTCATTGTACCTTCAGTCTGCCATACAGGGAGGGTTCATTGTACCCTCAGGCTGCCACACAGTGGGGGTTCATTGTACCTTCAGTCTGCCATACAGAGAGGGTTCATTGTACCTTCAGTCTGCCATACAGGGAGGGTTCATTGTACCTTCAGTCTGCCATACAGAGAGGGTTCATTGTACCTTCAGTCTGCCATACAGGGAGGGTTCATTGTACCTTCAGGCTGCCATACAGAGAGGGTTCATTGTGCCTTCAGTCTGCCATACAGGAGGGTTCATTGTACCTTCAGGTTCTGCCATACAGTGGGGGTTCATTGTACCTTCAGTCTGCCATACAGGGTGGGTTCATTGTACCTTCAGTCTGCCATACAGGGGAGGGTTCATTGTACCTTCAGTCTGCCATACAGGGAGGGTTCATTGTACCTTCAGTCTGCCATACAGGGTGGGTTCATTGTGCCTTCAGTCTGCCTTCAGTCTGCCAAGGGTGGTTTCATTGTACCTTCAGTCTGACATACAGGGAGGGTTCATTGTGCCTTCAGTCTGCCATACAGGAAGGGTTCATTGTACCTTCAGTCTGCCATACAGGGAGCGTTCATTGTACCTTCAGTCTGCCATACAGGGAGGGTTAATTGTGCCTTCAGTCTGCCATACAGGGAGGGTTCATTGTACCTTCAGTCTGCCATACAGGGAGAGTTCATTGTACCTTCAGTCTGCCATACAGGGAGGGTTCATTGTACCTTCAGACTGCCATACAGAGAGGGTTCATTGTACCTTCAATCTGCCATACAGAGAGGGTTCATTGTACCTTCAGTCTGCCATACAGGGTGGGTTCGTTGTACCTTCAGTCTGCCACACAGTGGGGGTTTATTGTACCTTCAGTCTGCCATACAGGGTGGGTTCATTGTACCTTCAGTCTGCCATACAGAGAGGGTTCATTGTGCCTTCAGGCTGCCATACAGGGAGGGTTCATTGTGCCTTCAGTCTGCCATACAGGGAGGGTTCATTGTACCTTCAGTCTGCCATACAGGGAGAGTTCATTGTACCTTCAGTCTGCCATACAGGAAGGGTTCATTGTACCTTCAGTCTGGCATGCAGGAAGGGTCCATTGTACCTTCAGTCTGCCATACAGGGTGGGTTCGTTGTACCTTCAGTCTGCCACACAGTGGGGGTTTATTGTACCTTCAGTCTGCCATACAGGGTGGGTTCATTGTACCTTCAGTCTGCCATGCCATTACAGGGAGGGTTCATTGTGCCTTCAGTCTGCCATACAGGGAGGGTTCATTGTACCTTCAGTCTGCCATACAGGAGAGTTCATTGTACCTTCAGTCTGCCATACAGGAAGGGTTCATTGTACCTTCAGTCTGACATGCAGGAAGGGTTCATTGTACCTTCACCTTCAGTCTTGCCATACAGGGAGGGTTCATTGTACCTTCAGGCTGCCAGACCGGGAGAGTTCATTGTACCTTCAGTCTGCCATACAGGGAGAGTTCATTGTACCTTCAGTCTGCCATACAGGGAGGGTTCATTGTACCTTCAGTCTGCCATACAGAGAGGGTTCATTGTACCTTCAGGCTGCCATACAGAGAGGGTTCATTGTGCCTTCAGTCTGCCATACAGGGAGGGTTCATTGTACCTTCAGGCTGCCACACAGTGGGGGTTCATTGTACCTTCAGTCTACCATACAGAGAGGGTTCATTGTACCTTCAGGCTGCCATACAGAGAGGGTTCATTGTACCTTCAGTCTGCCATACAGGGAGGGTTCATTGTACCCTCAGGCTGCCACACAGTGGGGGTTCATTGTACCTTCAGTCTGCCATACAGAGAGGGTTCATTGTACCTTCAGTCTGCCATACAGGGAGGGTTCATTGTACCTTCAGTCTGCCATACAGAGAGGGTTCATTGTACCTCCAGTCTGCCATACAGGGAGGGTTCATTGTACCTTCAGGCTGCCATACAGAGAGGGTTCATTGTGCCTTCAGTCTGCCATACAGGGAGGGTTCATTGTACCTTCAGGCTGCCACACAGTGGGGGTTCATTGTACCTTCAGTCTGCCATACAGAGAGGGTTCATTGTACCTTCAGTCTGCCATACAGAGAGGGTTCATTGTACCTTCAGTCTGCCATACAGGGAGAGTTCATTGTACCCTCAGGCTGCCACACAGTGGGGGTTCATTGTACCTTCAGTCTGCCATACAGGGAGGGTTCATTGTACCTTCAGTCTGCCATACAGGGAGGGTTCATTGTACCTTCAGTCTGCCATACAGGGAGGGTTCATTGTACCTTCAGTCTGCCATACAGGGTGGGTTCATTGTACTTCAGTCTGCCATAAAGGGTGGTTTCATTGTACCTTCAGTCTGACATACAGGGAGGGTTCATTGTGCGTTTCAGTCTGCCATACAGGAAGGATTCATTGTACCTTCAGTCTGCCATACAGGGAGCGTTCATTGTACCTTCAGTCTGCCATACAGGGAGGGTTAATTGTGCCTTCAGTCTGCCAGACAGGGAGGGTTCATTGTACCTTCAGTCTGCCATACAGGGAGAGTTCATTGTACCTTCAGTCTGCCATACAGGGAGGGTTCATTGTACCTTCAGACTGCCATACAGAGAGGGTTCATTGTACCTTCAATCTGCCATACAGAGAGGGTTCATTGTACCTTCAGTCTGCCATACAGGGTGGGTTCGTTGTACCTTCAGTCTGCCACACAGTGGGGGTTTATTGTACCTTCAGTCTGCCATACAGGAAGGGTTCATTGTACCTTCAGTCTGCCATACAGAGAGGGTTCATTGTGCCTTCAGGCTGCCATACAGGGAGGGTTCATTGTGCCTTCAGTCTGCCATACAGGGAGGGTTCATTGTACCTTCAGTCTGCCATACAGGGAGAGTTCATTGTACCTTCAGTCTGCCATACAGGAAGGGTTCATTGTACCTTCAGTCTGGCATGCAGGAAGGGTCCATTGTACCTTCAGTCTGCCATACAGGGTGGGTTCGTTGTACCTTCAGTCTGCCACACAGTGGGGGTTTATTGTACCTTCAGTCTGCCATACAGGGTGGGTTCATTGTACCTTCAGTCTGCCATACAGAGAGGGTTCATTGTGCCTTCAGGCTGCCATACAGGGAGGGTTCATTGTGCCTTCAGTCTGCCATACAGGGAGGGTTCATTGTACCTTCAGTCTGCCATACAGGGAGAGTTCATTGTACCTTCAGTCTGCCATACAGGAAGGGTTCATTGTACCTTCAGTCTGACATGCAGGAAGGGTTCATTGTACCTTCAGTCTGCCATACAGAGAGGGTTCATTGTACCTTCAGGCTGCCAGACCGGGAGGGTTCATTGTACCTTCAGTCTGCCATACAGGGAGAGTTCATTGTACCTTCAGTCTGCCATACAGGGAGGGTTCATTGTACCTTCAGTCTGGCATGCAGGGAGGGTTCATTGTACCTTCAGTCTGCCATACAGAGAGGGTTCATTGTACCTTCAGGCTGCCATACAGAGAGGGTTCATTGTGCCTTCAGTCTGCCATACAGGGAGGGTTCATTGTACCCTCAGGCTGCCACACAGTGGGGGTTCATTGTACCTTCAGGCTGCCATACAGAGAGGGTTCATTGTGCCTTCAGTCTGTCATACAGAGAGGGTTCATTTGACCTTCAGTCTGCCATACAGGGAGAGTTCATTGTACCCTCAGGCTGCCACACAGTGGGGGTTCATTGTACCTTCAGTCTGCCATACAGAGAGGGTTCATTGTACCTTCAGTCTGCCATACAGGGAGGGTTCATTGTACCTTCAGTCTGCAATACAGGGAGGGTTCATTGTACCCTCAGTCTGCCATACAGGGAGGGTTCATTGTACCTTCAATCTGCCATACAGGGAGGGTTCATTGTACCTTCAGTCTGCCACACAGTGGGGGTTTATTGTACCTTCAGTCTGCCATACAGGGTTGGTTCATTGTACCTTCAGTCTGCCATACAGGGAGGGTTCATTGTACCTTCAGTTTGCTTGTCCCCATACCATAACACACGTGATTGCAGGAACCAGGATGTAATGTTGAGACTGATCTACTATAACACATCCCAAGCTATTCTGATGAATGTATATTTTAGTCAGAAACGTGTGTTGGATTGTTCTGTCTATAATGTCCTTGAAAGTATCTTGACATAATTAATCAACCGATTTATGCTTAATACAATAGTTGCGTTTTTCGACTGCAGCTCCTGTTTTGACCCCGACTTCTATCCTGACATGGGAAAGGCGTTACACCTCTAAAGGTCGAGAATGATTTACATGAAATGTTTGTGTGAATGCGTTTGTTGATGAAAACAATACATCTACGCTTGGGGTAATGATTCTGTTTTCATTTCCAGCTACTAAACTGTTTTGGTGCGATGGGAGTAAAAAGAAGATTCAGTATTTAGATTTAAATACGCTGAAGACCACTGTGGTGCTGTACAACTACAACAGCCACTACTACGACGTCCAATACGTAGAGGGAACACTCTACTTCGTAGACCTCCTAAAAAGGTACTTCTGACAGTTCATGAGTGTATTAGTGTGTTGAGGCCATTTGTGCAGTATTTCAGTTGAGTCAATACATCTCCGTTCAGTCTGGATGGAAAGTCACGCTGCTCACAGACATGTACACTTTAGTGGAAGCCAGGAGCACCTGCTGCTCACAGACATGTACACTTTAGTGGAAGCCAGGAGCACCTGCTGCTCACAGACATGTACACTTTAGTGGAAGCCACGAGCACCTGCTGCTCACAGACATGTACACTTTAGTGGAAGCCACGAGCACCTGCTGCTCACAGACATGTACACTTTAGTGGAAGCCAGGAGCACCTGCTGCTCAGCCACACTAGTGGAAGCCAGGAGCACCTGCTGCTCACAGACATGTACACTTTAGTGGAAGCCACGAGCACCTGCTGCTCACAGACATGTACACTTTAGTGGAAGCCAGGAGCACCTGCTGCTCACAGACATGTACACTTTAGTGGAAGCCACGAGCACCTGCTGCTCACAGACATGTACACTTTAGTGGAAGCCACGAGCACCTGCTGCTCACAGACATGTACACTTTAGTGGAAGCCACGAGCACCTGCTGCTCACAGACATGTACACTTTAGTGGAAGCCACTAGTGGAAGCCAGCACCTGCTGCTCACAGACATGTACACTTTAGTGGACATGCCACTGCAGACATGCTTAGTGGAAGCCAGTGGAAGCGAGCACCTGCTGCTCACAGACATGTACACTTTAGTGGCCACGAAGCCACGAGCACCTGCTGCTCACAGACATGTACACTTTAGTGGAAGCCACGAGCACCACGAGCACCTGCTGCTGCTCACAGACAGTGTACACCTTTAGTGGAAGCCAGTGGAAGCCAGGAGCACCTGCTGCTCACAGACATGTACACTTTAGTGGAAGCCAGGAGCACCTGCTGCTCACAGACATGTACACTTTGGAAGCCACGAGCACCTGCTGCTGGACAAGTGGAAGCCACGAGCACCTGCTGTGGAAGCCACACAGACAGACATGTACACTTTAGTGGAAGCCACGAGCACCTGCTGCTCACAGACATGTACACTTTAGTGGAAGCCACGAGCACCTGCTGCTCACAGACATGTACACTTTAGTGGAAGCCACGAGCACCTGCTGCTCACAGACATGTACACTTTAGTGGTGGAGCAGCCACACAGATGCACCTGCTGCTCACAGACATGTACACTTTAGTGGAAGCCACGAGCACCTGCTGCTCACAGACATGTACACTTTAGTGGAAGCCACGAGCACCTGCTGCTCACAGACATGTACACTTTAGTGGAAGCCACGAGCACCTGCTGCTCACAGACATGTACAAGCCTGAGCAAGTGGAAGCCACGAGCTGTGCTGCTCACAGACATGTACACTTTAGTGGAAGCCACGAGAGCACCTGCTGCTCACAGACATGTACACTTTAGTGGAAGCCACGAGCACCTGCTGCTGCTACACAGACATGTACACTTTAGTGGAAGCCAGGAGCACCTGCTGCTCAGCCAGACATGTACACTTAGTGGAAGCCAGTGCACCTGCTGCTCACAGACATGTACACTTTAGTGGAAGCCAGGAGCACCTGCTGCTCACAGACATGTACACTTTAGTGGAAGCCAGGAGCACCTGCTGCTCACAGACATGTACACTTTAGTGGAAGCCAGGAGCACCTGCTGCTCACAGACATGTACACTTTAGTTATCCTAGTAAGATTTAAAAGAACATGTACACTTTAGTTATCCTCGCGTTTAAGAAGACATTGGTTTACGTTTCGTAGCTTGGTCTACGTCGTAGGTTATACCTTGCTGGTATCAGAGGTGACCAACAAATGTTTTGCGTGTTTTTCCTGCAGAAACGTGTTTCAGTCAGTTGCGGCGACTGGCGGGGACGTTACAACATACTCCTTGGGCAAAACCCTGTCCAAGTGGCGAAAGATAAGGCTGATCAACATCAGAGGTAAACTGTCGTCACGTATTTTATCACATTCACCTGTCAACCCTCAACTTTTAAACCTCAACTTCAACCCTCAACTTCAACCCCCAAACCCACCCACCCGTCATATGAGCGAAATATTCTCAAGCACGACGTAAAACCCAATTTCACCTCACCTCACCTCTTCATCCAGATCACTGACCCTCAACCCTAAACACTATCCCCTGCCCTAATGGTTCCGCTCCTCACCCCTAACACTCCCCTTGTAACACCCTCAGGTAGCTGGTGTTAAATCATTCATATTTTCGAAACTACATGTATATTATGCCTTTGCACTTACTCAAAGGATTCGTTAACGCTAAAGCGTAACGCTTTGTAGTAGCACTTTCTCTAAGGATTCTAAGGATTTTTAACGCTAAAGAGTACTGCTTCGTAGTAGCACTTACATTTGTTTGTTTTGAAGCAAGTGACAATAAGCTGATCTCAAATCATTCCAGTAACCTTAGTGAAAAAAGATCTCCTTCTAGTAAACAGCTGAGAAAATACCATACAGATCGATCTATTGCTCATGAACAGTAGATGAAGTCATACAGCAATGTCATTGTCAAACATTAGTCTGTAGGGATCGCTGCAACATTGATAATCTCAGGGAATCGTCCTGTTCCAACTGATGGGTATCTACAGTTGTGGGGATTGTGTAACTCGCCGAGTGTTCCATGGTCATTGACTCCCTACCTAACACGCTGATTATTGTTGTTATTAGTATGTCAGGACATGACGTGGGGAGAGAACTGCACCCACAACTGTGGGAACTGCCAGCAAGATGCAGTCTGCAACAAGGCTAACGGTTATTGCCCAGGGAAGTGTAAGCCCGGATTCGCCTTGCCCACGTGTCAGAATGGTATGTATGTTCATCTTTATTGATGGAGTGAGGTGTTGTACCGTGGCCTTAATATTGCAGTTATACTGCCACGTGTTTGAGTAGCAGTTAGAACTAGTTCCACCCTAGACCAATGTGAATGGACTTGTTTGAGTGGCAGTTGGAATTAGTTCCATCCTACATCAATGTTGGTTTGATAGTGCTAGCCGATTGATATACCAGAGTTTAACACGGAAATCTCACCCCCAAACAGTATACTCACTAAGAGCCGATCAGTTCTTGCTTTATCCCCTGAGCGTCAGGCAGGGTGGCTACTAGTACCATCTTTCAGTGTGTTATGACGTAATGACGCGGCGGGGGATCAAACCGCTTCCTCTCTCTCGGTGGACGTTCTATCTAGTTCACCATGGGGGTAGGCTACAGAAGGAATGATATGTATGGCTTCCAACACAGCGAATAGTCGGCTTCTTATCCAGCCTGTGACGACACAGTGAACTACGTCCAGTTCTGGTATTCACTCGTGTTCAACTGTCTCCTTTCAGAATGCCCTATTGGCTTCTTTGGTGTTGACTGTAGGTCAATTTGTGGACACTGTCATAACCTGGACACCTGTGACCACCTGACCGGCGCCTGCTTATACGGATGTGCTGCGGGCTGGGACGGGAGAAACTGCTCGCGAGGTAGGTACACATTGTACACTGTAAATAGATATGCACGGTACTCGTAATAGTGAGTGAATATGGTTTTGCGCAGCTTTTGACAATATTCCAGCAATATCACGGCGGGGGACACCAGAAATAGGCACATTGTACCCATGTGAGGAATGGAAACCGGGTCTTCGGCGTGACGAGCTCCCCCACGGTACACGTAATAGATATATAATGTACACTAGGTGGTTATACGCCGTATACCAGGTGGATGTACACTGTGCACGAGGTGGTTATACGCCGTATACAAGGTGGATGTACACTGTGCACGAGGTAGATATACACTGTACTCGAGGTGGAGATACACTGTACTCGAGGTGGATATACACTACTCGAGGTGGACATACACTACTCGAGGTGGAAATATACAATACACGAGGTAGATATGCACTGTACTCGAGGTAGATATACACTACTCGAGGTGGATATATACAATACACGAGGTAGATATATACAGTACTCGAGGTGGATATATACACTACTCGGGGTAGATATACACAGTACTCGAGGTGGATATATACAATACACCAGGTAGATATATACTGTACTCGAGGTAGATATACAGAGTAATCGAGGTAGATATATACAATACACGAGGTAGATATATACTGTACTCGAGGTAGATATACACTGTACTCGAGGTGGAAATATACAATACACGAGGTAGATATATACAGTACTCGAGGTGGATATATACACTACTCGGGGTAGATATACACAGTACTCGAGGTGGATATATACAATACACCAGGTAGATATATACTGTACTCGAGGTAGATATACAGAGTAATCGAGGTAGATATATACAATACACGAGGTAGATATACACTGTACTCGAGGTAGATATACACAGTACTTGAGGTGGATATATACAATACACGAGGTAGATATACACAGTACTCGAGAGTGGATATATACAATACACGAGGTAGATATACACAGTACTCGAGGTGGATATATACAATACACGAGGTAGATATACACAGTACTCGAGGTGAATATATACAATACACGAGGTAGATATACACAGTACTCGAGGTAGATATATACAATACACGAGGTAGATATACTAATATACTGTACTCGAGGTAGATATACACAGTACTCGAGGTGGATATATACAATACACGAGGTAGATATACACAGTACTCGAGGTGGATATATACAATACACGAGGTAGATATACACAGTACTCGAGGTGGATATATAAAATACACGAGGTAGATATACACAGTACTCGAGGTGGATATATACAATACACGAGGTAGATATATACAGTACTCGAGGTAGATATATATAATACACGAGGTAGATATATACTGTACACGAGGTAGATATACACTGTACTCGATGTAGATATACACAGTACTTGAGGTGGATATATACAATACACGAGGTAGATATATACTGTACTCCAGTTCACCATTTGAATCACAGAATGCCCAGAAGGCAAACATGGTCTGAAGTGCACCACCAGCTGTGGCCATTGCAAAGATGGGTCTGCCTGTATGAAGTCCAGCGGAAACTGCACAAATGGATGTGAACCGGGGTGGGACGGAGCCCAGTGCAAAGAAGGTGAGTATCAGCCGTGACTTCCTACATTCTGAGCATCAGAGGAGTCGATACTTCTGGCTCTGAAGTTTAAAGCTGAGTGTTATTCAGTTCCAGGCTGCACCTCTCTGAGGTACTGGGATAGCATCTCATGTTGGCACGATGAGGACAGGTTATGGCTAGAACAGGTTATGGCTAGCACAGGTTATGGCTAGAACAGGTTATGGCTGGAACAGGTTATGGCTAGAACAGGTTATGACTGGAACAGGTTATGGCTAGAACATGTTATGGCTGGAACGCCCGTTCTGTGCGACCAGGTTCACGTACTCTATGAATTATTGTAGTGTGCGTGTGTGTGTGCGTGTGTGCGTGCGTGCGTGTATCACAGATTTGGGCAAGAAAGCTTTAAAACTATAGATATTTCAATACATGTTTTTTCAGTCTTTCTTAATATTCTTATGATATAATTAAATTGTTATATATGTACATCAGAATGCTTGAACGGGACTTTTGGTGAGGACTGCAAGTACAAGTGCCAGTGCTGCGATGGTTCGGTCTGTGATAAGGTGACAGGACAGTGCCCGTATGAGAACGTCACTGCAAGAGGTATGTAGCCGCGATGTGACCCCTGTCTGAACATGTTCCAAGTACCGATAGCATCCGTCTATGTTTAAGTGGCGATGTACATACAAGGAAGCTAAAATATGTTCGACATTATGTCCCAAACAGAACGTCTGAAACGTTAACTCATGATCACGTGACGTGACAGCAGACATACGTGACAGCAGCATTAACCGTTGGTCCTGTCGACTATGTTCATGTTGGGGACGCTAAGCACTGTTCCCATCAACTGTGAACAGGATACGTCTTGGTGTTGACAAACAAATGCAATGTAGTGTTTCCTGTGCATTATTGATTAAGTATATCCTGGTGTATAAAAGCCTGAGCGGTTGGTATGTTGAGTTTGCGGTGTTAGTGATGTACAACACAAGTACAGTTGGTGACTGCGGTTGGAGAGTATGATCCATGTGCAAACCTACCCTCAAACCAGTAGCACCTGCAGGGTACAATCAACTGATTAAGCAAACACACACCCCATTTTTAATCATCTTTCCAAAAGTTAATAAATATCGATCTGGTTTTCTTTGGACCACAACTCGACGCAAGTGCGACCGAGATAGGTGTACACCCACGTACTGATCGACTGGTCCAATGAAGCCCTGATTATGTACGGGTGGACAAAGACACTCATGTTGAACTAGTATCTAATCAAATTTTACAAATTGTATACGTTGTCAAAACTAAAACTGATTCTGGATTGTCCTGACAGAATGTCCGGTCGACCGTTACGGATTCAACTGTAGCACTCCGTGTGGACATTGTATGGATGGTCAGCCGTGCAATGAGACTAACGGCAGATGTCCCACAGGGTGTGACGTCGGGTGGATGGGAGACGTCTGTAAAATGGGTAGGTGTCGACGGTCAGTGTGTAGTTGAGTACGTCTGTAGGTGTACTTAAACATAGAGAGTTAATACATGTGTGCCCCCGAATACAACTTCCACACTTGTACAGTCTACTTGTTGAAGGAATGCAGTGTTCACGGGCCAATAATGTAACGTGTGATGCAGGGGTTTAGATAAACTATTGTACCTTTGGTGAATCCTTGGACCATGCGTGGCATGAAGGATGTAATAACGGCACATTACGCTGATTAAAAGAACTTTTTTAGCCGACATTGGAAACAAACTCACCCGACAATGGCCCTCGACAATGTACATTAAACCATTCGGTGATGAGACATATGTTTGCCTGGCGCTGCCATCAGTTATCTACAACCCTTCTCAGCGCCGTGTAGGACATGATGTATAATTATTTCTAAATTGCAGAATGCATCAGCGGCCGGTACGGTGCTGACTGCGCCCAGATGTGCAAGTGTTTCGGCAGCAACGTGTGCGACCCAATCAGCGGTCGATGCTACACAGGAAACATCGGGGCAGCAAAACAAGTAGGCGACGTCCAGATCACAGGTACACTACACCACCATATACATTTTGTATTTGTTTACATATATACTATTCAACTTTTGATAGGAACATTTCTCTGGGTATTTAGCACGGCGAGCGAACAATTTAGCCACTCGGTTTTAGTCAGGCTAACCCTAGCAATATCCAACCATCACCCGAACCGCTTGTATTGTGGATGATGCAGATGTACAGGTTCTCGGGTATATTGCAAAGGGTTTATTTAGTCCAGTGGAATGTTGACAATGGACCAAAACCTTTCTATGACCCATGACTAACATTGTTAATATACATCATGACTGTAACCTTGAGATATGTTCGTCTCTGCATTGCTTCTACCGCTCTATTTCCTTATTCCCCCCACCAAACTCGGGAAGGGCGTGGGTTGGTGAACCATGTATGTTTTGGGGTTTTTATGGGTTTGTTGTTGTTGTTGTTGTTGTTGTTGTTGTTGTTGTTGTGTTTTGTTTTGTTGTTTTTATGGGGGGGTGTCTTTTTGTGTGTGTCTTTTTATTCATTCCCATAGTGACATAGATACAAACATATTATTGCAACAGGAGTGAGTGAGTGAGGATGGTTGAACGCCGCTTCTAGTAGCCTACACCCCAGCAATATCATGGAGGGGGACACCAGAAACGGGTCGTGAACCATGTATGTTAGTTACAAACAAACCAGAATACAGAAGGTGATAAACTAGTCAAGCATGTCCTGAGTCTTGTCCATGTTGGTTGCAGATACACCACTGACCACCGGCCTGTGTGTCATGATCGTCATCCTGGCAATTCTCCTGGCTGTCGCCATCTTTGTCATATACAGACGGAACAGGTACTCCTCAACCACAACATTCGCGACGTTTACAGCACACTACGACTTCTACAACTAAGTTTGGAATGTAACAGAAAAACTCCTCGAAGCGGCATAAAAGTATATTGTCGCACAACAGTGTACAGGTTTTGATGTGTGAGGCCGCGAGTATAAGGGAGGGTGTTGTTGATGGGCCCCAAGTAATGCTTATACTTTTGTAGTTTTGGGGGTTTGTAGGTCATTTCAAGGACGTTCATATCAACTACAGTTAAAAAATATTAAAATTAGTTAACGCAATAATCAGTTCCAAGTGGCGTTCGATATAGCTCAGGCCATGTTTCACTCTGTGTACATTTCAGACAACAAAGATTCGACGATGAACCAGAGACGCCTGAGAAGAGAACAACGATGGCTTTTACCAATCACCACTGCGAGCCGCTGGTCACGATGTAACGACAGCTGTAACGCGTCAGCTGCATCATCCCCACCATGGTGACTTGTACATAATGACCAAGTGCTTGAAATCTGTCCTCTCAGCTCAGAATAATCATTGACTACTTCTGTGGCGCCATCGTCATCACGGGCATGGTGTTATGTGACGCTTTTGTGACAAAGATGTACAACGACAACCCGTCAGCTGCAAATATTAACTTGTTCATCAGAGCACTGGTTCTCGGTATCCGGCGAGCCCCCTTGTAATATATCACACATCGCGTACCACAGAACATTGCAAATGTCTGCTTTCTCGGTTCTAGCTTCCACTGCCCAGCTGATCACCTGACTGCCCTGCCCGCCAGACATCCCTTCTGACTGTCATGTAGTACAAGCGGCAGTGTAGTATCCGCCACACGCTTAAAGGCACTATTTCACTTCTCTAAAAATATATAAAGCGTTTCTGTCAATAATACTATCAGTCCTCAGGGAAGCTACCATATAAGTTATTCACACAAGTACGTATTTAGATTACAATATAAACTTAAAAAGTTCGAATGAATTAATGCAACGTTGCATAAAATCCACTCTGGCACCTTCTACCGGCCGAACAATATTTCAAGCGAACCCCATAGAGTTATGTCCCTTGGAGTTTCAATTTCGATTTCAGACCAGGCATAATACTTTTTTTATTGCATTAATATTAAGATAAAGTGAATGCATATGCCCCGATATATATATAATATAGGCCCTCATATTGACGAAAATGTGTGAAATTGTGCCTTTAAGGAGAAATACAATGTCCATTTGGCCATTCAAATAAACTTGTTTTCTATATGCTTCGTCTCTGTGTTCTTCATGGTTAGTGGAGCTGTCACACAATGAGATGATGTGGATGTGAGCAATATTTACGAATCCTATTCCTCTTCCTTAACATCAGAATTATTATATCATGCATTTGTATAGTGCACTTTCAACCATATAACTCTTTACATCCGTTTACACCATTATTGCCCAGGCCACTGGATCTGTGTGCACTCGAGTTTCTCTCGAAGATTAGTGCATGTATATATGGATGTATATATGGCTATAATATTTATCATAATAGGTGTCTCCCAATGCCGTCATATGTTGAAACTCATTGTGCACTAACCCTGTTACTCCGGACACCCGGACATCCGGACACCCAGCTTTCTGAACTGCCTGTTTAAACAAGTGTACACTTGACTATGGCGTTAGAACTTATAAAGTGATACAACGCGAAACAGTCGCCAAAACACCGTAAACGTCATGTGCAAAACACACCGTGGATACAGGGGGTAGATTAAAACAGATATATATATATATATATATACATACATAAATACACCGTGGATACAGATATATATATATATATATATATATATATATATATATATATATATATATATATATATATATATATATATACATGAATACACCGTGGATACAGAGGGGTAGATTATATATATATATATATATATATATACATACATAAATACACCGTGGATACAGAGGGGGTAGATTAAAACAGATATATATATATATATATATATATATATATACATACATAAATACACCGTGGATACACCGTGGGTAGATTAAATTAAATATATATATATATATATATATATATATACATACATACATAAATACACCGTGGATTCAGAGGGGTAGATTAAAACAGATATATATATATATATATATATATATATATATATATATATATATATATATATATATATATATATTAAAATAAATAATTACAATTGAAGTTTTCTCAAAATTCAATGTTATCTCTTTTGCTGAATATTTGACACAATGACGGTACAATGACACAGTTCTTGATGGCTGGAACACTCACTTTTGACAGCTCTACATTTTCTTAGGGACATGCCCGGGCGCTGTGAGTTCAATGCGTGATACGGATTATACAAATTATGATGACGTCATTGGTGCTGTGGAGGACGTTACGTCATATAGAGAATGCCTTCTACGTCAATGGATTCCAGACTCAGGTACAGGTGTCTGTGGGCGGCTACTGGTGGCGGTAGATGTTGTAAGTAACAACCAACACCAGTCCATCGTAGTGAGCTTTTCTCAAATCTTAATATTCCCCTCGTAGAATATGGTTAAGGCCTACGATGAACAACAGTTTGAACAACAAGACATGACAGTTCACGACATCTGGGTTTAATCTTCACGTCTAACGGGAGTTGGCATCATCATATTGAAAACATTATCAAAAAGACATCTAAAATGATTGGAGCATTTCGGAAATTAAAGTTCTTATTAAATAGAACAACACTAGCGAAAATATATACTGTATTCATAAGGCCACACTTTGAGTACGCATGCGAGGTATGGGATGGATGTTTAATTGAACAAGCTAATAGATTAGAAAAACTTCAACTTGAAGCAGCGCGCATAGTTACTGGTCTTCCAAGATATGCATCTTCCAGTTCATTGTATTACGAAACGGGATGGGATTTACTTTCTGAGAGAAGGAGAAGACGCAAATTAACATTATTTTATAAAATTAAAAAATGCCTGACACCAGTTTTCTTCAACATTTACTCCAACCTGTAGTTAGCAACCAGCCAAGTTTCGAGTTAAGAAACTCAAATAACTTTAGTCAACCATATACAAGACTGAGGTACTCAACGTCATCTTTTATTCCATCAACAGTTAAAGTTTGGAATAATATTCCCTTAGCTATTAGAAATTGCGACTCTGTTGCCACGTTTAAATCTTATATCCACGTGAAGGAAAAATGTGCACCTATATATTATTCATATGGAATAAGGAAGTTCAATGCTATGCACACTAGATTAAGATATATGACGAGTACACTTAATTATGATTTATATAGAATAAATGTAAAAAATGACGCATCATGTCAATGTGGCCATAGATGTGAGAATGTTTTTCATTACTTCCTTGAATGTCCTTTGTATACTATTCAAAGACATAAACTGTTGAAATCTTTAGAACATATTGTCAAAAATAGAACACTGATTGATATTAATCTTATCTTACAAGGCAATGCAGGTCTCTCAATCACTGACAACCAGAATGTTTACATATATGTACATATGTATATCTCTCAAACAAAACGCTTTCTCAGTTAACATCTGTTGTACATATCCTAGCCTATGTCTGTCACTTGTGTACTTTGTTGTAAGTTGAATTGTGTAATTATCTGGAGAGGGCTTTTCTAAGTTGGATAACTTGTGCCCAATCCTTTTCTTGAATGAATAAAGTATGTTTAAAACAACACAGGTCACGAGCTGGCGTAATCGTCATGTATATTTACTGAACGCAATACAATACTGCCTTCCAATGGACCAAGGGTTTCAAGGAGGGAAGAAGTGCTCAGCTAACTCGAGAATATCTCATCCATCCGCGTCTACTTATATCTATTGAAATGTTGCACTCGGGCCGGAGGTTGATGAGGCGGAGGGCGGAGGTTGATAGGGAGGGCGGAGGAAGGAATTGTTGACACTAATGTATGTGTATTATTAATAGAGAATTAGTAATGCTGAATGGCTTCAGTGCCCTGTCTCTCGCGTTCAGAACCAGCTCGTTACATATGGCATACTGTAAGGGACATCTCGGGGATAACAGTGACTCTATATCAGGCCGCTGTAGGCGATTTCAAGCCGTGTTATTGAACAAACGACGATGTGGAAGCCTCTCTGTTATCAATAGGCCTTGTGGCGTGTACAGATGAAGTCTTGTGATTCAAAGGAGTGCCGTATCCTCCCTAAGAGTTGTCACTCGTGGTCAACCTGATCACTGACGGTCATTATTTTGCTACTGTTTTCTGGCAAATCCACTGATAGTCGACCAACATCTCTTACAATAGCCAGCATTTCGCATACCAATCACATGCCATCTTTGAGCAACTGTTAGTTGAAGAGGCCCAGCATTTAGTTATCGACAACGAAATGAATTGATTTTCAAAGTTATCGAGCTGTAATAAGAGTTTAATGAAACTTCTTATATGGTTTGACGAGTACATATATTGTACGTGACGCTCGCCTCTGATAGAAGCACGTTCATATGTAAAATCAATGTATAGTGCACCCGAATGTCACAATAATCATGCAAGCTATCATAGACTGTGGTACGCGATAATTTGGCGTTACCGCTTCAGTCGACTGAAAAGTCTGAGCAGACAAGCTACAGATTACCTCGACGGCGTAGCTGACAACCAATACCCCGACGGGTATGAACTAGCTACAGATAACAGTGTATCTGACAATCAATACCCCGACGGGTATGAAGTAGCTACAGCCTGACGGTGTAGCTGACAACCAATACCCCGACGGGTATGAACTAGCTACAGATGACGGTGTAGCTGGCAACCAACACCCCGACGGGTATGAACTAGCTACAGCTGACAACCAATACCCCGGCGGGTATGAACTAGCTACAGATGACGGTGTAGCTGGCAACCAATACCCCGATGGGTATGAACTAGGTACAGCTGACGATGTAGCTGATAACCAATACCCCGACGGGTATGAACTAGGTACAGCTGACGGTGTAGCTGACAACCAATACCCCGACGGGGATGAACTAGGTACAGATGACGATGTAGCTGATAACCAATACCCCGACGGGTATGAACTAGGTACAGCTGACGGTGTAGCTGACAACCAATACCCCGACGGGTACATCTGACTTTAGGTGTATGCCGTGCAACTGTACAACCCGACCGATTATTTTGGAATTTCGATAGCACTTAGTAGTAAACTATGTGAGTAATGGCGGACTGTAAGAGAACAAAGAAAATGTCGCGCATCCACAGTACTAGTAGTTACTGGGTACCACCAAAAAAGGAAATGTATAGGAACTGAAAAGAAACGGTATGATAAGGGTGGTTTTTGGCCCACAAACAGAATTGGTTGAACAGATGTTGTTTGTCTAGAGACAAGATAGCTTTGCATAAAAGATATGTTTTTAAATGAGCTGAGGCCATAATTTCAATGCAGAGGGGCCCAAAATGGGTTTTATCAGTTCCCATGAAAAATAACAAGAAGTCTGAAATATCCATGTGCCATAATGACTTATATACAACTATCAGTTTATTTACATACAAATAGTATCAATTTTACAACAGGTATTCATGATGAAGAAACATGTCAATATCAATCACAAGGTTTTAACTACAAGGGGCCCAATTAGGGTTGCAATACATTGTGGACAGTAATTCAATTACTTGCCAATTGATTAAAAAATCCTCATTATTCACAATTTTCTTTGCAAATATAAACTATAGGTCAATTTTACAACATGTACTTATGATAACCAATCATGTCCCTCTAAAAATCACAGGGGCCCATTTTGGGTCTAATTACATTTTGGGCACAGCTTGATTTTAACAAGTAAGTGTTAAAAGTCAGTATTCACAACAAGTTTTAGCAAATGTACAGTAAATATCTCATTCACAACATGTTATTACAATAACCAATCATGTTGCACTAAAAATCACATGTCTTGACCTCAAAGGGGCCTATTTCAGGTGAAATTACATTCTTGGCATAGCTTGAATTAACACCACGTAAGTGATAAAAGCCAGTATTTACAACATTCTTGCAAATATACAGTAAACATCTCATTCACAACATGCTGTTATAATAACCAATCATGCTTCCCTAAATATCACAGGTCTGGACCTCAAAGGGGGCCCATTTCGGGTGAAAGTACATTCTTGGCACAGCTTGATTTTGACACCAAGTAAGTGTTAAAAGTCAGTATTCAAAAATCTTCAAAAAGTAATTGTTCACAACTCATTCACTGAAAAGATATATAAAACATCCACTTTCACTCTTCATCCACATGGTTATCAATCTCTGAATCAGTTTCTGAATCACTGTCAAGAACTGCAGCATTCAACCATGTATCACTACAGTTGTTGGAAACAGGCATATTGTCTTGGTGTCTGACATACCCAGATCTTCTCTCAACTGAAAAACAGATGACTTTATATCAAAAGAAAATTCTGTTTTAAAAACTTTGATATTATAAATCTATTCAAGGGTAACATTACCTATTCATTTTCAAATGTCAGTAGTCTGGCCTTGAAGGCTTGTGCAGATTTAATCACCACTGAGGCATCAGTATTTCTGAAATTCTGTCACATTAAATTAGAAAATTGGAAAAAAAATAATATTGATTATTTTTTAACACACATATTTTGCTTACCTTCAACATCATGTTTTAAGTTGTCATCTTCATGAAAGGACACCCCTGAAATCAGTCCAAGCAAATGTCTCTTATCTGAAAACAAATACATGTATTTGAAATCATAAAAGAATTTGAACCTGCATGAATGTATGACTGACCATCACTCTGACCACTAGGCTACAAATTCTACTATTACTGCTTGTTACTTTAAGCTTATATATTACACCTTTCAACAATGTGTCACTTGGCGTCTGCTTGCTTTTCATCATCTGCTAGACCTTGATACAATGTTCTTATTTTAACATTATATTTAATGTAGCCTAATATATCCTAGAAAGGTACATTATTTTTGTTAAAATGTGTATGTTTATACACAGTTACAGCCTGTGGAATGCCAGTGTTATTTGACAGTGACAGGTGACACAGAGGGGTTTGCTAAACAGATGATAGAACAAATATGATAAACTTCTAGCATAATTACAAAGATTCTCACCTTTAGAATGCTGCCTGATCATATTTTGAAAAATCTTCTGATGTCTTCTTACTTTTCCAGCAGTGATCAACAGGGTCTCCAAAAACTACCCTTGTTTACCTCAAAGTAATCAGCCTTGAGAGTCTCTTACGATACTGAAATTTTTTAATAAATATGTTTGATAAGTTCATTTTAGTGCTCTAAAACATTCAAAATAAAATATGAATCTGGTATAGTTGTATAAATGTGACGGATAGTTTTCAGAGGTATTACTTTACGCCAATATTTGTTTTTGAGATGTTGTAAGGGCAATTTCATATAACAGAAATAAATGTACTTTTTAAAACATTTTGATATGAGCAAAAGCGTGACCCACCACAATTATTTAGAAGTGCATTCTAATTTACTCTCCTCATGTGTGGTGAAAAAATTGGGATGGGTTAGCTCTTGCTCACACTTTTTTATCTCTCTGAAAATATGAAAATGTAGATTTTTCGGAGATGTTGTAAAATAGGTTAACTTTGAGGTCTTCAAAGAGGAAAAACAGCACTAAACCATAAAAAGCATGTGGAGGTAATTTCAACAATTTATTTAGCATTTTATATGCTAAAATTATCATGTTGTAGAACTTTGAATATCATGAAATTTTGTTGGCCAATAAGGGCCTTTATCATACCTTGTCCTTTAGAAACAGTGTGTGCTAGTTAATGAAGTAAGAAGCGAATTTGAAGAAACTAGCGGAGAGTCAGAAGCTGACTCGAAAAGTGATATAGCTCGATTATGATATGTCGGTATGACGATGAACCCTGATCAAGGCTTGTGTATATGAGGGGTTCTAACAAATAAAGGAATGCATGAAATTGAAAGTGATTGTAAAGGGGCAACACAATGTCACGGTGGTACCAAACACATGTAGAGCTACACATATATGATGTACACACATATACATATATACACTGGATGATACATGTAGTAATGAGAAACATAATGCTTAATATTCAACATGGATTCCCAAGGGTGTAGTGTTCAGATGCAATGCAATGGTAACAAAACACATATTTGCTACATGAAAATATAAAAACAGAAATATGACAACTCTTAGAACAAAAGGTGAGCCTAGACCGACTAAAGGTTTTGCATAAGCTATACTTAAAAACTTAAGTACTACCATAACTCTACAGATATTTGGCTTAAAGAGACCGAATGCGAGAGCCCGAGACTGGTGCAATGTACACGATCTGGTGTTCTGGTATTCTCACGGTTTTAAGATATTTCCACATAGCCATTAAAGATATTTACGGAAACGCACGAGAAGGCGACATTGGTTAAGTGCCCTTATTACATCACATTTGTTTACAGGAAATAAATAAAGTTAATAATAAATAAAGTTAATATTTGTATGGCGCCTGTTTTCAGTTGTCGTTTAAACTGGTCTGATAGATAATGTAGGCCATGTCACATTTGTTTACAGGAAATGTAGGCTATGTGACATCTGTTTACAGGAAATGTAGGTCATGTCACATCTGTTTGCAGGAAATGTAGGTCATGTCACATCTGTTTGCAGGAAATGTAGGTCATGTCACATCTGTTTACAGGAAATGAAGGTCATGTCACATCTGTTTATAGGAAATGTAGGTTATGTCACATCTGTTACAGGAAATGTAGGTCATTTCACATCTGTTTACAGGAAATGTAGGCCATGTAACATCTGTTTACAGGGAATGTAGGCCATGTCACATGATCTGTCTGTCTGTCTATCCTTTAGTAATTGTTCCATGAGTGCAGCCAGAATGTACGGCCCCCGACGGAAGCATGACCCTCTCTGTCTGTTCTGTTGATGTTGATTTCCTTATGCACTGACAAATGCTGTAAGCTGCTTGTGTTCCATTGTAGATCGTGATGAGATCGATTTGAGAGCGTACATGTAGACGTAAGTACGAGAATAACGTCCTTACCGAGAAAGTCAAATTCAAAATATACCGGGCATCACAACCGACCACTTTATCAATGTGTGAGCTGTGTTGTTATATATGATAAGCTCCGGTATAGTTTATTTTGTCCGTCAGTGCTTCAAACGTGTCACATATAACTTTGACCGAGTCTCAAGAATCCAATCAGTTGATATTCAGTGTACGGTTAGAGTGTCCATGTCCTGTTGAGTGTGACGTCAAAACAGACACTTTGAAACACTTGAACTTAGTTTACACTGAGCAGAAGACAAGATGGCGTCAGCATGGCTGATCGCTGTTTCAATGTTGTGCACTGCAAATTTGCAACGGTTCCTTGTCCAAGGTAAGACCAGTATAGTGTTAGTTCGCGATCTGTTTGAAGGATCCAACATGTCATTAAATGCAGTAACTACTGTTTACATGGCCCTTGCATATTTGTGATGCTCTACTGTGGTGTGGTGAGTCTGGGTTTAATGTTGATCCGCAGGAGTAAGTGGAATAACATTACATGACTGGGAATATATACAATAATACCACATACAAGAACAGACAGGTGGGATTCTTGTACAGGGATCAATCACATAATGACTTTATATAACAGGACCTAGATTTTTCGAAGCTCTCTTAGAGCTAAGGTAGTCGTAAGTTAACACTAGGAGAGCTTCGAATATCTAGGTCCTGGGGCCCTGTCCACAAAGCGTTCGAAGCACTACGTCTATGATGAACTATACCTACGATCGCTCGTAACGCTACGCATGTTTTATAATCGGGACCCTGATTAGGAAAAAGGGAAAGATAATCCTTCATTTTGATCGGTCATGTTGGGAATCGCGATGGACTGATAAAAGTACGCTTTCTATCGCAATGATTTAACACGGACGAAAGGTTGTTAGTTATTTAGTTATATCGTAAAGTTCACATATAGGTATGTTAAAATGCGCTTTTCTGCAGATCATCTGAAGTTTGATGCATGTATAAATTGTAATATGTGTTATATTTTGGGATTACAGATGATATTACTTTACTGCCATAGTGTAATCCCACACACAACGTCTTACATTTGTCCACTGTCCACGTGTCATCGTGTATTCATGTGTTGGGTGTGTTATATGGGTATGTGTGACACGGGATACACGGACTGGACATTGACAGGTCACGAAGATCACATTTAAATGGGAACTACACTTACTGTCATAAACACATTCTGGAACTCATATATTATGTTTGATCCGTGAAGGTCCGGGTTAGAATGAACCTTCAGTAACCCATGCTTGTCGTATGAGGCGACTAACCGGATCGGGTGGTCAGGCTCGCTGACTTGGTTTACACATGTCATTGGTTCCCAATTGCGCAGATCGATGCTCATGCCGTTGATCACTGGATCGTCTGGTCCAGACTCGATTATTTACAGACCGCCGCCATATAGCTGGAATATTGCTGAGTGTGGCGTAAAACTAAAACTCACTCACTCACTCACTCACTATATCATATTTGGTGTACATGCTTGATGGAAATGATCGTGAAATACTTACAACATATATGGACCCTACTGCCAATTTGTCAAAGGTCGAACTGTATTACGTACACGCATCAGGAAAGACACGGTTACAAAGGTGGGTGAAATATCTCACATATCATCCTCAGGGACCGTAATTTCAAAGGGTGAAAATCTGAAAACGTTTGTGCTGTTTTTCTGGAGCAAATCTTCATTCATAATCAGTACCTAATGCTAACAGAACTGGCCATAGATAGCCAGACACTGTCTTGCCTGTGAGCAGGATAGTAATTCAGACAGCAGTACAAGGTTAATCACAGGATATCTTTTTACAAGTACACGAATACTATCATATTTATGGCCGCTGTGTCAACAATTAACAGAGAGAAATAATATTCCTTCTGTTGTAGGCGAGACCCCGACGCCAAAGTTCCTGACGACAGCCACAAATGTGACTGTCAACAAAGGTTCAGTAGCCGTGCTGCCCTGCGCTGTTCAAAACATCGGCACTCAACAGGTTAGAATCACATCCTAGGAAGGATCACTACTAAACTGCTCAGAGAGGTCAAGTTGCAATCTCACTAAGTATCGCATTTGAACAGAAGCATTCTACATGGAAGTCAATAATACTTAGTTTCCTCGTGTTTTCCGGACCTGTGAAGGTCCGGGTTAGAATTGGTCTTCAGCAACCTATGCTTGTCGTAAGAGGCGACTACCGGGATCGGGACTTGTTAATTACATTCGATCAATGTAAAACCAATAACACCAGTATTGTGCACTTGTGACAGACTCTTTTGGTCCCTTTGTCTATTGTGGTCAAAGAAAAGGGAGGAAATGCGGTTAAGTTTAATCATAACTGTTCACATGTACATGGATATACCAGAGGTGACTGAAATTTCGGAACAAAGTTACGAAGGATTTTTAGTGCATCTTTAACGGGGTTAAGTGCAATGCCTCCCATGCTAGTATATTTGGGCTATTATGAACGTCAGGTAGTTCTTTCGCTAGCCCCAGAGAATAGGTTAGCAGCAGAGTTCGAGGGGGAAAGACGTTTTGTTAAGATGTTTCAATACCAGGAAGACCTTCAACTGACAATAGCATGGAGGATGTTGATAGACACGTGATATGAATATCTGTAGTCGACTATTCAACACATGTCATAGCTACTGGCATCAGGAACATGTCATCATGCAGGGTTTCAAGGCTTCTGATTACAACACTCCAGGTTTACCGCATTTATGCGAACATATGTCATTTCGAATCAGCGACTTCTGATTTTGTTGAGCGATTTGTAAACATGGACGGGTCTTGGGTTCTCAATTACATTGAGAAAATATACAGCAGTCGAAGCTGCGGACACATAAAGATAAGATAAGATATTTACTGCGCAAACGTTCCATGCAGAAACAGTGACAACATTCTATAAACGGCATAAACAAGATATATAATGAATCAGAGTAACAAAACTTATGCTAATACCAAGATGTTCTATATTTGTTTAAAGTTGTTCATGTGGTAGCAAATTATCTCTATACTATTTGGTTCATTACTTCTAAACAGGAGGTTAAAGTTTTCTGTGGTAGTGAGGCTTAGGAAGTTATTAATTTGAGAGGAAAGGGAATTAAATAAGGAGTTCCTTGCATCTGAATATTTAGTACAACACATGAAATAGTGTTCTTCATCTTCAAGGACAGAGCATTGATCACAGAGACGGTCCTCCAAAGATGTAGGTGGTCTTGTTCGTCTACCCAGTTCAATTTATAGCCTGTGGTCACTCAGTCTTAGCTTTGTGGATACGGGGTTTTATTATATTGCAGTGTTCTAGGTATGGCTCAAATTTAATTTCTGATTTAGATTTTCTAAATGTTCTCAGTTTGTTCCTTGAATTTAATGTGTTTGGATTATCTTGAACAGATGAGTGGAACATGTCTGTAAATTTCAATTGGAGGACCTTCAGTACAGAGGAGGAAGGTAGTTTACTTTCCTTGGTGTTAAACTTATCTAAGAGGCAACTAGAGTATATAAAACCATCCAATTTTGTATTTGGCAATCTTTATTGATTCATTTAAAGCGTGTTTTAAAATGGTATTTGGAGATTGTAAAATATGACTGTAGAATTGAACAACGGATTTAATTACTCTGAATAATAGGGGAAACAAACCATGTCCAGTTATACTCCCCACAGTTTGTATCACCTATTTCAGCACGGCTCCCTTGGGAGCTGCATAAATCACCTTACACGCGCATGCAGAGTTCGTTTGCAGAATTTCGTTTGTAATTATTCCGGAGGGAAAGAATCTATATGTCGCAGCAGAACAAAGTCAATTCCCCATACTTCACTGTTATACAGACAGAAGGTTTATTTATGCCATGGGCCAAAACCAACAGTTACAAACTTCATAATGGCACAGTCGTGGGTGTTTGTGGATATACATAGTTTGATATACAATAATTTAACAGAGCAATGAGGGATGGTACCCCAAGAGTAAATAATTACAACGTGTCCATTGTACTTTCCAGTTTAAAGATATGATAAACACATTTAGCAATACTAATAGGTAGCTGTTCATTAGTAGTTTGTAACATGTCCACAAACTTTATCATACCTGGTCTGGCAATGACATGCTTTGGTAGATAACGATTTCTTATACTTAAATAGTTTGGACAAATGAGCAAGATTCATCTTCAACATCGTTCACACAAAAGGGACACAGTCGCTCGTGTAATGGTGTTTTAGGTGTGGTTCATCTGTCCTTTTCAACCACCAGTGTATGTAAACTCAATCTGAACCGTGTAAGAGCAATTTTATATTTCCTTATATCAATATGTACTAGATACTTTTCTAAATTTAAACTATCTTTAATTTGCAAATATAATCTAGTTTCACTCAAGGAATTTAAATCATATACAGAACAACAGGTTCAACAATTGCTGTTAAAAAAATGCAGCAGACCGTTGGATCTAAATCATCTCCAAACAAGTTAAAAGAGAGAACATTGTATGCTCTTTGACCCTTTTTCACAAGGGATTCCACACAGTGTTTAAATTTAGAATTTGAATGAAACGTAATGCGGAAATAATTGTATTTGTCTAAGACATAAATATTCAGCCCTGCCCCTGACCATTTGAATATTGGATAGTTGTTTTTTGTGCCAAATATAACTACATTAGTTTTTTCAATGTTGTTTATATAACGTCTTCACTGAAGGAGGCAAAATGTGTATCATTTATTGACGAGGCAGTGGACTCGTTTTCAGAGATTTCGAAAGAAAGACTCCATCTGTTAGTCTACCTCCTGAACGACCTGACCATTACGTGCCAACTATATTACAGCTGTTTAGGCAGCTGCGTGAGAAGAGCAAGGCTAATTGTTTAGGAAATTCACAAGGACAGGCCTACTGTTGACAAGTCAGTTTTCGCCATTCCTGTTTTAAATGAATGTGAATGGATGGATTTCAGCTCTTGGGAAAAACAAAATATATAGGATAATAACATAAATACAGGAATTAAATACTTGACATTCTGCCGTTTGCTGGAGGCCGCCTATGTCAAATACTGTAACACGTTAGACATTTGTTCTTGACATTCGAGAAGCAAGATGTTTTTAAAGAAAAATGGTTAGACTCGCAGTTTTAATTAAAGATCACATATACTCTAGGGGGTACAAATACATAAATCACTAACTGGCATCGCTATAAATGAAACCCCGTCATTAAAACTACTCATTTCGATCTTTAATCAACTTAAATCGACCTTTTTGACAACAGTGCACAATTCTCACCCGCGAACGAAATTTCAACCAATCAGAGCGGGGCGTCTCTGTGACGTCATATGAGGACTAGATATGAGGGCCGATGCAGAATTCATCTACATTCCAGGGGGTAAATTATCTTGTTTACAGGCTTGTATAAACCTGAAATCATGACAACTAATGTGGAAAATGAAAGCTATATGTTCTCACAATCTACTGTCATATAATTTTGTCTCCTGCTTTGCCTTGTTTCCGACTTACAACTTGTTTTCATAGACGATTCTGTCAAAATCGCTTGGTGTCGTTAGGTCTTATTTGTATAATGACTGATCCGAATTGATCCCATTTCTGTGTTTTTTTACCTCGATATTTAATCATGTCATGTAAAAATATGATGTCTATTACGTATGATATTAAAAATTGACATTTGATTTATTTGAATCAGTAAACTAAACAACCCTATTTTGCCATTGGTAGAAGAATCTGAAATTTTACTTAGGTAAATAGGTACATACAGTTTTAGCACACAGCAAATGCTTATATGTATTTCTTATGCACCAATGAAGTTCTGTTTGTATTCTCAAAACAGTGTCGGCCCATACGTTTTCACATGCAATACAGCAATTAATACTCCCTCGTTGTAACCCGTGTTAGGTGGTATAAACCTACACATGTTATTTGTCATCATTCACTTGATGGTCAGTTAATGAATTTATAACAGGTATATTTAGTTGTAACACCACTTAGATTACCCGACAAAGGTTCATATTTGGCATTTCTTGTGTCTGGGGTAAATATTCAACATTATAAACATCGATCAAAGGATTAACCGATAACACGCTGATTGCTTAATTACTTACACAAGGTAGTGTTTTTTGTATGTAGATTTACCATCTACTACTATCTCTAGTACTAGTATACTGTATACACTCTGTCGTGTCTGTGTCTGCGTAAAAACATCGTCCTTCCTTCAAAGGATTAGCCGCCAATACAGTGATTGATTGCTCATTATTGGCTAACTAAATTACCGTTTTTAAAGAATGGCGGACATTATGCAATCAGTTGCCAGGTGTGCTATCTTGGGTGACCAATGAGACTATACACCAATGTGACATACCTGAAACGGTATATCATTTTTTTCGTATATTAAACTGTTAAAAGACACATTACTTGGAACAGCTGCAGATGAATGGCATATCACGTGTTTTTGTGGATATTGATGGATACATTCGTCGAACAAGGTAATAGCCTGACATTGTTCCTATAACTTTAATCTGTTTTCATTTTAATATTTGCATTTTGTCTTTATTCAATTGTCGTAGCATTCAACAGAATCATTGTTTTCGCCGTGAAGTGTAATGAGACAGACAACATACACTGGGGCGTGTGTGCGAATTATGATTCACATTGGCAAACTATAAAATGTCTAGATATTACAGTCCTGTTATAAATGCACTATAAGTATCAGCAGATCGTCTGCTTTTTATTTAGTTTCAGAATGCATACAAGTATGATAATAAACTAATTAGGATTATAAGACCAAATATAAAGACGTACATTGACTAGTATCTACATACTGGTGAGTGCACGTTAACCACGTGAATGTAGCAAGAAATTTGTCGCGCAGTATTGTCACTTCGACCCCCCACCTCGCTTCCGTGGAAGAAATCGTTATGTTATAAGTTGTATCATGCAAACAGCTTTTGGTTATGATTCAAATACATATTTAACTACGAGTAGAAAGTAGTTTTGATTTTCTAACTTGATGAAAACAAACCATCATCTCATTAATTCTAACAAACTTTAGCCCATGACTTCACGATTTTGGCGGCGCCCTATCGCGAACATCCGCCAGACTGAGTATAAATGCTATTTAGGTTTGTTTTCACCGAGTTACAAAATCAAAACTACTTTCTACTTGTAGTAAAATATGTATTTGATTGGTGGCCTATAGGATTTTGCATGACATAGCTTATAACATAACAATTTCTCCCGTGGAAGCGAGGTGGGTGTCAATATAATACTACTTACAGAATTATTGTTACTTCGACCACAACCTCGCTTCTGAGGCCGAAATCGTTATGTTACAAGTTGTGTCATGGAAAATCTTTATGGTCATCAATCATATACATATTTCACTACGACTAGTAAGTAGTTTTGATTCCTTAACTTCCGTGAAGCGATCTAAACACAAGTAAGATATCATTTCAGGCTTCCACAACGCTCGCTTCGCACTCACAAACATAACCCATTTAGCACGAACTGCGGGGTCCTGTGGAAATCTGTGCATGGTGACACCATCGCCCATCCTCTAGGAGCAATTGACGACAACGCAACGATTTGGCATGTCGTCGTTGATGTCGAGAAATCATCAAAATGATGAGCTTGCTACACACTTTCTATACAACTAACTGAAAATCCTTCCTCATATGACGTCACTGCAGTGCGCTGGCGACAGAGTTACGTAACCTGTCTGTGGTTTCGTTGGCGGGCGAGAGTGAAGCAGGCGACTTTTTGGCAACTTTTAATCGCTCGGTACTAATTAACCACAAGTTTTTAAGAATAAATTTGGTGTTCCGCATAAGACTGACCACAAATCTTTCATATGTAATAGTTAAAAGAGTACAAAAAAAAAAAGTTTATTTGTTCTTGAAAAGTTTCTGTCATTGCTGCTGTAGCTGACAAAACATCCACCACAAGAGAAGCGACAAAACACGTTCCACATTCATAAGCAGGGCCGATTGTACAATTGTGACTCTATCATGAGCAGATATTTGTTTCAGGAGTATTACAATAGCTGTATGGTGTTGTTGGTAAACAAATCAGACAATCCAGTGAGTTTTACCATGCGACACGATGACAGAATATGTTTATGAATGACTAGGAAACAGTAATACCAGGTATTCGCGTAAAGGTGAGCGTATCCTGCCCAGCTGTCATAGATACAGGCTAACTTAGTCATCTGTTCATCGGAGATATATCGGTAACGTATGGTATAAGTCAAAATAGTGAATTGCATCCGACATCATGTCACTGATGCATCAAATTTGGCAATGTCCTCCACCTGTCTACCATAAAACTTGTTGAAAGCTTTACTGAGGCCTTGAATGTTATAATCCCCATTCCCTACCCCCACACTATCAAAAGGTCGGACCCTTCTATGATGTTCTTCAATGTATCATTGCTTTTTCGTATTTCCCGCATTACAGGTAGTGTGGCGTCGCGACTCGTCCCCCAATCCCTTGACTATTGGTTCACTGACGTTCACCAGCGACAGCCGTATAAGTGTACATCATCGGCCGCAGTCCTCGGGCTGGAACCTCCACATCAAGCAAGTGTCGCCCGAGGACGCCGATGTTTATATGTGTACTTTGCCCGGAAGAGAACGTGTCTTGAGTCGCGCAGTGTCACTGACGGTGCAAGACACTGCCGCTGGGGGAAATGCCGCCTCAAAATCAGGTAATATGATATCCCAAGCCTTATCCCCCATATTTCATATCTTGACCATGTTAAACACCAGTGCTTGTCACCGTACATTAGACCATGTTGAACACCAGTGCTTGTCACCGTCAATTAGACCATGTTGAACACCAGTGCTTGTCACCGTCCATTTGACCATGTTGAACACCCGTGCTTGTCACCGTCCATTAGACCATGTTGAACACCAGTGCTTGTCACCGTCCATTAGACCATGTTGAACACCAGTGCTTGTCACCGTCCATTAGATTGGAGTTTGGTTAATTCTCATACAGTTGGTCTATGAACATGGGGACACTCTTTCAACAGTGGGGTAAACCTTGCTTGTTTTAAGTAACCTGATATATTCTGTGGTTAGTTCCATATTTCTGTAGGGTTGGATGAGTCATACTAATTCCTGGACACAACTTGTACTACTGCGGGGAGATCCTAAAAGATAGGGACATTTCTAGCATTTGGCCTAGAACTAGTAGGCTTTATTTCTAGCAACAGTAGACAGAACTGACATTCAAAGAAAGTATACCTTTCAAAATTACATTTGACCCAAACATTACAAACATCACCTAAATGTTACTCTGATAAAATTGCTCGTCGTAACTCAGAAAACTTAAGGTCAAACCATAACTATAATCCCTATCTTCATCTACTAACCATTTTATGTTTGTTTCATGTCAGCTTATATCAAACATAGGCGTATAGTTTATTTTCAACCCATGAGTACTTCCTGGGTCTTCTCGTCGCACGTTCGAACCACTGATTCACAGTGATCCTGAACCATGGTGTGTCGTTATGTGGAACATTGTCAAATTGTGCTGCTCCATCAATTTGAATTTTTCCCCTCCTTACGCTGAACTGAACTCATTCAGAAGAACCTCCAACAGTCTTATATACTGTTTATTCAATTCATACACTGGAACTTTTATGGTATAAAAAAGCTATTTACATATATTTCTGTGATACATCATATGACAGATGTACGTTTTATTAAATCCAGGGGCGGTAGGGTAGCCTCAGGATTAAAGCGTCCGTTCATCACGCTAAAGACCCAGGTTCGATTCCCCACATGGGTACAACGTGTCTTGTGTCCCCTGCCGTGATATTGCTGGAATATTGTTAAAAGCAAAGTAAAATCTTACCTTAAAGACCTTACACGTGAGAGTAAAACAGTAATAGAATAGATATGATGTATTCAAGATTACGGTATATTTAAGGGAACTATGTATTTTACGAAATGGGTCCGAGAAATACCGGATTTGCGCATCTTCAAGAAAATAAAGGTTCTGCAAACTGTTCCATGAAACCGTATCTTCTAAAAAAGTGTATATTGAATTCTCTGATCGTGTTTGGAGAACAGTTTAAGAAGCAAGCTATATCCCAGGAGACGTGCTACTCTAAAAGAGTTTGGTAATCAATTCCAGGAGATTGTGATCCCGATCGTGCTGGAACATGTTTGGTAATCAGTTCCAGGAGATTGTGATCCCGATCTTGCTGGAACGTGTTTGGTAATGAGTTCTAGGAGATTGTGATCCCGATCGTGCTGTAACGTGTTTGGTAATGAGTTCCAAGAGATTGTGATCCCGATCGTGCTGGAACGTGTTTGGTAATGAGTTCCAGGAGATTGTGATCCCTATCGTGCTGGAACGTGTTTGGTAATCAGTTGCAGGAGATTGTGATCCCGATCGTGCTGGAACGTGTTTGGTAAGCAGTCCCAGGAGATTGTGATCCCGATCGTGCTGGAACGTGTTTGGTAAGCAGTCCCAGGAGATTGTGATCCCGATCGTGCTGGAACGTGTTTGGTAAGCAGTTCCAGGAGATTGTGATCCCGATCGTGCTGGAACGTGTTTGGTAAGCAGTCCCAGGAGATTGTGATCCCGATCGTGCTGGAACGTGTTTGGTAAGCAGTTCCAGGAGATTGTGATCCCGATCGTGCTGGAACGTGTTTGGTAGGCAGTCCCAGGAGATTGTGAACCCGATCGTGCTGGAACGTGTTTGGTAGTGAGTTCCAGGAGATTGTGATCCCGATCGTGCTGGAACATGTTTGCTAATCAGTTCCAGGAGACTGTGATCCCGATCGTGCTGGAACGTGTTGGGTAATCCCTTCCAAGAGATTGTGATCCTGATCCAGAACACAATGGTATTTAGTTCCAGGTATAAGAATATCCGGCCCCCAATTCGTGGAAGAGGGACATGCATTGCGCCTTGTTTGTAACGCCACCGGAGCTGTTTCTCCCCCAAATGACATTGACTGGTTCAAGGATGGCGTAAAAGTCACACGGGAAGTCCGACTTCTGATCGCAAAAACAGTGTCTATGGCAAGGAGAACCTTAAACAGTGTCCTGTACATCGACACAGCCGAGATGACCGATGCTGGGACGTACGTTTGCAGAACATCGGATCTCCAGATTACAAGCACCAAAGTATTTATCATCAAAGGAAGTAAGGAAGAAGGTGATGCTGTTAAATGTTTTCCTCTTCCGTTTTGGATAGCTGTATTCTGATGGCTAGTGTACGATCACCTGCCTTTCAAAGTCATGATTTTGTACATTTTAATGAACAATGATGACCTGGTGTTGAGTTCGCAAATATTTAATTTCATTGCATTGTTTTTACTTACTTTCATTGAATCCACATTTTCATTGTTTCACTTCATTTCAACATCTTCATCTCATTCTAAATTTATTACACGTGTGACGTTTTCATTGCACTTTCTCTAACATGTGAATAACCCGGTATGACATGATACGCGATGTCCGATTTTACTCCAGTCCTGCTGGAGACTGAGCCATGCATACACCACTGAACGTATTCCAGAGGGACAGACCTTAGTAAACACAACACGGAGTTGTGAGGTGATAGCTTGATAAAGAAACATCAGGCTGTCATCTTGGTGTGTATTACTACAAATAAGATCAGAGTTATGTTACAAGATGGCATAGTCTCAATATAACCGGGTTTTGATGGTATAACAGAAAACATATATGCACAGTTATCCTCGTTCACAACATTTACATCACCCCCTTCACCCGCCACCGTCCATCCTTGACTCTTCTACCACATCCTTACCACCACCCTCTGTCCTCACCACGCCACTCGTCCACCTCAACACCACCCCACAACCACTTCGCTGTCCTCACACATCCCTCTGACACGCCACCATCCTTTTCACATCCTCCACACCCACCTTCGCTGTCCATCCTCCACACCACCGCCACACGCCTTCTGTGTCCATCCCCTCATCATCCTCCACACCACCGCCACTGTCCAACTTCTGTGTCCTCACACATCCCCTCTGACACGCCACCATCCTCGATCACATCCTCCACACCACCGCCACTGTCCAACTTCTGTGTCCTCACACATCCCCTCTGACACGCCACCATCCTCGATCACATCCTCCACACCACCGCCACAACCACCTTCTCTGTCCTCACACAACCGTTCTGACCGGCCACCGTCCACGATCACATCTCCCGCACCAACAACTTTAGCTCACCGTTCTAGATCACATCTTCTGTGATTCACCTTCTCTGTTCTCCTCACTGACACCCACTACCCACAACATTCTCCCCCTTGCCCTACCTCTTCCCTCGATCACATCGTCCATTCCACGCCCTTGACCCACGACCGTCCTCGATCACATCCCCCACACCACCCTCTTGACCTGTCACCGTCCTTGATCACATCCTCCTCTCCACGCCCTTGATCCGTCATCGTCCTCGATCACATCCTCCACTCCATGCCCTTGAACCGTCACCGTCCTCGATCACATCCTCCCCTCCATGCCCTTGAACCGTCACAGTCCTCGATCACATCCTCCACTCCACGCCCTTGACCCACGACCGTCCTCGATCACATCCTCCGCTCCATGCCCTTGAACCGTCATCGTCCTCGATCACATCCTCCACTCCATGCCCTTAACCCACGACCGTCCTCGATAACATCCTCCACTCCATGCCCTTGAACCGTCACCGTCCTCGATCACATCCTCCACTCCACGCCCTTGATCCGTCATCGTCCTCGATCACATCCTCCACTCCATGCCCTTGAACTGTCACCGTCTTCGATCACATCCTCCACTCCATGCCCTTGAACCGTCATCGTCCTCGATCACATCCTCTACTCCACGTCCTTGACCCACGACCGTCCTCGATCACATCCTCCACTCCATGCCCTTGAACCGTCACCGTCCTCGATCACATCCTCCACTCCATGCCCTTAACCCACGACCGTCCTCGATCACATCCTCCACTCCACGCCCTTGATCCGTCACCGTCCTCGATCACATCCTCCACTCCACGCCCTTGCCCCACGACCGTCCTCGATCACATCCTCCACTCCACGCCCTTGATCCGTCATCGTCCTCGATCACATCCTCCACACCAGTCCTTGACCCACGACCGTCCTCGATTACATCCTCCACACCAGCCTTGACCCACGACCGTGCTCGATCACATCCTCCTTTCCACGCCCTTGATCCGTCACCGTCCTCGATCACATCCTCCACACTAGCCCTTGCCCCACGACCGTCTTCGATCACATCCTCCACTCCACGCCCTTGATCCGTCACCGTCCTCGATCACATCCCCTTGACCTGTCACCGTCCTTGATCACATCCTCCACTCCATCCCCTTGACCAACAACTACAACAATCTTCATCTCCCTCGATATCATTCCTTGATGCGCCACCGCCCACCGCCTTCTTACAATATCCGAAATTCGCTACGCCTTTTTAATACTTGGCATGTAAAATGCATCTTTGTTCGATCCAATTTCCTGCCCACAAGTCCTATTTCAGACCCTGGGGACTACTGGACATGGACGAAGCCGGGGGTAGCCAACAGGAGTGAAACAGTCCTATACACACTATCCCCACTGATCACCGGTTTCATGTTCCTGCTACCAGAAGACCGGTTCTCATTCTTCCCATATACATACAGGTATGATTTTGCAAAGTTCAGTCTGAATTACCAGACCACAAGATGGACCGTGAGAGCAGGGATGTTAATGGCATGATACTGTTACTTAGCAAATACCAGCAATGTTCCCCTTCTGGAATCCATGCTTTGAGGACGTTTCACGGGCAAAAGTCGTCGAATCTAGACACTATCAAAGTAAGTGCCAACCAGAATTATAAGATAACAAGGCTGGTTCCGGTTTAGTCGTTTTGTCTTCGAAGTTCCTTTATAAGAAGATCCTATGACTTTACCTTCGACCTGTAGGAAGAACGTTATGTGTACCTGTGTGTTTATGTATGTGAATAAACAGAATCATATATCAGCCAGAAGGTAAAGTCAAATAGAATACTGTAACGCTATTCTTAAACATTGAAAACATCTCTTTTTGTACCAATGTCCCTAATTCAGATTCTTGTTTCTTTTTTTTCAAGTCAGGGATGTGAAATTACAAGTAAATAGGGACCATCGTACGACATACATGCACTATTACTCTTAATGGTGCGGTCCCAGTGGCGACCTCAGGAGCTCGACCGACTCGACCTCGCAAACTACTCGACCGGTCTAGACCTGGGGGGTATCTCGACCTCACAACGACCTCAAAACGACCTCATAACGACCTCGTAAGGACCTTAACGACCTTAGTTCGATGTTAGTTCGACTTCAGTCGACCTATTTCGCCTTAGGTCGGCTAAGTTGAGAAGACCTATACTCGACCAGCTAGACCTGTATATCGACCTAATTTCGAATTAATTTCGTCCTAAGTCGACCGGCCCGACCTCACCGCGACCTGTGTTCAACCGGAGCGACTGATTATCGACGGAAATTCCATTCTCCTGCCGAGTAGAACCTTGGTTTCCAAATTGTATAAATTACAGGGTGCATTTTCACCAGGTAACCATGCAATTAGAGGCCTGCAAAGTAGTCACATCACCATCAGGAACCTTGACGTAAACCTGGTGAGCCCCGAGACGCGAAGACTGCTTACCATTTGGGTGCAGATAGCCTGGCACCTGCTTGAACTGGTGGATGACCTGGTGAATGTCAACCGTCCTCCAAAGCCAAAGCCAAAAAGCTCAGCCGTAAGCACATCAATCCCATCCTTGACGCCTTCAAAGCTGAATATCGGTCAGATGAGTGGGATCAGAGTAGATGGAATACTGTAGCCCGTGCTTTCAAGAAAAGGTGGCAATTTCCATATTGCACCGGTGCGTTTGATGGCGAGCACATGCGCATCAAGGAGTCTCCCAAAAGCGGGTCCCTCTTCTACCACAAGAACTTCTTCTCTATCGTCTTGCTGGCACTCGCGGATGCCGACTACAAGTTCCCGTGGGTCAACGTCGGGGCCAAGGGATCAGCATCAGACGCTGATGGTCTTCAACCATTCACGAGATCGGATGGAGGGCGATGACCTTGTATTCCCCGTATGGTGTGCCATACTTCATGATCGGAGACGATGCCTTTCCACTCCGCCCCTGGATGATGAAGTCCTTTTCCATGCGTCAGATGAACCCCGATCAGCAATTCTTCAACTGCAGGTAATTATTCTTTTCCATAAATACCTAAATCAAATTATAACTTAGTATATTTGGGTGTATGCAATATTATATCAAAGGTTTTGACTGTCTCGGGCCAGACGAGTGGTGGAGAATACCTTCGGGATACTGGCTATGAGGTTCCAGATCTTCCTCGGCTCCCTAAATAGCACTGCAGAGCTGAGCTGAGACAGAGCTGAACAGATAACCCAGGCCTGCGTCACTGTACACAACATGCTGAGAACGAGGAACCGGAACAGTCAGATGAACCTCATAGACCGGGGAATGGGGACTATTCACTCACCCCAGGCGAGTGGCGCTCCTGCACACAGCTGCTTGATGAGGATAACCGGGGTGCGAGGAACGTTACCCCACTAGATGGCGCCAACCAAAGAAATTATTTGAAGGACTATTTCATGGGCCCAGGAGCTGTTCATTGGCAAGACACTACTTACTTTTGGTAAATGCGAAAAAAAAAACCCATGAAAACTAACTATATACATGATGAAAAACTTTATTACAATCGTATAAGATGTATTTACATTTACACTTAGCAAAGGATGGAAAGTACAAAAAAAATATTCAAATCAGTATAAAGTGCCCATGACATATATGAGTATCAAGTTCTACTTCTCAGTTTCACTGTCGTTGCTGAGAGTCCTGAACATGTGACTGATCCTCTGAGGTGTGAGTAGGGTCCAAGAGACCGCTTGGCAGGTGCAGAGATATATATAAATGTATGCGTGTTTTCCAACACGGTCAAATTTCGTTGGTCAGTTTGTACATTATAAGTTGTTCACTGGTCCCTCGGGGCCCATGGGTTGATGTACCCTCGCTGTTTGTTGAACATAAACAAACATCGAGCGTACATCAACCCATGGGACCCGACGGACCAGTGAACAACGTATTTATCTTACCGAACACCTTAATCTTAATTTTGAAATGTTTGAAGCACGGGTACAAATCTTCTTGTAGCCATCACTTGATTTTGCTGACAAGAAAAACAGATTTAGAGTTATTCCCCTTCAATCGATTTGCATTCGCAAAACATCGGTAATTTCCGTACATCATGCGTGATTCAATGTAATTCGAGATAAAGAATTACTACCACGAAGTACCAAATGAGTTGACATTGACAGCGGGGTACATTGAAATGTTACTCGTTTGTAAGCGGGTAGATTGAACATAATAGAAGAGCGCTCAGCCAATCAGAAAGCGATATTTATGTGTGAGGTAAGATAAAAGCTGTTATATAGGCTCATAGCTATATATATAGTCATGTAAGGTGCAAATGTAATTAGACGAACACTTCTCCAGGTCATATGTATGTATGTATGTATGTATGTATGTATGTATGTATGTATGTATGTATGTATGTATGTGTATGTATGTATGTATGTATGTATGTATGTATGTATGTATGAGGCTGTAACCACGTTTGGTGCAACATCAGGCTGTAACCACCAGGGGGCAACATCAAGCTGTAGAAACTAGTGGTGCAACATCAGGATGTAACCACGTTTAGTGCAACATATCTACCAGGGGGCAACATCAGAGAGTAACTACAGGGGTGCAACATCAGGGTGTGACCATGTTGGGGGCAACATCAGGGTGTAACTACAGGGGGGAAACATCAGGATGTAACTACAGGGGTGCAACATTAGGAAGTAATCATGTTGGGGGTCAACATCATGATGTAACTGCATGGGGGCAAAATCAGGGTGTAACTACAGAGGTGCAACGTTAGGAAATAACCATGTTGGGGCCAACATCAGAATGTAACTATGTTGAGGGCAACATCAGGAAGTAACCATGTTGGGGGCAACATCAGGATATAACTACAGGGGACCAACATCTGGATGTAACTACAGGGGGCAACAACAGGGTAACATTAGGAAGTAACCATGTTGGGTGCAACATCAGGATGTAACCATGTTGGGTGCAGCATCAGGGTGTAACCATGTTGGGTGCAACATCAGGGTGAACCATGTTGGGGGCAACATCAGGGTGTAACCATGTTGGGGGCAACATCAGGGTGTAACCATGTTGGGGGCAACATCAGGGTGTAACCATGTTGGGGGCAACATCAGGATGTGACCATGTTGGGGGCAACATCAGGATGTGACCATGTTGGGGCAAGATCAGGGTGTAACCATTTTCGGGGCAACGTCAGGGTGTAACCATTTTCGGGGCAACGTCAGGGTGTAACCATGTTGAGGGCAACATCAGGATGTGACCATGTTGGGAGGCAACATCAGGATGTGTCCATGTTGGGGGCAACATCAGGATGTGACTATGTTGGGGGCAACGTCAGGGTGTAACCATGTTGAGGGCAACATCAGGATGTAGAGACGGCTGTGTGTGCAACATCTTGATGTCTTGATGTAACGATGGCGGTGCAATATTTGCATGTAACTACAGGTGTTCAACATCGGGATGTAATCATACTGGGGCAACATCAGTATGTTCATCAGGAGTCATTTATAACCATTTCATGTATTGAAAGTGAGGGATTGTATCAATAAATGTCCTCTTCTCCAAATTTCATCAGAAATATGTTTTGTACATCTATATAAATAACACCATTTAACGCATGTTTGTAATTATGATATATCACGAGAAATTGCAACAATCCTTTATTACATCAGATATCCATTCCTGTGTCATCGATGGGCTCACAGCAATGTTGAATTAACACACAGTAATTGTTTACGCAGGGGATGAACATCAAATTGGTCATCTATCAGTTTATCTGTACAACACTACTGTTGGTGAACACAGTCAATTAGTGGCATTTACATAAACCCAACATGCTCACCAACATCTGACTCTGGAGATACCTTGAAGCATGTTGGAGAACGATTAGCAGCGCGTGCATGCGTGCGTGTGTGTTATTTTATTGCACTAGTCTGAAAATGCAATCCTCCATGCACAATGTGGCTAATGTAAAATGATCATCAATACAATGATAAACATAATTCAAAAGTTACAAGTTGATACGAGGCACTAGCAACTATTACAAGATAATGAAGGATATTTGCATGCTAATAAGAATGCATCAAGTTTAGTGTTTGCACACTTTCCAGTATCAGGTTTGCCATGGCGCCATCTGGAATTGGAAGAGTCTCAGAGAAAGCCCAGGCATTCCTCGCGCCGCTGTCGCAGTAGTGCGTCCTTCTGGTACAGAAGATGTGTCTCCTGCTGCATCAGAGACAGCTGAAATATAGCGATAAACACAAGTACTCAATAAGACGTCATATCTAAACAAGATGTATATATTGAAGCATGAAGCAAGAAATAGGACTGATGCCTAAGTAGATAACAGATAGCTACAACCGGATGCAGTAAACATTGATTAGTAATTGATATACAAACATGTGTTGTAGCCATACGCACCTGCTGTGGATGGAGGCGGTTTCTTGGAATGTGTTTCAGCCGCTGGATCTGCTTCAATTTCTCGTTGATAGCTATGAGATGACCCACGTCCGTATGAAGGGCTGGTGGTACACATCTGACGGTCGGCATCAGGTGCTGTAGGGGAGCCAGGCTATGTGCAGGAGTGACAGCTCCAAGATTGGTTGACTCAGTTTGTATGTCGCATGCCATTGGACCTGACCAACCAAACCCAATCACGAAACTAACCGGCTTGTTTCGTAGAGACGGGCGTGATTCTCTTGTGTGGAGAGGTATGGTGAAAGCTGGTAGTTTGTTGCCGCTTTGCGTTTCCCATCGTATGTTGACCTCCCATCCGTTTCCTGCCAGCAGGCCTTTAAACCTGTGGAACAGATTCTGGTTTTCTCTGATACTTAAAAGACTCTGAAGTTTGTAATTCCCAAATGCTTTGTTGTAATTCCTCAACTGATGATAATGTACAACACTTTCAATACCTTCTCGTTTCGTGAGAAAGAAAAATGGCCTCTCAGTTCCATGTGGATTTCTTTGTTGTCTGGGATATTTTCTTCTATATGCATCCTTCCATTTGGTCAGTGCTTCAGCAAGTTTAACTGTCTTGGCAAGTTGATGGTGTTTCCTGTTTGGTGTTGGCCAATGAAGCAGCAGCAGGTAAAGGTAGGGTTCAAGGTCAATGTACTTGTCTTCATGGTTCATGTCATACAGACAAGAGCTAGCCTCCAACAAAACAGCAAATGAAGGCAGATCTGAGGCTGATGGAGCGACCTGAAGCAGGGCCAGTGCTGATCCAATTGCAATGCGACAATCAAATGGCAAAGGTTTTGACGCAAGGTTCATTTGACTCAAGCCATAAATGGTCAACAATATGTCTCTTGAATTTTTTTCTTTCAGCAGCTGAAGTACGTTTTGCAAAGAGTAAACCCCAAAATTTCGAACTTGGCGGCGGCGTTTATCTGGTGTTAATTTTGCAGCTCCAGACAAAGTGGGAGCATCCTCATCACCAAAGTACCTGCTGATTGTTTGCCTCAACTTGTCAATATTTCTTCTCTGAAAGAAGTGATAATTCCGTGATTGAGGACCAGTACATTCCACTCTGTACTTGTCAGCCTCGTCGTCCAGTTTTCTCAGTGTCATGAAGACATGTTTTTGAAGGGATTGTAACCATAAACGTTGTTCATCTGTCACTAGATCTAGTTCTGTTGGCTTTGATGATGATTCCCCTTGTAGAAACATCCTGAGATTGGCTTTGTTCTTGAAATCCGGAATGAGGGACAATGTGTCCAGGAGAGAACTGCAAATGTCAACTTGTCCAAAATACCCGGCTGTGTTTCGATCGATGATGTCTTCCAAGCTGCTGAGCTGTTGAACCTTGATGAATCTTTCAGTGCCTTCATAAGCACATTCTACTGCTTCTTTCATTAGCTTCTTAGTGTCTTCAGGATCTGTTGCTAACCCTGTCTCGAACAATTTCGAAAGTCTGACTTTGAAGATCTGTCCATGTGTGTCCCACAAATACGAGTTGTTTGGCTGTTTATCTGTCGCTTCAGATGCATATCTGATTGCCTGATCCCAGTTCTCACATACGATGAACAGACGTGCCAACTGCTGAGCAATGTAGATATCTGAAGTTTTGTCAAAAGTTGTTTCTAGGATCTCTGCAGCTGCATCAACATCCTTTGAGTCATAAAGCTCCTGAATCAGACGTGAAAAGGTTGATGGTTTTCCAGATGCAGTAGGTTCTCTCAGTTTCATAATTTCCTTCAAGATTTTGAAAAGGTCTCTGCTTGCCACATCTACCCGCCATTTGCAAAATTCTGAATTTAGGAATTCTAGCATTACATCGCTGAGTGTCTGGCCATCCACTTTCATGAGAATTGTCAGAATCCACTTACAAAGTAATGGATTTATGACACGTATAGATTTTGTTTGATCTTTTGTAGTGGTTATAAGCATCTTCAATGGGGTGCTTAAACATTTCTCCCATCGCTGTCCTGTTATGCGCTTTCTCTCTGACATGAGAAGGTCAAAGCAAGGAACTGGCACACCACGGAAACGGAGGTCATAGGCATTTAGGAGTGATACATATTTCAGCAGAGATTTCTCCTGGTGAGATTTTATACTCAGTATGATCTCGTTTACGGTATTTTCAATGTAAATTTCGCTGAAATTTTCCTTCATAATGTTCAGTGACAAAAGATTTTTTGGATTGGGTCCTTTTTGTCTTTTGAAGCTTTGCGTTAGTTCAAAGTATTTTGATTGAAACCAGTTCTTTTCTTCAGGGTTTAATTCTTGAGTCAACATAAACATCATTCCTTCTCTGTTTGTAGGAAGACATGTTTGTCGATGACATATGAGTAAAACACACAAAACACCAGGAAATCCTTGGAAGTGAGTGCTTGCTTCAACTTTTAACAATTCCATCAGAGTTTGGAGTTTATCTTCTTCAAGATTATCTACCATCACAAGTACTGGACTGCGTTTCTCTTCCTTGTACTGCCACAGGGATACAATTTGTTTGTGAGATTCCTTGGAATATTTGTGAAGAATGCAACACCTGTACCTTTCCTTCAGGTCCCACAGAAGCCCCTTTGCTGTTGTTGTGCCACCCGATCCTGGTTGGTGGTATAATGTTACTCGGCCGATATTGTGGTTATCTGAAACATTTCCTTTGAGCGTATCTTTCACATTCTCCAGAATACTGCCATGAATCTTTCGTGTTTGAACATGAGCAGAATAAAAATTCACCCATGATGGAGAATGACCTTCGTAGAAGTGTTTTTCTGCCTCCGTTTGGATTTTGAATTTTTCTTCTTCCCCCATTGTTTCCAGCTCACTACAAGCTGTGGCACTTAATATCTCAAGATCACACATTTCATTCTGCGTGTTCTTTGGAAGTACCGTATATACACCCGTTGTTGTAGTCAAATGACATTCAGCTTTTGTCAGTGGGTCATCTGGACCTGTTATCTCCTTCAAGCATGCGTTGATTTCTTCCCACTTACACTGAGTTAGACATCGGGTATTCAGAGAAGTTTGGTCATCAACTTGTCTGTTAAATAGCTGTTCCTTCCATTGTGCAGCTACAGCGTTCGATTCTGCCAACATCATCCACTGATTCTGGAATCTTTGGATTAGCTCCTCTGCTGCTTCGAGCATAACATCATATTCTTTGGAAACCAGAAGGTAAACTAGCATGGCCCTGTCATTTGGTACCAGATGAGAAAAGTACCTTACTGCTTCTTTAAATCCTTCACTTCTCTTTTTCTTCCATTCCAAAACTCCCAAACCTGGTTTTCCAAAGGTTCAAAGCCATTGCAGAAAATCCACGGTTTAAGATGTGATGATTCCATGTCTTCATTTAGTTTGTCATCTCTGGATTTTGCTTCATGGTGTTCACATCCTCTCTGGTCAAAATCGTCTGTAAGCATCAGTTTGAAAGCCATCTTCTGTTCTTCTGTAAGGTATTCATAGATACCCGTTTTGTGCCCTTCAGGATCAAAGTCAAAGATACACACCCACTCGAAGTCCGCAATGAAAGAAAAGCGAGCATGGATTTCCTGTGATGACATGCTTTTGTCAAGTGGGCTGATTACAAGAATTGGATATATATCTCCCATTTGTGTATCCCCGTCACAAAGGAACATGCGGAGTTGTTGAAGCATATTCATGCCTTGTGCTGTTTTTGCCACATATATTTTCTCAGCGTCTTTCCTTTTTTCATCAAGTGTTGACTTTGTACTCATGTACTGATAAACCCCATCTGCACTCTCATCATCAGGGGCACCCGATTTCAACCTGAACAGTTTTTGACCTGATCCTTTCTGACGTGGTTTCATATACTGATCTTTTATAAAAAATGCTTGATCCTTAACAAGGCGTTCTTGGGGTTCAACATCTATCTCTAGAATATAGCCACAGACCTCCTTGTTGTCAATAACGTCTACATATTTGGCAGGATGAATGCATTCAGAGGCAACGTCTTGTTGATCAGAAGGAAAACAGTTCTGAATTGATTTGACAATAGTGTCTTCACAATCCTTCCGTTCCAGTGTTATACCCAATACTTCGCCATGTGAGTGATCGGTATCCGAGCCATCATAGACGCCAAAGTGTACCGTCCCATTAGTGCGGTCATTCATACAGGCTGAGGCAAATTTCATAGTTTCCCATCCAATTGCCTCAAGAGCAGAGTCTTTATCTAAACCATCAAACGTGATACAGTAGTGGGTTGGGTCGATCATGTTGCCAGGACGTGTCTGGAGGTTTTCAAGAATCTTCCCTTTCTTGTACTTTTCTGTGCAGCCTGTTTTGGTGTCAAACTTTCTTGCATATTCCCTTTCTTGCAGACGACGCTCTACAGACATGACATCCCCCTGTAATCCAGTTTGTAGCTTACCACTCTCGATGAATTCATCCCTTTCCATTAAGATCTTAGTTCTTTCTCCAAATTTCAAATCAGGGAATACCTCTTTCATTGAGCTTCTGTCCATGGTCAGAAATACACTGCCATCAATTTTCTCCTGTTTCATTGTTTTCAGAACATCCTCATCAATATTGTTCTTCTTGAGCAATGGGGCTAGAAACTCACAAAGTTGATCTGTGTCCAGGTTCCTGATATTATATGACTCTGTTGCTGGTGGAAAGAGAACAACATGTAAAATAGATTACCAGCAGTTTAGTTACAAAACAAAACAGAAAATGATGAATCATTTCATCTCAGTTGGACTTAAAATATTACTAAGGGCTGAGTAATGATGATAAACATTTCAGTTTTTAGTATGTTCGGGTTGCACAGGAATAATAGGTGTCGGACATGGCCAAAAGTCGGGACACCTCTGTTAAGCCCTGCTACTAGCTTATCATCCACATTTCATCACATATGTTGCGCAAATGACGGAGTAAAGGCCATAACAATGTTTTTCAATGTAGCCAGACTCCCTTCAGGATGGGTCAGAGCCATTTCGGTAAGCAAAACTTCATGTAAAGTGCTAAACGTATAACACATTATCATTCTGATCACTGCTTAATGACGACAACACTATACGACGAACCAGCGTACATAATTACTGGCTACCAAACACACAATAATAATCATCTTTATTTGCACTGAGAAGGCCACAGGCCTATAGTACATAAAGTTATGTTACATTTGAGAGGAATTTAGATCGGGTAATCATAGCATAGTAAATGAACATTGAAATATTTTGTAGAAGAACTGGATTTTTACTACTTAACAATGAGGAGAATTTTATCACATTGGGATGGACATAGTAATATCTTTTGATATATTTTGTTCGCAACCGGTTATAAAATGGACATATTAGGAGAAAATGTAATTCAACTTCTAGTTCGTTAAAATCACAAAGTGTACATATTCTATTTTCTCTTTTTACATTCATATATCTGCCTCTTTCAATCAACAAATCATGAGAAGAGCATCTGAATCGTGCCAGCGCTATTCTAAACTTTTTAACATTAACACAGGATAGATATGACTCAAGAACTATGGCACTTTTAAACAATGGTGTACATGCATTTATTTGATAAGGATATCCTTTCACTCCATGTTTGAATATACAGATCTTTTAGTCTTGTCGTTAAGGATTGTATGAATAACGTAGGTGATTCGACATATTGTCTATTCCATGTAATTCCAACACCAATAGAATATAAAAAGGTTTTTACATTGGTTGACCAATTTTTTTGTCCGCCTTTATCATATAACAACATCATATTATAACACTTCTTGGGTAAGCGATTTGAAGGCATAATCAACAGTTTTAGCCAGTACTTAATAACTTTAATGCTTGTAAGAATGTGCATTGGGTACCTACCGCATTCATCATAAATCACTGCGTTAATAGTGTTAATTTTAACTCCCAGGAACTTTTTGCATGCGTATAAATGGATTTTTCAATTTCGTCAAATTTTGTTATTCCCCACATTTCGGCCCCATATGATAAAATTGGACTGACTTTGGCATCAAATATTTTAAAGAATGAAGAGTAGTAAATATTACTAAGTACACTCAACTGTTTCATAATTCCAATTAATGCTTTTTGTCCCTGTAACGCTGCATATTTCACATGCCTCGTCCATGACAGGCCACTGGTGAAATATAGTCCCAAATATTTATAAAAGCCAATACACTCCAGCTGCATACCTTTATATAACCAGTTTTCCTTTTTTTGACAATTTGCCTCCATTTTGAATACAACAATTTTCGTTTTTTCTCTATTTACAGTTAATTTCCATTTATCGCAGTAACTTTCAAGTTCATTAATTTGATTCTGTAAGCCATTAATCGTGCTTGAGAACAAAACAATGTCATCTGCAAATAGCAATAGGAAAATATGAACTATATCAGGGTGGAGTTGAATCCAGTGTACACAATTAGTTTCGATTTGTCGTGCTAACTCATTTATAAAAAAGGAAAATAGAAATGGGCTTAGTATACAGCCTTGTCTCACACCAAGTTGCGAGTCGAATGTTTCTGAATAATTATGATTACTTTTAATGCAAGACTTGACATTTTCATACATATTGGATAAAGGTTTACTCATTTTACCACTGAGACCGTGGGTATTAAATAGAAGCCAAAGTTTTTTTCGTTGTATTGAATCGAAAGCTTTTGCAGTATAAACATATTATCTACTGTCCTATATCCCTGTCTGAAGCCAGCTTGCGCTTCGCTGATCTTATCCATTGAGTCTCCCCAGTTTACAAGTCTTTTATTTATTATAGAGGTGAAAGTTTTACTAAATATGCTCAGTAGTGTTATGCCTCTGTAATTATTTGGATTATATATATTACCTTGTTTATGGATAGGAACTATTATGCCAATTGCCCAACATCTGGGGAACGTACCAGTTTCTAATATCAAATTAAAGAGCAATTCTAAGTACGGGACGATAAGATCTGCTGAGTATTTAAAAAATTCAGATATTGTTTTATCAATTCCTGGTGATTTATTACATTTCAATTGGTTAATGCTATCTAAGATTTCATCTCTAGTAATTGGGGAATCAAGTATTACCTTGGTAAGCTCTGAATTCGGATCTGATGGGTTTTCATTCTCGGAATTATCACATGTTACATCGTCATTTTCATTATGTAAAGAGTTAAACAGTGTCCGAAAGTGTTCTAGCCAGTCGTCCATTTCGATGTTGTTTTTGAGCTTCATGTCTAGTATTCAGGTGTTTGAGTTCATACCAAAATATTTTTGAATCAGATATACTGTTTTCTATTACTCTCTGCTTCTCTTTATAATAATTAAGGCGTTTTTCCTTACAAATTGAGTTATATTTATTTCTTTTTGCGCAATATTGATCGTATGATTCTTTATCTTTAGATTTCCTAAACTTATTCAGAGCTCTACATCGGTCTGATTTTAATCTTTCACATTCAGAGTCAAACCATTTATTAGTTGTTGTTGGGGGAGGGCTAACTGTTTTCTTCATGCAAGAGGCGGCCAGACAGAGTGCCTCGGTCATATAGCTTATACTATCATCAATATTAACGAAAGCACAGTCAATCGATTTATCTAGTAATTCTTGTACGTTATCTGACAAAATATTTTCTCTAAACTGTTCTAATTTATCGTTATCCCAAATGAACTTAAACGACTTATTCCTACATTTGGTAGAAGTGTTGGATTGCTCAAGTTGTACTGTTTTTAGTTTTAATGTATTTATTATCCAAATGAATGTTACACAGTGAGGAATCTACATCTCAGAGGCTTCGCAATACCACATGTGCGTCTGTTGAAGGCATTCGACCTTCAGAAGTCCACATCACAAATAACGTAAACACATATCATGTTAACACTGCACCTCAGCAACAAGGTGAAACATACACGGCTAATTGAATAATGTGAGCAGCAGCTAAACATTACTACCATAAACCACCGAAAAATAGCATAGTGTTATCTTAAATGTTCTCTACCTCTAGCACAACGACCTTCCTCTATACCCTACTCAAGACATTCGTCACCACTCCCCATTTCCATAACCTTCATGAAGACTCTCCCCCTATGTTATGTGCGAAGAGACGACAAACCAAACAGAATCCGCGTAAGGATTTTGGTACTTAGATAAAAATAATTCCGAGTACTTAAATCAGTTAGGGCGATATGCTATTGTTTTAAATGACGTGAAAAATATGTATCGTCAGTTTAACATTAGCTAACAGAGTTGTGTTGCCTGATTTGAAGGGTTTTTTTAGGGCAACGAACTGTTAGAGATTCAAATCAACACACGTGCGTTCGTTCACACAACGGCACCCTTGTTTCACATTGATTGTTTGCATTGATGATCGTGCGTGTTTACTTTTATTTGACGTGCGCTTTCCGACGTGATGTGCACATATCGTACCCCATCTGAAGATTCATTGGTTTTCCAAGTTTGTTTCATTTTAATACCCATTTTGATTTCTATTAAGAGGTGACAAATAGTTTTGAGCAATGCAATTATGAAATGTTACGAGTTTTAAAACAATATGTGTATGTATATGTAATCTGCTGTGCTTACATTTCACAACACTGGGGATATTTTAGTATGATGTAATACATTTTTCAGTGGATTTCATTAACCTAAGGATATGGTGGAAGGTCACGCGAATTTTTCATTTTGAAATCTATTTGAAGTCATTTTTGTGTATCTGTAGTGGGACTTACAGGAATATCTACTAACCTATTCAATGGAAAAATGAACCATATTAAGAAATATGCATTTGGAAATATAAAGTGAACAGCTGGTAATACCTAAACGTTAGGATATGTTTCCAGCAAATATCTTATTTTGTTTTAGTTGCAACAAAGATGTTTACTTCTTCTGAATACAACAATATTCGAGTGATTCGGTTTATTAGAAACAGGAACTGAGTTATCGTTCTTGTTTGAAGTAGTTCTCATGTCCATGCGCCAATATACGCCTATCAGAGGGGCACGAGTCACTGTTTGGCTTGTAATGAAATAGCACGAGTTGCTCACGACTAGGCTGGAGACAGATAAGGTCACATGTTATATGGAAAATCGACATTGCAGGGAATTCCCTCAACTCGAAAGTGGTAAGAAGGAGTCGACCCTATACACGTATACGAACGGGATCAGTCTCATTTCCCTCACAAGGGATCAGCACATTATCGACTGTCGGAGGAGCACATACAAACCCGTTATGCATTTCTCTTACATAAAACTAGACTTACTCGAGTCCCGAATATGACATCATGGTCTGATATTGTTCAGTATGGTTAAATAACTGATACCCTACCCTTACACTGATTTCTTCACTTGGCTTAGAGAAAAGGAGACCTGTGGGACCACCTCCTATATGTCATATTTTGATCAGTGTATACAGATTCATAGTGACAAAAACTCTCTACAAGATTGTTTGACCGCAAGGTCCCATGGTCAGCCGTTTGAACACACGGTCCCAGGGTCAGCTGGATGTTTGACCAAAGGGGCAAGGTCAGCTGGCTGTTTGACCACAAGGTCCAATGGTCAGCTGGCTGTTTGACCACAAGGTCCCATGGTCAGCTGTTTGACCACAAGGTCCCATGGTCATGGTCACAAGGTCCCTGGTCAGCTGTTTTTGACCACAAGGTCCCATGGTCAAGCTGCTTTGACCACAAGGTCCCATGGTCAGCTGGCTGTTTGACCACAAGGTCCCATGGTCAGCTGGCTGTTTGACCACAAGGTCCCATGGTCAGCTGGCTGTTTGACCACAAGGTCCCATGGTCAGCTGCTGTTTGACCACAAGGTCCAATGGTCAGCTGGCTGTTTGACCACAAGGTCCCATGGTCAGCTGGCTGTTTGACCACAAGGTCCCATGGTCAGCTGGCTGTTTGACCACAAGGTCCCATGGTCAGCTGGCTGTTTGACCACAAGGTCCCATGGTCAGCTGGCTGTTTGACCAGGTCCCATGGTCAGGTTTGACCACAAGGTGGTCAGCTGGCTGTTTGACCACAAGGTCCCATGGTCAGCTGGCTGTTTGACCGCAAGGTCCCATGGTCAGCTGGACTGTTTGACCACAAGGTCCCATGGTCAGCTGTTTGACCACAAGGTCCCATGGTCAGCTGTTTGACCACAAGGTCCCAGGGTCAGCTGGCTGTTTGACCACAAGGTCCCATGGTCAGCTGGCTGTTTGACCACAAGGTCCAATGGTCAGCTGGCTGTTTGACCACAAGGTCCAATGGTCAGCTGGCTGTTTGACCACAAGGTCCCATGGTCAGCTGGCTGTTTGACCGCAAGGTCCCATGGTCAGCTGGCTGTTTGACCACAAGGTCCCATGGTCAGCTGGCTGTTTGACCGCAAGGTCCAATGGTCAGCTGGCTGTTTGACCACAAGGTCCCATGGTCAGCTGTTTGACCACAAGGTCCCATGGTCAGCTGGCTGTTTGACCACAAGGTCCCATGGTCAGCTGCTTGTTTGACCACAACATGGTCAGCTCAGGCTGTTTGACCACAAGGTCCATGGTCAGCTGTTTGACCACAAGGTCCCATGGTCAGCTGGCTGTTTGACCACAAGGTCCCATGGTCAGCTGGCTGTTTGACCACAAAGGTCCCATGGTCAGCTGGCTGTTTGACCACAAGGTCTGGTCAGCGGTCAGCTGTTTGACCCAAGGTCCCAGGGTCAGCTGTTTGACCACACGGTCCCAGGGTCAGCTGTTTGACCACAAGGTCCCATGGTCAGCTGGCTGTTTGACCACAAGGTCCCATGGTCAGCTGGCTGTTTGACCACAAGGTCCCATGGTCAGCTGGCTGTTTGACCACAAGGTCCCATGGTCAGCTGTTTGACCACAAGGTCCCATGGTCAGCTGGCTGTTTGACCACAAGGTCCAATGGTCAGCTGGCTGTTTGACCACAAGGTCCCAATGGTCAGCTGGCTGTTTGACCACAAGGTCCAATGGTCAGCTGTTTGACCACAAGGTCCCATGGTCAGCTGGCTGTTTGACCACAAGGTCCCATGGTCAGCTGGCTGTTTGACCACAAGGTCCCATGGCATGCTGGCTGTTTGACCACAAGGTCCCATGGTCAGCTGTTTGCAAGGTCCATGGTCAGCTGTTTGACCACAAGGTCCAATGGTCAGCTGTTTGACCACAAGGTCCCATGGTCAGCTGGCTGTTTGACCACAAGGTCCCATGGTCAGCTGGCTGTTTGACCACAAGGTCCGATGGTCAGCTGGGTGTTTGACCGCAAGGTCCAATGGTCAGCTGTTTGACCACAAGGTCCCATGGTCAGCTGGCTGTTTGACCGCAAGGTCCCATGGTCAGCTGTCTGACCACAAGGTCCCATGGTCAGCTGTTTGTCCACAAGGTCCCATGGTAAGCTGTTTGACCACAAGGTTCCCAAGGTCAGCTGGCTGTTTGACCACAAGGTCCCATGGTCAGCTGGCTTTTTGACCACAAGGTCCCATGGTCAGCCTGTGCTGTTTTGTTTGGTCAAGGTCCAATGGTCAGCTGGCTGTTTGACCACAAGGTCCCATGGTCAGCTGGCTGTTTGACCACAAGGTCCCATGGTCAGCTGGCTGTTTGACCACAAGGTCCCATGGTCAGCTGGCTGTTTGACCACAAGGTCCCATGGTCAGCTGTTTGACCACAAGGTCCCATGGTCAGCTGTTTGACCACAAGATCCCATGGTCATCTGACTGTTTGATCACAAGGTCCCATGGTCAGCTGTCTGACCGCAAGATCCCACGGTCAGCTGACTATTTGACCACAAGGTTCCATGGTCATCTTTTTGACCACAAGGTCCCATGGTCAGCTGTTTGATCACAGGGTCCTATGGTCAGCTGGTTGTTTGACAACAAGGTCCCATGGTCAGCTGTTTGATCACAAGGTCCCATGGTCAGCTGACTGTTTGACCACAAGGTCCCATGGTCAGCTGACTGTTTGCCCAGAAGGTCCCGTGGTCAGCTGTTTGACCACAAGGTCCCAGGGTCAGCTGTTTGACCACAAGATCCCATGGTCATCTGACTGTTTGAGCACGAGGTCCCATGGTCAGCTGTTTGACCACAAGGTCCCATGGTCAGCTGTTTGACCACAAGGTCCCATGGTCAGCTGTTTGACCACAAGGTCCCATGGTCAGCTGTTTGACTACAGGTCCTATGGTGAGCTTTCCCTTTTGTGTCCAACGATATTCCATCATCCACAGCCTTTGTTGTCTACATTTCAGTTTGTGAGCATCTGTTTCCAAATTTAAACAGCGTCATGCCACTCTTGCTCAAAACGTTATTTCAGGCCATAGTAATTAAAACTTTCAAAAGGTTTTAATGGTAGACATGTGGAGGCCATTTAATTACTAGCTAAATTGATCTGTTGGTTTTATCTATGTTTTTGCGAATGTGGGAAAATATACCAATCGCTATCCACTTACCCGCTGCTCTTTGTCTTCTAGCTCTCCCAGGTGGTTTCAGCATATCCGCCAAGTGAGGCTGTGTGCGTCTCAGCTGGACCAGAAAGACTTCATAAACATCGCCATCTTGCAGCTCCTTGGTCCGGAGTATGTCCAGGAGTCTCTTTGCTTTATCTTTGCGAGTTGTCTCGAGCAGGATTCTTTCCTTGTCATCGTCACTGAAAACATCCTTCTCGTACAGGTGCTCGACCAGGTCTTTCGCCTCCAGCTCATCGTGAAGCTCACTCAGTTTTTCCTTGATCTTATTCCAGTCGGACCTCCGCATTGTCCTGTATAGAAACGTGTACCCAATAAGTCCCTGCTAAACATTAGGCTCCCCGCTCCCGCAGGTTGGTTAAACCTATTTTAGAAATACTACTGTGATATTGGAATCTAGTTCTGTTTGAGTTTATACACCGAGAAAAGGGGACATCAATGGTCAAGTAATGTAAGGCTCTGTCTGTGGTACAACAGAATCCCCTAGACAGAATCTGCTGGTCGAATCGCAGATTATTCTCCAAGGCTTTTTATGTGTTTCACCTAGGTTTTCTTCACTTTCCGCATACATTAAAATATTATCTAAATGAAAGACTGGACACCTGTGATGACAAAAGAAATAATCGAACAGAACCGGGGATTCCTTCTTCTGCCCTTGCGAAGAGAAGTTTTTTCTTTGTCCAAGTAATAAGAATATAACAATATATAAGCATTTCCATGCTTTACAAAACTGCTATTTCAACTTTAATTATAATCAAGAAATGTCCTGCAATCCTGTAAATTTGTAAATCTGTTGTAAGTATAATCAGTATGGTGTGGCACCTGTCTAATTAAAATTGTATTTACTTCACGATTACAACTGAGAGACATGCATTGCGTTAATGCTGAAAATAGGGTCATTGATATACATTTCCTCGTTTTACGTTTCAACTTCCTTGTTGGTAGGACCGGAGGTTTTTCCTGTCTCAAACAAATATAGAAATATAATACCATTTGTGTCATATTTCTTCATGTTTCACAACTGGTGTATTAAAAACACCATCTTTTCCTTAGAAAAGATATTTTTCTCAGAAAGATATTTGATTCTATAAATTTGATTCTATCTAATGGTGATCGATCACCACAAATGTGAGTGAGAGGGTGAGGTTTGTAGCCGCCTTCTGGTTGCTTACTCGGGGAACCAGCTCATATACACAACAAACAATAGCGTCACTGTCTGCTATAATCCGACGCGCTCGTTACCAACAACATGTTTACTGGACCAGCAAAATATTTCCTTCACCGAACCTGTCAAACCAGCTACGACTATTGTGCGTGGATTCAAGTCACACCCACCTACCTCCAGAAAATAACATTCTGGACCTGATAGACTTCGACATTCTGGACCTGATTTAGACTTCGACATTCTAGACTGATGTCTGTGTATATATTTAACATGTCAAGTTCTCTAGAAATGTTCTGACGGGAGTATGTCCTCGAACGCGGAAGTCGAAATTGGGATTGAGACTCACTCAATACAGGTTATCAGAGAGAACAGTCCTGACACACCCAAAACACCAGTCTACACTATTATTGTTCTGAATACATGATTACGCAGGGCACAATAACTGTTTCTTGCATATTATAACAGCCTACAGTCGGTGCCCCGGACCTGTCGGGGTGGTATCTGATCAGTGACACCCCTTGTGATCAGCGCCACCATGTACAGCTAGTTGAGCAAATTGTAAATGTAATAGTTTTAAGACATTTTCATAAATGTTTGCATACTTACGATTCCCAACGGTCTATCCTGTAAGAGATATTATCTAGTTACGTAACTGTCTTGCGCAATTGTGATCCGGCACCCGCCATCTTGTCTGCGGAGTTCAATCGAACATTCGACACGGGATAAATATAGCGACAGTTCACTTCTTAGAAATGAACAGGGGAATTCCCGGAATTATAACTTAACTAACCAACCGCTGATTACTAACTGACTTAAAGGGACATCGATCCAGAGCAATTCCCGAGACGAGCCCGACTTTACAGTTCGGGTGTTTGTTTTTTCCACATATAGAGTGCACTGCATATCCTGTGAACATCATGCAGTGGGGTTATCTCAGCCTCATGTCTAAAGGGTCATTCAGTTGTTGTTAATTGTTATGACGAACAGAGTGGGGCTCAGCTTTGACTAGTTCTCATTAGGGTAAAATTACACTAGTAAAACGTTAATCTCTACATTAAGGGCAGCGTGGAGCGACGAGATAGAAGCCTTGTTCAGTTTAATATGCCTTTTCTCCTTTGTATTCCCCATAATATATTTGTAATGGCTCGGTAAACAAATCCATGGTAGTTGATGGTTACCTGTATATGATATTCATGCACATGTCTACAATTGTCTGTGACAACTGAGTTTTGTTATGAATGTTTAACATATTACTATTCTGTTGTTTTCTTTTGTATATTTGTTATTATATCACTTATTTCTTTTTGATGGGTACATAATTGTTGCATTTGTGGTACATATAAATATACAAAGTAGGGACACAAGTGGTAGATAATCCGTAGGCTAGAAGAATACATTGTGATTATAACTTATGTGAAGAGGTTATGACCAAAAGGTGAAGAATTTACCATAGTTGTATACAGTGAAAAAAGGCAGTACATTTGTCAATTTCGTACAGGGTGTGTAGGTAATTTCTTAATCCAACAAACTGAGGATGCGAATTAGAACATCTCTTTGCATATTCAAAGTACATATATATAGTATTTTGTTGCGATGATAATCAAGTATAATACATCATTTCGTTTTTCTTTATATCCACAGATGATATGTTTTGCATCCAGAATTAATCTTGTGCCTGTATCTTGTTCAATCCAGGCTTTCAGTTGTTGCTACAGCGTTTTCACATGTACACACTCACAAAATATGTGGATCATTGATTCGATTGTAGCATTACAAAATGTACAAGAAGAAGATTGTGTCAATTTATAGTTAAATAAATCTTTGTTTGTTGTAATGATTCTTTGGACAATTATATATTGAAGCCATCTGAATTGTGTATTACAAGTTGTTCTGAAAGGTACATAGTTAAAAACTTTCCAGAGTTGTTCTGATATATCTACGTTGATATCCCTTTCCCATTTATGTTGGCTATTTAGCTTTTCTTTTAATGTATGTTTCCTTAGCAAGACAGAGTAGGAAATCTTGCATCCTTTACGTTCTTTGTTGAGAATATCTATATTATGAGGAATAAATGGCTCCTCTACTTTACACAGAGTTAGGTTTTTTTTAAAGTAAGTATGATTTTACGGAGTTGATGATACCTTAATATCGTATAGGGAAATAAACACCTCATAGGTAAGAAAATTACAATCTTTTTTCATTAGATCATTAATGAATTTAACATTTCCCTTCAAGTAATGTTTATAAAGTATAGGTTTTTAACCTACGGTGAAGGTCGTTGGCCCATGTATATTGTTTTGAAGTTTCAGTATCAATGTCATCATTTACTTGTAAAGATTGCATATTTGCCCACGCTTCGTAAACATCTCTCCCAAAAACGTTTCTAATATTTGGGATAATAGTGTGTTTTAAATAGTTTACTCCCATCTCTGTTGGATGAAGATTTCTTTGTTGGAATAGCAAGATCTGTAAGATTTGATATGTTAGAATGTTTAACAAATGTTCTTCGCAGCCATGAGAGTTTTTGAGCCTGTATTGTTTCAAGAATTAAAGGTACATTTAAAACCCATCTTTGTACGATTGAATAATCGTACTTCGCTTGATCGTATCAGGTTTTCCTTTCCAAACAAATTTAAACCATATTTTCTGTAGATTTTGAATGGTATCACCTCTTGGATTTGCAACATGGTAAAAAGGTGGTTAAGGGAAGGTAATATAGGGCTTTTTAGGACATTAATTCGACCAAAAGGAGTAAGGTCTCTTCTAAACCACATCATCATTTTCTTGTCAACTTGTTTTAGTTTGTCTTTATAATGTCTTTCGACAATTTCAGCCTGGTTGTGTTGAAAGTGAATACCGAGTAGAGTAAAGGGTCTTTGGGACCAATTTGGTTTGAATGTCTTACAGTATTGAATGCTTGATTATTGCATAGAACTAATACATATTATTTTAGTTTTTTTCTATGTTTATTTTAAGGCCAGAAAATTCGGCATATTTATTAAGTATACCATAGGTTGCTTGAAAGCAATTTTCCGTTCCATCAAGAATAAGTGTTGTGTCGTCTGCAAATTGCGTTAATAAATATTCAGTCTCAAGAAGTTTAATACCCTTTACATATTTATTTCCCTCAACATGTGTGCCAAAGTTTCTGTACAGATAAGGAAAAGATATCGTGACTGTGGATCGCCTTGTCTACATCCTTTCGAAATATTAAAACATTCACTGGAAAAAAAACATTTTCTAGAACACTTGACTTTTTATCATTGTAAAAAGTCTTAATCCAATGTGTAATAGAGGGTCCAAAATAAAAAAGTCTAGACAATTTTCAATAAATTTCCATTCAACAGAGTCAAAAGCTTTTTCAAAGTCGATTAGTAAACCTGGTTTATGCATTTGTTCGGTGTATTCCATTACGTCTGCTACCAGTCTAGTGCAATCACCAATATATCTTCCTTTCATAAATCCTTTTTTGATCCTCACTAATTATAGTTGGCAGTATTATTTTTATACGAGCTGCAATCTTTGCTGATGCTATTTTGTAGGGATATGGGTCTATAGTTTTTTATATATTCTTTAGGCTTTTCCTTTTTTGGTAAACATGTAATAAGGCCTTGTGTTGGCTGACCGATAGATCCCCATTTAGATACGCATAATTTAACGAGTTTTTCAAAAATGTATGAAGATCCTTCCAAAACAATTTAAAGAATTCGGATATGTAACCAGAAGGTCCGGGAAATGTGTTATTTTTCATATTTGTCAGGGCGTTAAGAGCTTCATCATATTGGAGTTCTCCTTCAAGTGATAGAGAATGTTCATTTGTATTCTTAGCGAAGCCATAAAACGCCACAACAGTGAAAGGGAGAACCCAGATAATCTACTGCTCTTACTCCTCGGGATTCAGACAGTATAAATTAACACTGTAGGGGAGGTAACCGCATATGAGGCAAATTAAGAGGTCTGCCTCAAAATTGAGACGTGCAACAGTCTGTTCGCACACAATGCTGCCTGTACCTCTTAGACCGCTGACCTCAGCCAGCTAAACGGCTTTTCTGTTGTATGTGTCGGTATTGATGGGATATTCTGAATAACATTCATTGTCACGTTTTTAAATTTCTATTTGCAAAATAACGATGGAATTTTCTTGTCAGTTTGTAATAGTGTTCTGTAAAAGGCAGTGTGACTTGAGTAACAGAATAAAAAGTTTATTATCCATATGACACGCTTGTGCAATAATCTCTGTATATGCATTTATGTTGTTTGTTAGTTTGCATCAAGTCATATTGGGTCTACTTTATCCTAAGATTACGGACAACATGTTCTCGGGTTTAGCCTCTTATAATACTGAAATGCGTGTTTCTTGTTTGAAAGTTGACTGTAAGTGTTTACGTGCGAGTGCGTTACAAGAGTTATCGTTCGACCACAAGGGCGGAATAGGTTAGTACGCTCATTTACTGTGGAGAGAGCTCCTTTATCAAAGTCGAGGTAACCGCGTTGTAGTCAGAAACAGTGTGTAGTAGGAAATTAACTGAAACCAGTATTGTTCCAGTTTATGAATACACAATGTCACTGAGAAAGTGGTCAAATGTAACATATGTTATATTTGAGGTTACATTTTCTCAGTAAAGTATAGATTCTAGTACATTATTAGCTTGTGTCCAATCCGGGACTCATATCCATGCTCTCAGTCAGACAGTTAATCGCCAGCACACAAAGTCAGCGATCTGACCCACACAGCCAGCGCTTTTATCATACAAAATGTCAGTCAGACAACTAGTAGTCAAGACAACATACCTTGAGGACCCTCTGACAAGTGTAATTGTCTCCTACTGCCGACCGCGTCATACCAAAAGAGGTTAAAATATGGTACTTGTTGGTCCCTGTCTGGCGCTCGGCATTAATGGGTACAAGGACTGGTCGGCTCGGAGTCAGTATAATGTGTCTCAGTGGGTTATTCATGCTTCATTGCGGCATGGTATCTCAGTGGGCTAGCACTATAAAAAAACAGCTTCAGTCTGGGCTAGTACAAGCAGCCGCACATACACATTCACACGCATGCACGTTGTCATATGAGCGAAATATTCTCAAGCACGACGTTAAACCCAATTTCACCTCACCTCACCTCCTACGTCCGAGCTATATCATTACACAATTTTGTTTCGAAAGTGGTCAGATGTAACATATGCTATATTTGGAATGTCCTTCCTCAGTTCAGACTGTAGTACTTTTTTAGCTTGAGTCCCATCCGGGATTAGAACACACACTTTACTGAGGAAATGTAATCCTAAATGCAAGTGATGTCACATTGTTCATACTGTTGTAAATTGCTGAAATGGAAACAAAACCGGCCAAAGTACATTTCCTTAGTAGGCGTATGTTAATGGTTTTAAGAGTGATCATCTCACATTACAGGGGTTGTGTTACAATCAAACATTCGCCATAGGTATCCGTGCTAGGCCAATATTTCAAGCTTGTCCATTGTTGCTAAAATACTTTCGCAAAACGTCTTGGATTTGTACACTTCTTTATTCTGATACACCATGTTAACAGTAGGACATTTATTTGTCGTTGGCTGGTTGCACACCAATTTCTTTTGCGCATCAATTTCTTGGTTAACGTATTGTTTTAATTTGGCAATCGACATGTAACACAAATAGGTGTCAAACAGGAGAACATGTGCATGGGGTTGAATGTGATGGGTGAAATTGTCTGCCAAACGTGTGAATGTGTGTCATTGGTGTTGAATGTGATGGGTAACGGTGCAGCGTATGTGAAGGGTGAATCTCATCCCACGAGCTTAGCCCCGGAGTAACACTTCTCAATATGTGCACACTGGAACTCATATGAGAACAGATCTAAGTCCATGCCCTGTCGTCTGCACGACCCGTAGATCTGGTGTGTCCCGGCTTGCGTCAGAACCTGGACCTCCCGCCATCGCCCCAGCCAACTGAGAGAACAAGAACAAATCAGCTTGTTTTCTTGGAGGTTGAGTGCTGTCAGACGTCCAAGGTGGCAGACGACGGAGAAGTTCAGGCTCTTGAGGGAGTTGAAGCCGAGGTCAATAAATCCAATATTACTTGAGTTTACGAATGTTTGGGTTTCGATTTGAGTTAAATTGTTATCACGCAGGAAAAGTAAATCCAGTTTCGGGAGATTGACAAACGTTCCATTCCGGAGAGTGGACATCTGGTTGTGGGAGAGACTCAACATTGTCAGAGATTGGAGATCGGAGAATGCCCCTGGCGCCATGGCATCGATGTTGTTGTAGTCAAGACGGAGCTCGTGAAGGTGCAGCAGGCCCCGGAATGCAAACTGGTGGACGTACGTGAGAGACGGGTTGTGTTGGATCTCTATTGTTATAGCATTGACCTTGGAAAAAGCATCAGCAGGAACGTCAGTAATGTTGTTGTACGACAGCGTGAGCTCCCGATACAGTTTAGGAGAAGAAGCGAAGGAGGGTATCTGAAATAGTTGCATTTCGAGATGTGACTTCAAGCTGGATATTTTACCAACACAACAGATAGGTTAGTAACATTTCACTAAGGTTGCCAACTAAGAAAGTTAAAATGTGTATCAATCACTTGCCCACCATGGACGTGTATTCACTGATAATAAGGTAAGGGACTACTGGAGCTGATTACACCCGCCAAACAGGATACACTGGTGACAAGACGGTCCTTAGTTTTATAACGTCAACGCAAGAGAATAACCCGACTCGACTGTCCGACAAAACAGGTTCGCAAGGCAAAATAGCGGTGAAAGGTATAGAAATGGATCACTGTCAATCAGTGATGGTTTCAGGTGTACGCATGTCTTGCTGATACTGGTACCACCCGCCGCTCACACAGTTGGAACGAGTGCTCGTCACAACAGGACAATCAAGTGATTGGATCAATCCAATGACACGACAGCGCACTGATCAGATCATAGCCAAAGGGTTATGTCATAGTCCTAGCTGTCCGCATTCTTATGATAAAGGTTTATTTAATATTTTAAATAATATGTCTATAAGCATACCCATTTAAAATACTGGCTATGTTGAAACGCTTAATACGACGTGCGTGTTAAATAAATGATATATCTTTAATTCGTATACGTTAACACAATTGGGAAAATGATTTACATAACGTCTAATCATAAACACATATAACGTAAAAGTTTAAAACGTGAAACTGCACAGCCGGCACACTGACAACACCCGATAACGGTATTACCAGATAATTAACCGTCACAGCTTGACCTGTCCACCATGTCATTGGTGATTGCAATCCCAGCTTCATTATAGATGGGGTTGACATAAATGTCCATCAAGTCAAAGGGAATATGTTCATGTCCATTCAAATGAAACTGTCGTGTATTCATTGCATGTACTGCCTCTACGTCAACCACTACCTCTGCAAGGATACATTATCATCAAATATTAAACAGTATGTTGTGCTTGCATTAAAGGGACGGCTGAGTGGTCTTGGTCGATGCCAACCATTGTCCGTGAATTAAAGGCAGTACCTACATTACTTTTTAAGACGTATGTCTTGTGTTGGATCCCGTATGGTCAGTCTGTGATCGTGTTAAGTCAGTACGGACTGAACAATACGTCGTCTAAGTAACGTTGTGGTCAGTCTGTGACCGTGTTATTGCAGTACGGACTGAACCAAACGTCGGCTAAGTAACGTTGTGGTCAGTCTGTGACCGTGTTATTGCAGTACGGACTGAACCATACGTCCCCTAAGTAACGTCGTGGTCAGTCTGTGACCGTGTTATTGCAGTACGGACTGAAACATACGTCCCCTTACTAATGTTGTGGTCAGTCTGTGACCGTGTTATTGCAGTACGGACTGAACCATACGTCCCCTTAAGTAACGTTTTGGTCAGTCTGTGACCGTGGTACGGCAGTACGGACTGAACCATACGTCCCCCAAGTAACGTTGTGGTCAGTCTGTGACCGTGTTATGGCAGTGCGGACTGAACCATACGTCGTCTAAGTAACGTTGTGGTCAGTCTGTGACCGTGTTATGCCAGTACGGACTGAACCATACGTCGGCTAAGTAACATTGTGCTCTGCCCGGACCGTGTTATGACAGTACGGACTGAACCATACGTCCCCTAAGTAACATTGTGGTCAGCCAGTGACCGTGGTATGGCAGTACGGACTGAACCATACGTCGCCTAAGTAACATTGTGGTCAGTCTGTGACCGTGTTATGGCAGTACGGACTGAACCATACGTCCCCTAAGTAACATTGTGGTCAGTCTGTGACCGTCTTATGCCAGTACGGACCGAACCATACGTCGCCTAAGTAACATTGTGGTCAGTCTGTGACCGTGTTATGCCAGTACGGACTGAACCATGCGTCCCCTATGTAACATTGTGGTCAGTCTGTAACCGTGTTATGGCAGTAGGGACTGAAACATACGTCGCGTAAGTAACGTTGTGGTCGGTCTGTGACCGTGTTATGGCATTATGGACTGAACCATACGTCGCCTAAGTAACGTTGTGGTCAGTCTGTGACCGTGTTGTGCCAGTACTGACTGAACCATACGTCGCCTTACTAACGTTGTGGTCAGCATGTGACCGTTTTATGGCAATACTGACTGAACCATATGTCGTCTAAGTAACGTTGTGGTCAGTCTGTGACCGTGTTATTGCAGTACGGACTGAACCACCCGTCCCCTAAGTAACGTCGTGGTCAGTCTGTGACCGTGTTATTGCAGTACGGACTGAAACATACGTCCCCTTAAGTAACGTTGTGGTCAGTCTGTGACCGTGGTACGGCAGTACGGACTGAACCATACGTCCCCCAAGTAACGTTGTGGTCAGTCTGTGACCGTGTTATGCCAGTGCGGACTGAAACATACGTCCCCTAAGTAACGTTGTGGTCAGTCTGTGACCGTGTTATTGCAGTACGGACTGAACCATACGTCCCCTTACTAATGTTGTGGTCAGTCTGTGACCGTGTTATTGCAGTACGGACTGAACCATCCGTCCCCTAAGTAACGTCGTGGTCAGTCTGTGACCGTGTTATTGCAGTACGGACTGAAACATACGTCCCCTTAAGTAACGTTGTGGTCAGTCTGTGACCGTGGTACGGCAGTACGGACTGAACCAGTTATTGCAGTACGGACTGAAACATACGTCCCCTTAAGTAACGTTGTGGTCAGTCTGTGACCGTGGTACGGCAGTACGGACTGAACCATACGTCCCCCAAGTAACATTGTGGTCAGTCTGTAACCGTGTTATGGCAGTACGGACTGAACCATACGTCGGCTAAGTAACATTGTGCTCAGCCCGGACCGTGTGATATGGCAGTACGGACTGAACCATACGTTCCCTAAGTAACATTGTGGTCAGCCAGTGACCGTGGTATGGCAGTACGGACTGAACCATACGTCGCGTAAGTAACGTTGTGGTCAGTCTGTGACCGTGTTATGCCAGTACGGACTGAACCATACGTCCCCTAAGTAACATTGTGGTCAGTCTGTGACCGTGTTATGGCAGTAGGGACTGAACCATACGTCCCCTAAGTAACGTTGTGGTCAGTCTGTGACCGTGTTATGCCAGTACGGACTGAAACATACGTCGCGTAAGTAACGTTGTGGTCGGTCTGTGACCGTGTTATGGCATTATGGACTGAACCATACGTCGCCTAAGTAACGTTGTGGTCAGTCTGTGACCGTGTTGTGCCAGTACTGACTGAACCATACGTCGCCTAACTAACGTTGTGGTCAGCATGTGACCGTTTTATGGAAATACTGACTGAACCATATGTCGTCCGAGTAACGTTGTGATTAGTCTGTGACCGTGTTATTCAGTACTGGCTGAACCATACGTCGCCTAAGTAACGTTGTGGTCAGTCTGTGACCGTGTTATGTCAGTACTGACTGAAACATACGTCGCCTAACTAACGTTGTGATCGGTCTGTGACCGTGTTATGTCGTTACTGACTGAAACATACGTCGCCTAAGTAACGTTGTGGTCAGTCTGTGACCGTGTTATGCCAGTACGGACTGAACCATACGTCGGCTAAGTAACATTGTGCTCAGCCCGGACCGTGTTATTGCAGTACGGACTGAACCATACGTCGGCTAAGTAACGTTGTGGTCAGTCTGTGACCGTGTTATGCCAGTACGGACTGAACCATACGTCGCCTAAGTAACGTTGTGGTCAGTCTGTGACCGTGTTATGCCAGTACGGACTGAAACATACGTCGCCTTAGTAACGTTGTGGTCAGTCGTCATTTATTTATACCAGGGATACTGAACCTGGAATCCTTAATCTCACGTGTGTGCTAGACTAGTGAGGAAATCCTGTCGTGTTCAGCTTACATTTCATGCAGTTATCCAACTGTGAGTACGTGAGTGAGTTTATTTTTACGCCGCACTCAGCAGTATTCCAGCCATATGGCGGCGGTCTGTAAATAATCGAGTCTGGACCAGACAATCCAGTGATGAACAGCATAAGCATTGATCTACGAAATTGGGATACGATGGCATGCGTCAACGGACTGCCCGGTCCGTTAGTCGCCTGTTACAAGCATGGATTACTGAATATCAATTCTAATCCGGATCTTCACGAGTATATCCAACAGACTTACCTTGGTGAGGTTTTTCCTGTCACACCTGATTACCGCGTCGTCACACGTGCATGGTGGTGGTGCTGGGCACAGGGCAGATGCAGATACCAGAAACCATGGAAACAAAACAAAGCCCCAAACATTCATGACTGTTCGCTACTCCAGGTTCCAGAAGTATGTTCTCGTGCAGGTTATCGGTTGTGTCGACCTTCGTATGAAAGAGACAGCTGACAGTGCAATCTTGATTGGAAACGTCACATGACCGACCATGTGATATCATGGCGTGTCTGCAGTTGGTTGCCTGGAGTTCTATAATGCCAAAGCGTCAGGCAGCTCACACTACCAGGTATATCAGCAGCTTACTAGCACAAACCTTCAAAAACTGTTATGAAGTTAGATCTACAGTGTGAAAATGATGTAGACTGGTTGCTGGGCACATGAGAGTGAGAGATCCTGCGCTAACAACTGGTCATTTGACGAGAGATGGAACGAGTTCCAAAACGAAGCCTCGACAACAAATAATTCAACCGTGTTTATAAAACTAGAATGGAGACAAACGCCACTGCGGGAAGCGGATAGAGCAGCTCACTTACGATAGGATAGTTAAACGATGATGATGATGATGTGCCAAACAAGTTATTTTGAATAAAACTGATAATTCCCCAATAATTGAACAACTCCATTTATTGTTGCTTAACGTCCACAAAATTATATACCCTTTAGTGTAAGAAGCACTTAGTTTAAAACACCAAACCGGTGTTGGGTAGTAACATGGCAATTACAAATCTGTGGAAAACATTGACTTGCTGACGACTGTGAGGTAAAGATGGCGAACAGAGTAAGAGCAATATTCGCTTTAAAAGGTTGCTTCAACATCGACATTGGCGTCTGGATTAGCAACCCCTTGATCAACCTCAGGTGACACCATCCCCTTTCACTGATCCAGTGGTTTCTCATTTGTTGAATATGATGACTTAAACTCTTTAGAGAAAACAAAATATATAACGTTAAAACCCCACTATGTTTAAGGACACATTACCAACTAATATACATAACAAAATTAAATTCATTTTTGACTTAAAATGACTCTGTAAACTCTGTCACTGAACTCATCAGTTGGTCCGTTATGCTTCGATAGAGAACAGTCACACTGCCGGTGGCTGTCTCCAGTTGGCTGGTTTGTTGTTTATTGCCCTACTCAACAATATTCCGGCTACATGACGGTGGACCAGACAATCCAGTGATCAGCATCATGAATATCGATCTACGCAATTGGCATGTTTTAACCAAGCCAGCGAGCATTACCACCCGATCCCGTTAGTCGCCTCTTACAAGCATGGGTTACTGGAGAGCAATGTCGACCCCGATCTTCAAGGGTCGGCTCGGCTCTCTCTGACGGTGCGAAATGTGTGTGTGTGTGTGTGTGTGTGTGTGTGTGTGTGTGCGTGCGTGCGAGACAAGCAGACCATGACATTGTACTGATCACCCGCCAAGGCCCGCTTCAGAAGTGGTCATTCGCAGTCCATGCTTGTCCGATGAGGGATCATTCTCCTTTACTTGGTTGATGCAAGTATCCCAGAAGGCCTTTCAACGTCAATCATCACAGACTGAACAGTTAAGTTTGTGTTCAGTGAATGTCCTTGTGGGAGAAACACAAGCGAATATTCATAAAGTGCGGGTGACACATCCTCACAGCAGAACTACCTATCATACAAGGTAGTCTTCAAGTTGGAAAATGACTTACTTACTTACTAGTCATTTCTCAACGACAACACACCGACACTGTCATTTGAGAGTGGAGGTGTTGCCCAAGTATTGTCGGCGACATCAGCGTCCTCAAACATAGTCAATAGGACATTGCCCTGATTCTTATATTGCGATATATTTAAGAGATATTGCAATATATATTGTGATATATTGACTGGAACGTTTCTGCCCAAGTGGTACATGATAAATTCATAATAGCTCTCCGTGTATGATATCATCTTCTCAGTTGCTGTTACACCATACTTCAAGGCTCCCCATCCCATTGTGTATGGCTGTATGCCAATCGTTTACAGATAAATGAAATAATATAGAGCCTCAACGTGGAATGTTTGAAGTATTGCAACAAAGTTTTGCGAACATAATGATAAAGGTAATAGTATAACGTGATTTTCAGGGTCAGTGTTGTTTGCTTCAACAGAATGCACTTCAATGAAGAATGTAATTATTGTTACTGTATGTCAGTGATTCATTCAGATTCAACTCCAGATAATACATGAACTATTGCAAAATGAAACAAAAACATTATTTAGTTGAACTACTTGAGCTTAAAATCCAATAAATAAGACCTTCACAAGAATACAGACCTACAAAATGTGTAAGACTTAGACCTTTATGATGAATTGATAGCATATGTACCATTATGAAACAAACAAAAAACCAAAAATACTTTGAATTGTGAAATGGTCACTCAGAGCCAGAGGCTCTACTAATAAGCCCAAATAAACAAATGGTCCATTGGAGGCCACTTAATTACTCAAAATGAAACCATTCAAACCCACAAAACGTAAAGCATTTGGTAGAATATATGGCCTTTATGGAGCCACTTATAATGTCACTTGCACTTGTAAAATGTTACATGAAACCAACTGAAATAAATATGTTTTTATAGCACATTTTTTTGGGCATGGAAATCAAGGGCAGATACTTCAAAAAGAGTTAACTCTGGATGACCCAATATATTGCAGAATCTTAACCATACCGCGATAATCGTATTGCGAGAGACTGTACAATGGGGCCTTCGTTTAACGCCTAACAAAGCAATATAACTTCTTAGCCAGGTCTGTCTGTAACTGATATGGGTTGACAGAAGCTGATATGATCAAGTTTCCCTGCTGTGAATAAGCGAGCAGCACAGTTCACATCAGTAACTTAAATAATAAGGGCCTACACTAAACCAAGAACATGTCATGGTGTCATACTACCAGCTGAAAACTTTGACAATTTATTGCTGTGATTTCTGAGTCAAATTGTCATGATCAGGGATTCCAAAAATTTAACTGTGGTCCTAACCAATGTAAAAGTTTTAAAGCGGGACTGAAGTTTAATAGCCGGTGTCATAACAGTCTATCTTGTCCCAACAAATTAATTTTATCAGCTCTGCATTATAGATTTGGTGTTCTCTATTTCAATAAAGGCTGGCAGGGGTTTCATGAAATCCCTGGGCCAATATTTCAGTATTTCATGCAAACCCTGGGGGTCACAGCATGATTCTTTAAAGGTCACAGGCAACCAAAAAATCAAACATAATTAAAACACAATTATCACTTATTCATGACATATAATATACATTGTTGATTATGAAAAAACATATAAACAAAATTATAAGCGTATAATCGCAAATCAAAAGTGCAATATTTTGTACTTGGGTTTACTTCCCAAGAAACGAAGCAGCCGGGATACCGAACCCAGTCAGAGTGGGTGGGTGTGCACTCATGTGTAACGGCTGGTTCATTTGCAGATGCCCTCACGGCTCATTGTGTGTGTATATATAGAGATGTTGGGTTTTGTAAATACATGCTCATTTTTTGTGTATAACATTTTGCAATCAACAGACATCGTAACATGTCATGTGTACAAGTATCACACCTGCCTGTCTGTGTAATTACATAATGTGACAGACCGAACATAAATCAATGCGTTTTGTTTATGGTGTATAGCCTGATCAACCCAAGTTCAGTGATCGCAGTTGTGTATTGAATATGGTCAATAGCAGACAGGCAGGCAGACACATAGGTGTCAATAAAACAGACATTGAGTTTTGTCTGTGACAACGACATATCTATATCACAGTTAGAAATTCTGTCAACGCTAATTAATGACATTGCTTTTAAGTATCGAACTGAGAAAGTGACTCGGTAAGAAGAACGTGTGATGAAATAGACAAATGAAATTATATATTCAGCTAAATCGGTAATCTACTGTCATAACATATAAAAAGCTCGCGCCTGTGAAACATCAACAAAACATTAGAAAAATAGCTCACACTAAAGCCTTCACCGAGTATTCACAGGACAACCCACTTACAAGCTGCGCGAACCTATTTCACTGCGCATGTGCTATGAGCGCAGCCCAGCCCAGCTGTTGAAACCACTTAGTGAATCGTTTGAACTCCGTTTTCGCGCTGGTTTTTACATCGCGTTATTTTTATGGTTTTAAATCTCTTAAACAACTGTTTTGTAATATTTTGATTGAATATGCAGATAAGGTTGCAGCTTCAATGGTCCAATGGTTTAAGAGATATTAGCAACAGATAGCACACATTTCAGAACACAGTCCATGCCAGTCTCTGGACAAACAAGCCATCACGTCAGCACAATAGACTTTCAGTCAGGTTTGCTAAGAAAACTCTCAAATGTATTTTCTTTGTGTTTTATTAAAAATATTAGCTGACAGCTTTCAGCTCCACTTCAAAGACCAAGGTGCTGTTTGGTGGAATAGGTCCCTGCCGCTGCTTCCCGTATCTGAAACATAGATTTTGCCATGGTAATACCCAGCTTATAATACCCAGCGACCATGTTCAAAAGAATCGGATCAGAATTCTGCGAGGCTGTCTTTCTGATTCAGCTTATTGGGCTGGACACTTTCAGTGACACTAGAAACACATGGGTATATGAATGTCCAATGGGGGAACCTTGGTTGTGTGTTGTTCTGAACAAATCTTTGAAGGGCATTTAGAAGACTCTAAACAGCGCCACTCACCCCATTGTTGGAGGTATTACTAGTTTCCTCTTGCCTCCAACCTTCATACCTGAAACACAATTGTGCAATTCATCAATTCAAATAATTTTCAATTAGTTTTTGAATTAAATTAAATGGATTTAGTCCATCAATTACATTGGATCTTCAATGAAATGGCTCTTCTCACAATTATGCACAATGTATTCATGTACTGTGTATCCCTGGATCCAGAAGGCGCCACCAGACTACTCACCACTGACTCCAACATCCCAGCCGTGTATCACTTCACCCTTGCCTAGTTTGAACTTGAACGGCTTTCCACCTTTACACGAGTCGAACTGTTTGCCGTCTTGTAGCGTTCCAACATAATACATCTGGGCCTGAACAGGAAACAAACTCACAATGAACCATAATATAAGGACGATGTTTCATTTGAATAAATGTTGCAATGACTTTTCCGTGATACAAATCCGAGACATTAACATGGACATAACGAACCTACAAACCTACTGAGGGTGAACCTGGGACTAGTGGCATGACAACATGACTTTGGCACCTGTATGATTATTCCTTAAGAGAGAGTTGGTTTGATTCCTTAAAGTCCTCAAAAACCTGACTCAAACTTTCCTGACTCAAACTTTAACATGTTCAACAACCACGCAGTCAGTGATTACTACACAGTGTCGGGACATGTAGAGGCAATGTTTACCTGACAACTGGATCAGGACATGTGACTGCTGTTGCCTTACCTGTTTCCCGGACTTGGCTTCTGGACCATGTCCCACCTTGATATCTTCAACAATCACACCACCAGAAACCACTCGCTTCTTCGGTGTCTGTTTAGGGGTCTGACTGGCTGAGGGCTTTGGAGTGTCTTTTTTGGGTTGATTTGGTGTTGACTTGGGTGTGTCTTTTGTGAGCTTAGTGGCTGATGATTTCTGAAAAGAGTGAGTGAGTGAGTTTGGTTTTACGCCCTTTTTAAGCAAATTTCCCACTTCACACATTCTACCCATGTGGGGGAATCGAACCCCGGTCTTCCGCATGAAGAGCGAACTCTTTAACCACTAAGCTAACCCACCGCCCCTATTTCTGAGAGAACTATGAGGGCGGAAAGAATCAGATGGTGTCAGTTGTAGGCTTCAAATGATCCACTTGAAATAGGGAAGGAAACACTCACATGTTAACTCTCCCAGTGTTAACTCTCCCAGTGTTAACTCTCTTCAAGGCAGTATTAAAGTCTGATTCTTCCTGGGAACACAGAGTAAGGAGCACAGATGCCCTCATGAACATGGGGTACCAAGGACAGATTCTTCCTGGGAACATGGGGTACTGTGGACAGATTCATCCTGGGAACACAGGGCACCTAGGGCAGATTGATCCTGGGAAAACAGGGTACAAAGGACAGATTCATCCTGGGAACACAGGGCCCCTAGGGCAGATTCATCCTGGGAACACAGGGCACCAAGGACAGATTCATCCTGGGAACACAGGGCACCAAGGACAGATTCATCCTGGGAACACAGGGGCCCAAGGACAGATTCATCCTGGGAACACAGGGCACCAAGGACAGATTCATCCTGGGAACACAGGGCACCAAGGACAGATTCATCCTGGAAACACAGGGCACCAAGGACAGATTCATCCTGGGAACACAGGGCACCTAGGGCAAATTCATCCAGGAAACACAGCATACAAAGGACAGATTCATCCTGGAAACACAGGGTACCTAGGGCAGATTTATCCTGGGAACACAGGGCACCAAGGAGATTCATCCTGGAAACACAGGGCACCAAGGACAGATTAATCCTGGAAACACAGGGCCCCTAGGGCAGATTCATCCTGGGAACACAGGCGCCAAGGACAGCTTCATCCTGGGAACACAGGGCACTAAGGTCAGATTCATCCTGGGAACACAGGGCATCAAGGACAGATTCATCCTGGAAACAGAGGGTACCTAGGGCAGATTCATCCTGGGAACACAGGGCACCAAGGACAGATTTATCCTGGGAACACAGGGCACCTAGGGCACATTCATCCTGGGAACACGGGCACCAAGGACAGATTCTTCCCGGGAATATGGGGAACCAAGGACAGATTCTTCCCGGGAATATGGGGAACCAAGGACATATTCTTCCTGGGAATATTGGGTACCAGATTCATCCTGGAAACACAGGGTACCAAGGACAGATTCATCCTGGAAACACAGGGTACCTAGGGCAGATTCATCCTGGGAACACAGGGCACCAAGGACAGATTCATCCTGGGAACACAGGGCACCAAGGACAGATTCATCCTGGAAACACAGGGTACCTAGGGCAGATTCATCCTGGGAACACAGGGCACCAAGGACAGATTTATCCTGGGAACACAGGGCACCTAGGGCACATTCATCCTGGGAACACGGGGCACCAAGGACAGATTCTTCCCGGGAATATGGGGAACCAAGGACAGATTCTTCCCGGGAATATGGGGAACCAAGGACATATTCTTCCTGGGAATATTGGGTACCAGATTCATCCTGGAAACACAGGGTACCAAGGACAGATTCTTCCCGGGAATATGGGGAACCAAGGACAGATTCTTCCTGGGAATATTGGGTACCAAGGACAGATTTAGCCTGGGAACACAGGGCACATAGGGCACATTCATCCTGGAAACACAGGGTACCAAGGACAGATTCTTCCCGGGAATATGGGGAACCAAGGACATATTCTTCCTGGGAATATTGGGTACCAGATTCATCCTGGAAACACAGGGTACCAAGGACAGATTCTTCCCGGGAATATGGGGAACCAAGGACACATTCTTCCTGGGAATATTGGGTACCAGATTCTTCCAGAAAACATGGGGTACCTAGGACAGATTCTTCCTGGGAACATGGGTACCAAGGACAGATTCTTCCTGGAAACACAGGACACCTAGGACAGATTCATCCTGGAAACACAGGGTACCAAGGACAGATTCTTCCCGGGAATATGGGGAACCAAGGACAGATTCTTCCTGGGAATATTGGGTACCAAGGACAGATTCTTCCTTGAAACGCAGGGTACCAAGGACAGATTCTTCCTGGGAATATGGGGAACAAAGGACAGATTCTTCAAGAAAACATGGGGTACCATGTACAGATTCTTCCTGGGAACATGATGCTGTCAACGTGGCTGGAATTAATAAACGAATTTAAAAGGTGAGTTTTCGCTGTCTTGGCTGATCCATGATTTTGGCTTGGAATTGCAAAGGTAGCTGTTTTTGGGGAGTCGTGGCGTATAACTTTTGAAATAATGATCCGATTGTGACCATTTATAGCTCATTTTGTACGGAAATCATCTAGCTTTCGATCCGTAGGCCTCGACGGGACCTTAAAAATAGTTTATGTGGTGAAATCTAACTTTGATTGAGGAGTGGGTGGTTCCGTCTTTACATCCCTTTCCTCTTATATGGTACTAGGGTAGGGTCTATACAGCTATATGTCTTTCTAACGCTGTTTCTAAGTGTGACACGCCCCTGTGGTGTTAAAGACATATTGTAAACCAAAAGTCACTGTGTTCTTTACTCTGATTGGTTGAAAAACGTGATCAAATGGTATTTGATTCCCGGAAATTCTCTGCGTATTAATACATACAAACATCACTCACACCACTGTATTGTTACGTCGTCAGCTGTGATGACGTCATTAAAATCATATTGTGACGTAAAGTCCGAATGACGTCACAAATGAGCAGTTCCAGATGCTACCATGGGAGACAGCCGAAACGGCCGGCTGATGACATTTCACTGCTGTACCCGTACTCGATGTCAATGAGAGCAGACACAAAAAACGTGTGTGGACCTTTCGGTTTACTTTTGTGTTTACAATGTCGATAAACATCATGTGTTGGCGAATGACGCCGTCAGTTCCAAATGAATTCCCGTGCTTCAAATACTCAATAACACCCGAAAATTCGCCAACACATGATGTTTATCTCCTCATTCCTCCCTGGAACATTGGGTTCCAAATACATGTTTTTCCTTGGAATCAAATGAGTGACAGGGCAGACTTGCTCACCTCAGGAGTATTCTGTTGTGATTCTGCTCCCTCCTTGTTTTTGTTTTTCTTCTTCTTCTTTTTCTTCTTTTTCTTCTCTTCGGTGCCTGGAGTATTTGCTACACCATTTTGTCCAGCACTCTGGAACAACACAAACCTACTGTTGTCATGCTGTAAATCATTGTACGAAAACTATAAACAGAACTAGTGTATGGATCTTCTTTTGAAAGTCAATATTAGAACAAGTCTTACAAGGACAATTGCGTATATCGATGCTCATGCTTTTGATCACTGAATTGTCTGGTCCAGACATGATTATTTACAGATCGCTGCCATGTAGCTGGAATATGAGTGGCGTAAAACTAAACTCACACACTTACAAGGAATTTAGACATACATTTGTTCGAAGAAAAAATAACATTGGAATATCATACAAACCTTCTTAGGATTATTTTTCAATTTGACTGACTGGCTGAGTATGGTTTTATGCCGTTTTTAGCAATATTCCAGCAATATCACAGCGGGGGACACCAGAAATGGGCTTCAAAAATTGAACCCATGTGGGGAATCGAACCCGGGCCTTCGACGTCACGAGCAAACGCTTTAACCACTAGGCTACCCCACCGCCCCTTTTTCAATTTAAAGAAGTAACAGTAATTGAAAATAGGTGCAAAAAACCATTACTAAAGACAAAGACTGTCACCTTTTGTTTTGAGGCACTGTCTGCAGATGTCTGCTTGGTAGGTTGCTTCTCTTTCTCTTGTTTCTTGGCTTTGGGTGATTTAGCTGGCACTTGTTGGTCCTCCTCCGCTTCCTCTGATTCATCATCTGTAAGGGGTACACAATCAGATGATACACAATCAGATGATACACAATCACTTGACTCCCAAGGAATACACAATCAGTTGACTCACACAAGGGGAACACAATCAGATGATACACAATCAGATGATACACAATCACTTGACTCCCAAGGAATACACAATCAGTTGAATCACACAAGGAATACACAATCAGTTAACTCACACAAGGGATACACAATCAGATGATACACAATCAGATGATACACAATCACTTGACTCCCAAGGAATACACAATCAGTTGACTCACACAAGGGGTACACAATCAGATAATACACAATCAGTTGACTCACACAAGGGATACACAATCAGTTAACTCACACAAGGGATACACAATCAGTTAACACACAAGGGGTACACAATCAGTTGACTCACATAAAGGGTACACAATCAGTTGACTCACACAGGGGGTACACAATCAGTTGAATCACATGGGGGATACACAATCAGTTAACTCACACAAGGGATACACAATCAGTTAACTCACACAAGGGGTACACAATCAGTTGACTCACACAAGGGATACACAATCAGTTGACTCACACAAGGGGTACACAATCAGTTGACTCACACAAGGGATACACAATCAGTTAACTCGCACAAGGGATACACAATCACTTGACTCACACAGGGGGTACACAATCACTTGACTCACACAGGGGTACACAATCAGTTGACTCACACAAGGGATACACAATCAGTTAACTCACACAAGGGGTACAAAATCAGTTGACTCACACAAGGGGTACACAATCAGTTGACTCACACAAGGGGTACACAATCAGTTGACTCACACAAGGGGTACACAATCAGTTAAGTCACACAAGGGGTACACAATTACTTGACTCACACAAGGGGTACACAATCAGTTGACTCACACAGGGGGTACACAATCAGTTGACTCACACAGGGGTACACAATCAGTTGACTCACACAAGGGGTACACAATCACTTGACTCACACAAGGGGTACACAATCAGTTGACTCACACAAGGGGTACACAATCAGTTAAGTCACACAAGGGGTACACAATTACTTGACTCACACAAGGGGTACACAATCAGTTGACTCACACAGGGGGTACACAATCAGTTGACTCACACAGGGGGTACACAATCAGTTGACTCACACAGGGGATACACAATCAGTTGACTCACACAGGGGGTACACAATCAGTTAACTCACACAAGGGGTACACAATTACTTGACTCACACAAGGGGTACACAATCAGTTGACTACAGTTCTTACTATAGTGGAGGACAGTTGAGGTGTACTCATGGTAACAATGGAACAGGTTCAGTACACTATAGTGAGGGACAGTAGAGGTGTACTCATGGTAACAATGGAACAGGTCCAGTACACTATAGTGAGGACAGTAGAGGTGTCCTCATGGTAACAATGGAACAGGTTCAGTACACTATAGTGAGGGACAGTAGAGGTGTACTCATGGTAACAATGGAACAGGTCCAGTACACTATAGTGAGGGACAGTAGAGGTGTACTCGTGGCAACAATGGAACAGGTTCAGTACACTATAGTGAGGGACAGTAGAGGTGTACTCTTGGCAACAATGGAACAGGTTCAGTACACTATAGTGAGGGACAGTAGAGGTGTACTCTTGGTAACAATGGAACAGGTTCAGTACACTATAGTGAGGGACAGTAGAGGTGTACTCATTGGCAACAATGGAACAGGTTCAGTACACTATAGTGAGGGACAGTAGAGGTGTACTCATTGGCAACAATGGAACAGGTTCAGTACACTATAGTGAGGGACAGTACAGGTGTACTCATTGTAACAATGGAACAGGTTCAGTACACTATAGTGAGGGACAGTAGAGGTGTACTCGTGGCAACAATGGAACAGGTTCAGTACACTATAGTGAGGGACAGTACAGGTGTACTCATTGGTGGCAACAATGGAACAGGTTCAGTACACTATAGTGAGGGACAGTACAGGTGTACACTCATTGGGGCAACAATGGAACAGGTTCAGTACACTATAGTGAGGGACAGTAGAGGTGTACTCATTTTTAACAATGGAACAGGTTCAGTACACTATAGTGAGGGACAGTAGAGGTGTACTCGTGGCAACAATGGAACAGATTCAGTACACTATAGTGAGGGACAGTAGAGGTGTACTCGTGGCAACAATGGAACAGGTTCAGTACACTATAGTGAGGGACAGTAGAGGTGTACTCGTGGCAACAATGGAACAGGTTCAGTACACTATAGTGAGGGACAGTAGAGGTGTACTCATTGTAACAATGGAACAGGTTCAGCACACTATAGTGAGGGACAGTAGAGGTGTACTTCGTGGCAACAATGGAACAGATTCAGTACACTATAGTGAGGGACAGTAGAGGTGTACTCTTGGTAACAATGGAACAGGTTCAGTACACTATAGTGGGGACAGTAGAGGTGTACTCTTGGTAACAATGGAACAGGTTCAGTACACTATAGTGGGGACAGTAGAGGTGTACTCTTGGCAACAATGGAACAGGTTCAGTACACTATAGTGAGGGACAGTAGAGGTGTACTCTTGGTAACAATGGAACAGGTTCAGTACACTATAGTGGGGACAGTAGAGGTGTACTCTTGGCAACAATGGAACAGGTTCAGTACACTATAGTGAGGGACAGTAGAGGTGTACTCATGGTAACAATGGAACAGGTTCAGTACACTATAGTGAGGGACAGTAGAGGTGTACTCGTGGCAACAATGGAACAGGTTCAGTACACTATAGTGAGGGACAGTAGAGGTGTACTCGTGGCAACAATGGAACAGGTTCAGTACACTATAGTGAGGGACAGTACAGGTGTACTCGTGGCAACAATGGAACAGGTTCAGTACACTATAGTGAGGGACAGTAGAGGTGTACTCATTTTAACAATGGAACAGGTTCAGTACACTATAGTGAGGGACAGTAGAGGTGTACTCGTGGCAACAATGGAACAGGTTCAGTACACTATAGTGAGGGACAGTAGAGGTGTACTCGTGGCAACAATGGAACAGGTTCAGTACACTATAGTGAGGGACAGTAGAGGTGTACTCGTGGCAACAATGGAACAGGTTCAGTACACTATAGTGAGGGACAGTAGAGGTGTACTCATTGTAACAATGGAACAGGTTCAGTACACTATAGTGAGGGACAGTAGAGGTGTACTCTTGGCAACAATGGAACAGGTTCAGTACACTATAGTGAGGGACAGTACAGGTGTACTCTTGGTAACAATGGAACAGGTTCAGTACACTATAGTGGGGGACAGTACAGGTGTACTCTTGGTAACAATGGAACAGGTTCAGTACACTATAGTGGGGACAGTACAGGTGTACTCTTGGTAACAATGGAACAGGTTCAGTACACTATAGTGAGGGACAGTAGAGGTGTACTCTTGGTAACAATGGAACAGGTTCAGTACACTATAGTGAGGGACAGTAGAGGTGTACTTGTGGCAACAATGGAACAGGTTCAGTACACTATAGTGAGGGACAGTACAGGTGTACTCGTGGTAACAATGGAACAGGTTCAGTACACTATAGTGAGGGACAGTAGAGGTGTACTCTTGGTAACAATGGAACAGGTTCAGTACACTATAGTGAGGGACAGTACAGGTGTACTCGTGGTAACAATGGAACAGGTTCAGTACACTATAGTGAGGGACAGTACAGGTGTACTCGTGGTAACAATGGAACAGGTTCAGTACACTATAGTGAGGGACAGTAGAGGTGTACTCATTTGGTAACAATGGAACAGGTTCAGTACACTATAGTGAGGGACAGTAGAGGTGTACTCATTGGTAACAATGGAACAGGTTCAGTACACTATAGTGAGGGACAGTAGAGGTGTACTCATTGGTAACAATGGAACAGGTTCAGTACACTATAGTGAGGGACAGTACAGGTGTACTCATGGCAACAATGGAACAGGTTCAGTACACTATAGTGAGGGACAGTACAGTTGTACTCGTGGTAACAATGGAACAGGTTCAGTACACTATAGTGAGGGACAGTAGAGGTGTACTCATGGTAACAATGGAACAGGTTCAGTACACTATAGTGAGGGACAGTACAGGTGTACTCGTGGTAACAATGGAACAGGTTCAGTACACTATAGTGAGGGGACAGTAGAGGTGTACTCTTGGTAACAATGGAACAGGTTCAGTACACTATAGTGGGGGACAGTAGAGGTGTACTCTTGGTAACAATGGAACAGGTTCAGTACACTATAGTGAGGGACAGTACAGGTGTACTCTTGGTAACAATGGAACAGGTTCAGTACACTATAGTGAGGGACAGTACAGGTGTACTCTTGGTAACAATGGAACAGGTTCAGTACACTATAGTGAGGGACAGTAGAGGTGTACTCGTGGTAACAATGGAACAGGTTCAGTACACTATAGTGAGGGACAGTACAGGTGTACTTGTGGCAACAATGGAACAGGTTCAGTACACTATAGTGAGGGACAGTAGAGGTGTACTCTTGGCAACAATGGAACAGGTTCAGTACACTATAGTGAGGGACAGTAGAGGTGTACTCTTGGTAACAATGGAACAGGTTCAGTACACTATAGTGAGGGACAGTAGAGGTGTACTTGTGGCAACAATGGAACAGGTTCAGTACACTATAGTGAGGGACAGTAGAGGTGTACTCATTGTAACAATGGAACAGGTTCAGTACACTATAGTGAGGGACAGTAGAGGTGTACTCGTGGCAACAATGGAACAGGTTCAGTACACTATAGTGAGGGACAGTAGAGGTGTACTCGTGGCAACAATGGAACAGGTTCAGTACACTATAGTGAGGGACAGTACAGGTGTACTCGTGGCAACAATGGAACAGGTTCAGTACACTATAGTGAGGGACAGTAGAGGTGTACTCATGGTAACAATGGAACAGGTTCAGTACACTATAGTGAGGGACAGTAGAGGTGTACTCTTGGCAACAATGGAACAGGTTCAGTACACTATAGTGAGGGACAGTAGAGGTGTACTCGTGGCAACAATGGAACAGGTTCAGTACACTATAGTGAGGGACAGTAGAGGTGTACTCTTGGCAACAATGGAACAGGTTCAGTACACTATAGTGAGGGACAGTAGAGGTGTACTCATTGGTAACAATGGAACAGGTTCAGTACACTATAGTGAGGGACAGTAGAGGTGTACTCGTGGTAACAATGGAACAGGTTCAGTACACTATAGTGAGGGACAGTAGAGGTGTACTCTTGGTAACAATGGAACAGGTTCAGTACACTATAGTGGGGACAGTAGAGGTGTACTCTTGGTAACAATGGAACAGGTTCAGTACACTATAGTGGGGGACAGTAGAGGTGTACTCTTGGTAACAATGGAACAGGTTCAGTACACTATAGTGAGGGACAGTAGAGGTGTACTCTTGGTAACAATGGAACAGGTTCAGTACACTATAGTGGGGGACAGTAGAGGTGTACTTGTGGCAACAATGGAACAGGTTCAGTACACTATAGTGAGGGACAGTACAGGTGTACTCGTGGTAACAATGGAACAGATTCAGTACACTATAGTGAGGGACAGTAGAGGTGTACTCATGGTAACAATGGAACAGATTCAGTACACTATAGTGAGGGACAGTACAGGTGTACTCGTGGTAACAATGGAACAGGTTCAGTACACTATTGTGAGGGACAGTACAGGTGTACTCGTGGTAACAATGGAACAGATTCAGTACACTATAGTGAGGGACAGTAGAGGTGTACTCATGGTAACAATGGAACAGGTTCAGTACACTATAGTGAGGGACTGTAGAGGTGTACTCATGTTAACAATGGAACAGGTTCAGTACACCACAGCGAGGTCATTGACTTTCAGGCACATGCATATCATTTTGTGACTAGTTGCCCTGTGGAATGATTTTCATTCAACCAACCTTCTTCCTCGTCATCTTCTTCTTCCATACTGTCATCTTCCATGTCTGCTCCCATCATCAACTAACAAAGACACATAAACATTCACATTTCATAATGCTCATGAATTACATAACAATATCCCATAAGGTTTCATAAACGTTGATACAACATAATTTGCAAGAACAAAGTGTCTGTTCAGTCATTTCTGTGATATATCAACCTGTTGACTGTACTGTAGTGAGCATTTCTTAGGACAGTGCATTCCTTTTGCACATTTTGACAAAGAAGAAAGTATCAGCTTCGAGATCGAAAGCTGAAATCTTTGATCAAAAACACACCTGGCACAACAAGTCTCATGATGCTCTTGTTCTGTTTGAGGCTGATCCAGAAACTTTCTTGCAGTGATATGTGACTATCAAAGAACAAACATACTGAGTGTAAATCTAAGATCTGCTGACACACCAACTGTCATCCACACCAACTGTCATACAGAGTCATACTGTCACCTCAATTGGGCAAGCTGTGGATCAGCAAACACCAAGTGTCACACCAAAGCATTCGTAGTCCTGCTAATGACCTGCATTTGATATCCCACATGGGTACACAATGTGTGATGTCCATTTCTGGTGTCCCCCAACCCCACAGTTGATAGTTTTTTAATGTTAATAGAACTGGTGTAAAATTATACTCACTCATTCAAATCATTCCAATCATCATCAGTATCATAATTCTAACAGCACTGATGAGACAGAAAACAAACATTTACCTCTTCATCATCATCACTGTCATCAGAATCAAGATCTTCACTGTCATCATTCATGCTTAGCAATTTAGATTTCTTCTTTTGGACAACTCCAGTGTCTTTGGCTTTTCTTTTCTTTGCATCTACAACATCAAGATCTCCGTGACTTACACATGAATTATTCCAGCTACATGATGGCTGCCAGTACAAATTGAAGATCAGGAAAGACACCCCAATGATTGACATGATGAGCAACAATTCACAAAGTCAGGGGTTGAATATAATCAACCACCAAGTCTCCACATGTGAAACATGAAGTTGCCTCTTCTTCACCAGTATCACCAGGCTAGGTGCCAGAATCCCTAAGGGGCATAATGAATCAAATCAATCTGCAGCAAACTTAAAAACACTGAGCATGCTACAGTACAACTGTTGATTACTTGATCTCATTGTACGACATGTTACATATCTGTAACTATGGCTCAAGGTACTGCAGCAATATTCCAGTGAATCTGTACAGAACTATTGGGTCTTACACCTGTACTGTATGGACCAGAGTCCTTGATACCCGTCACGATTGCTCCCAACTGCACACATATCCCACCTTTCTTCAAGGCCATCTCTATAGCAAAATCTTCATCATCACTGTCATCACTGTCGTCATCACTGTCTTCTTCCGCCATACCCAGCAGCTCAGGTGCCTCGTCTGTAAACATAGCAACACATACATGTGACTACAAGACAGGCATGTAATGCCACTTCCAGATGGCAGCACCAAGCTGCTTACAATACTTCAGCACTAGCGACAGCAGCAGCAGCACTGACACAAGTTAACCCACTTGCATAAAATTACCTTCATTTCCAAAGGGCTTAAACTTTATTACACTCACACCATATCTAACATTTCCCGGGGATGGTTGGATAGCCTAGTGGTTAAAGCGTTCACTCGTCACGCCGAAGACCCAGGTTCGATTCCCCGCGTGGGTACAATGTGTTAAGCCCATTTCTGGTGTCCCCCGCCGTGATATTGTTGGAATATTGCTTCAACTTACACGCTGATTCTCAAGCCAGTGGTGACAACTAAAAGCGGCGTAAAACTAAACTCACTCACTCTAACATTTCCCATGTCCTTCTTCAACATTTCACAGCCTCTGTGAGACTAGGGTGTCATGGCTGCATCACAGCAGCGTGTGGAAACACTCACCAGCACCAGTGGTAACACTGAACCCCTTGTGTAACACGACTCACTTACACATGACACTCACCAGTACCAGTGGTAACACTGAACCCCTTGTGTAACACATGACACTCACCAGACTCACACCACACATGACACTCACCAGTACCAGTTGTAACACTGAACCCCTTGTGTAACCGACTCACTCACACACGTGACACTCACCAGCACCAGTTGTAACACTGAACCCCTTGTGTAACACGACTCACTTACACATGACACTCACCAGCACCAGTGGTAACACTGAACCCCTTGTGTAACACGACTCACTCACACATGACACTCACCAGCACCAGTGGTAACACTGAACCCCTTGTGTAACACGACTCACTTACACGTGACGCTCACCAGCACCAGTGGTAACACAGAACCCCTTGTGTAACACGACTCACTCACACATGACACGCACCAGCACCAGTTGTAACACAGAACCCCTTGTGTAACACGACTCACTTACACGTGACACGAACACATATCTTCCCATGGGGTAATATTCTCTTCATAGCTGTAAACAAGTCTTGACTGATTCTCAGTTTTTTTGTACAAGATATTTTGTGCATGTTCAGTTAGAAATATGCAGCGCACAACATAGGTACCCAACCACCCAGAGTCCCCATCATCATCTAACTCACCATCCGACTCCGAGGAATCTCCGCTGAACCCCATCTCGTCGTTGTACTGCCCCTCATCCAGCAAGTAGCCAGTGAGATGCACAATACCTACAACAAACATCAAGATAGTCCTTAATTGTACATTAGTTCCATTTGAATAAACATTATATGTGTCACTTTCTGAGAAGAGTGCAGTTTGGTGTATACAGCAAGTTGGGTAAGGGAGCTAACTCTGGACAATTTACTAAATGATTCACGTGTAAAAGAATACAAGGTAGCATTTCCCAGATTTTTCCTTTGAAAACATGTCACTGTCAGCAAACACTGTCCATCATGCTTAGTTGACAGAACCATTTTGAAACAACTTACGACAAATTTCACTGTGTTAACCAGATCACAAGCATATCTTCCATTATGTAGTCAAAACTTGTGCGACACTGCGTGACTGAGCAGCGTGTAATCTCTACCATAGTGAGACACCTTCCTCACACTACCACAGCCATGGATAGAAATACTTTTTTTTCTAAGTGTGCCTTAGGGCACCAGGAAATATTTTAGGTGTGCCTTTCAGAAATCAAGTGTGTCATGGCACGCTAATACATAGGGTATTTCGAACCCTGACAGCACAAGGAACAAGACATCACTGTCAGAAGCTTTGTGGATCTGACACCACAGTTTTTCTGAATTACCTAACAATGTTATTGTTTGTGTCAACTAGAATGAGCACTGAAATCAGTACGGCTGTGCATCGTCCAATAAAGGAATCTGTATTGTGGTAAACAGAGAGCTATACTGCTGGCTGTGCATGCAGTTCTTATTTCCTACATACTGGAATGCTAACAGATTCATCCCCCCTACAAGAGAAAATAGCTGTCATGTTTTCATGGTATGTTGCAATCAATTTGAAAATTCATTTGTGAATGAATTTCGTAGCTCAGCAACATAAATGATAATGAAATTGTTGAAAGAATTTCACCCACTACACTGGAACACAGACCGCAGTCTACCATTGATTCTGTGCAGTCCTATATCCGTCACACCTACCTGTACCATTGAGGAAGAATGTCACCTCCTCGCCCTCAGTGAAGTTCAGGTCCAGCGGTTGTTGGTAGAGGCGGCCAAACTCCAATGTGCACATAACAAACTCTGCCTTCTCATGCTGGATCATCACAGCTACATGTTTCTCCTTTGTTTTGGGGGTATCTGTCAATAACAGATATATACCTTACCACCGATGGTAAAACATAACATTTCCTTAAGAGTCAGGTATTAACATAACTCAGTGAAATACCCCTGACCAACTAATAGACCCACCTGTAAATACTTTATAAGCATGATAAACACTGAGTACTATCAACACCAAGTTTAAACATGTACAGAGGCCCAGATAAGCTGCGTATCCGGGTAAAATACCCATAGAAAATTTCCAATTACGCATTGAAAAATAATTGTTGCGTACCAATTACGCATTTAAACTGTTAGATACGCAAAGAGTTTAAAACAAATGCGTACGGAATATATTTATAAAAATCGCTTGCGTAATGAAAAAGACATCGATTGCTATCAATTTGTACTGTTAGTATAGGACAAGTGTTGTACTGTCAGTATAGGATGACTGATTTTTTATGAAATCATTTCCCTTATATTTAAGTTGGTTTTGAGTAGGTATCACATAAGGCAGAACATACCTGCTTAGTAAACTTACTCAATGACACAATACTTATGTGTGTAAAAATGACTGAAATGAAATACTCACTACATTATTTCCCAAAAGCAGTGGGTACGGTAAATGAAATACTCACTCAACATGTACATAATAATACCCCACTTTATAAAAGTACAGTGGGTACAGTTTACCCTGACCAACATAGACCCAGCTAAATACTTATATCTGGAGCTCTGCATGTACATAACAGTTTACCCCTGACCAACTAATAGACCCACCTGTAAATACTTTATAAGCATGATAAACACTGAGTACTATCAACACCAAGTTTAAACATGTACATAACAGTTTACCCCTGACCAACTAATAGACCCACCTGTAAATACTTTATAAGCATGATAAACACTGAGTACTATCAATACCAAGTTTAAACATGTACATAACAGTTTACCCCTGACCAACTAATAGACCCACCTTTAAATACTTTATAAGCATGATAAACACTGAGTACTATCAACACCAAGTTTAAACATGTACATAACAGTTTACCCTGACCAACTAATAGACCCACCTGTAAAATGAGTACTTTATAAGCATGATAAACACTGAGTACTATCAATACCAAGTTTAAACATGTACATAACAGTTTACCCCTGACCAACTAATAAACCCACCTGTAAATACTTTATAAGCATGATAAACACTGAGTACTATCAACACCAAGTTTAAACATGTACATAACAGTTTACCCCTGACCAACTAATAGACCCACCTGTAAATACTTTATAAGCATGATAAACACTGAGTACTATCAATACCAAGTTTAAACATGTACATAACAGTTTACCCCTGACCAACTAATAGACCCACCTGTAAATACTTTATAAGCATGATAAACACTGAGTACTATCAATACCAAGTTTAAACATGTACATAACAGTTTACCCCTGACCAACTAATAGACCCACCTGTAAATACTTTATAAGCATGATAAACACTGAGTACTATCAACACCAAGTTTAAACATGTACATAACAGTTTACCCCTGACCAACTAATAGACCCACCTGTAAATACTTTATAAGTATGATAAACACTGAGTACTATCAACACCAAGTTTAAACATGTACATAACAGTTTACCCCTGACCAACTATTAGACCCACCTGTAAATACTTTATAAGCATGATAAACACTGAGTACTATCAACACCAAGTTTAAACATGTACATAACAGTTTTACCCCTGACCAACTAATAGACCCACCTGTAAATACTTTATAAGCATGATAAACACTGAGTACTATCAACACCAAGTTTAAACATGTACATAACAGTTTACCCCTGACCAACTAATAGACCCACCTGTAAATACTTTATAAGCATGATAAACACTGAGTACTATCAACACCAAGTTTAAACATGTACATAACAGTTTACCCCTGACCAACTAATAGACCCACCTGTAAATACTTAATAAGCATGATAAACACTGACTACTATCAATACCAAGTTTAAACATGTACATAACAGTTACCCCTGACCAACTAATAGACCCACCTGTAAATACTTTATAAGCATGATAAACACTGAGTACTATCAACACCAAGTTTAAACATGTACATAACAGTTTACCCCTGACCAACTAATAGACCCACCTGTAAATACTTTATAAGCATGATAAACACTGAGTACTATCAATACCAAGTTTAAACATGTACATAACAGTTTACCCCTGACCAACTAATAGACCCACCTGTAAATACTTTATAAGCATGATAAACACTGAGTACTATCAATACCAAGTTTAAACATGTACATAACAGTCTGTAATGTCTTGTGCATACTATAGATTTCTGGCGGCATAGAGGTGCAATTATTCTTTCAGTTGTATTGACGATAGAACTGAGCCTGTTCTCCACTGTAAAATACATGTAAACAGGGAAATGATAAGCAGCTTCACATTGACAGATTACAAACCTGTACCAGACTCCAAGGCTGCCATTGAAATGTGGAAGGAGCGCTCCACAGTCTGTGTGTAGCGTTTACCGCCATCTAGAGTCACACCTGAAATAACAAATGTACTATGAAGCTACCCATACTGTACTACTGAGGTAAAGTCTGTAAACAAAACTCTGGGAATAAAAACATGTCACAATGAACCTTCAACTGTCTCAAGATAATGTCTATGTTACCACCAGCTGCTCAGCCAAAACAAATCAACTACGTTTGTCATTTCATTACCATGACTATCGGTTTAATGTTTCTGAATCCTGATATTGGTTTTAGCATTATTCTGCATATAGTAAGAAAACTTGATCACTGCCACTGTTGTATTGAGGTTGCATGTCTCTTCACCATTCTGATAGAGATATACTGACAAAGGAAAGTTAGCATGGTTAGTAGGAAGGACACATGGATCAACATATTATCAAGGGCAGCCTGTGTTTAACCGTTGATAGGGGATAGTAGTGTGAAATGAGAGTTCATGTATTAGCCATGACATAATCACTGAAGGTTTGTTGTCAACACATGGTCTATAGATGTGTACCCCAGGTACCTATTGCTACAAAGGAATGTAGCATAACCAATATAAAAATTCAGAACAGTTGCCTAGTCCTGTATTCCTCAAACCCAAACTTGTTCATGTTGGTCAGTTTGATATGCTGTGCATCAAAGGAGATGAAGACATTTTCCCCTTTTAGAGGAAGAAATGAGGAATGCATACTAACGTGTTGGCTTTTGCAATTTTGGCACACACAGAGAGTTCAGCCACTTTAGTACCTGTTTAGATTAGACCAATCCCAGGGTACTGATTGGTGACCTCATTTTCATTAGCGTATATTTCTGTCTACCAAAAACTACCCGACTTACATATCTGTGGTATATGTACTAGTAATGACCGGAGTTGTTCTGATTCTATTTCAACATTGAACCACTGAAACAATCTTCATGTTTCACATCAATTTGGGCAAGGCTTCAACTTTGCCTGATGTACTTCTTCACTTCGTCTGATCAAAGGATATTTCACAGGCAGATAACAACAACAAACAGTTCATGATTTACAAGGCCAAAGGTGATATTTCAACTGGTCATAAGGGTCTCCAAGCCACATCATGTTAAAATGAACATGGCTAAAATATAATTTGGGTTGGTAGAAATTAAATAATTCTTTTAGATAGTTTTCCCACACATTACTGTTTATAATGAGGAGTGATGGACAGCAAATGGAGCAAATTTCGACGACTTAATATTTTCTAATTTCGTTTACATTTACATTTTAAATCACATGTGTGTATATTCGTCATATATTTGAACCAACGTTTCTTCCAATGACCCAAGAAAAGCCTTCACATTTCTACATATCACAATAGGTGTTACGTGAACCAGTCCACGTGTTAGACACCCTTCTACCTATCCGATATTGTACATCTACAGTAGATCTACCAAACACTTTCGGGTTAAACTGAAAACATATCAACTGAGATGTGGTTACTGAATCTAAATGCAAAGTGAGAATGATGTTTCACAATAAGAGCAAAACCACGCGGCAAATCAGCATTTCTACGAGCCAGAGCTGATGTGTATTGACTCGGAAACCCACGTGGTGTTCCTGATCATAAACATAGACACTCCTCAACACACTATAAACATTGACATGCATATGTCTCGCATGGAAAACGACAGTTCCTGAGAACTTGACAGAAACATAAATAAACCATTCGATATTTATCACGATCTTACCCCAAAACATGTTCTGAACGTCTCTTAACTTCACCATTAGATTTAAACTTGTGTCTTCCCCTGACCGCAAACTGGTCTGTATGCACATCCGGTTAATGTCGTAAATGTGGACGCCGAAGTTTGGGAAGTATCAGCCCGGCGCAGTGATAACTTATAGCCTGTTTGCAGTGAAAACGTATATGAGGATTCGCAATCTTAATTTCACTTTATTCATTTTACTTTTTTGTTTAGAGTGAAATTCATCGGTACGTTTTTTACTGCAAACAGACTATAAACCAATAGTGCTAGGGAGCAGGGCAGCAGTTAGCCTTGCTCCAAGGCTGTACTGGCAAGTCTAGATAAGCGGACAGCACCAGTCTGTTAGAGATTATATTTTTAGAAATTATCATTTACACTATAAATTATTAACGCAGACACTTGTGCAAGTTTAGAGACCATTGTAAAAAGTGTAACTGGTTATGTTAGTTTTAAACCCGATTCATTAAAAAAAATAACAATAATATTGTTTTCCTTTCCTTACTTTCTGGTAAAACAATGTTTCAACTATGTTTTAAAACTAAAGAAAAATGGCTATCACTGTTGATATTCAGATACGTTTTACCATTTCAGTCTCTATTCGCCTACATCTCAATTCGCCTACAAAAACAAAGAGGATTAGTGCATCCACTGAGAAGTTAAAACAGGGTTAAAATAAAATGACAGGGATTAATGCATGCGATGATGAGATGTAGTTAATTTCTCACTGTGAAATACTAAGTTGTTATAAGGATATGTAGTTGAGTAAAGAGGATGCATTTAGAAGTTCAAACACGGTTATAATATAATGAACAAGCTAAATTGTAAAAGCAACGATGACATGTAGTTAATTTCTCACTGTAAATTACTCAGTTCTCTGCTACTAATAGGCTTTAAAACTTAACCCTTTAAAATGGAGCGTTCGCCAAGCACTGATAGTCACAATGGCTCACCTGCAGAGGGCAGAGTTCATCTTGTCTCAGAGAGGAGGAAGACAGGTACTACATGATGGCCACAAGTATCGACTGAATGTTGTGAGACAGGTTGCCACACACTGGAAGTGCGTCATAAATAAGCCGACGTCTTACATCTTGAATATTGCCGCGCGACGCGTCAAACAACCAACCAATCAACATAAGCATTTGGAATGTGTATAGTACTACCCTATACGGTAATTTAAGTTTGATGAGAAGGCCGATATTGAACAGCTACTCGGTAGAGTATTTTATAAGTTCAAACATATTTATTTTCTTAAGTCAACCGTGAGAGCAGGACAATATATATGATGATAGATGACTATATATGTCGAATTTTTCATATGCAGATATATTTTTATCAAGTGGTGAATAATTTCAAATTTAAAGGTCACATGCAACCAAAAAAATCAAACATAATTAAAACACAATTATCACTTATTCATGACATATAATATACATTGCTGGTTATGAAAAAACATATAAACAAAATTATAAGCGTACAATCGCAAATCAAAAGTGCAATATTGTGTACTTCGGTTGACTTCCCAAGAAACGAAGCAGCCAGGATACCGAACCCAGTCAGAGCGGGTGGGTGTGCACTCAAGTGTAACGGCTGGTTCATTAGCAGATGCCGCCTTCACGGCTCAATGTGTGTGTATATATAGAGATGTTGGGTTTTGTAAATACATGCTCATTTTTTGTGTATAACATTTTGCAATCAACAGACATCATAACATGTCATGTGTTCAAGTGTCACACCTGCCTGTCTGTGTAATTACATAATGTGACAGAGACCGAACTCGGGCCATAAATCAATGCATTTTGTTTATGGTGTATAGCCTGATTGGTGTTAAGTTTAAATTGCATGTGGTCAGTGACAGCAGCTGTGTATTGAATATTGTCATTAGCAGACAGGCAGGCAGACACACAAGTGTCAATAAAACAAGACATTGAGTTTTGTCTGTGACAACGACATATCTATATCACAGTTAGAAATTCTGTCAACGCTAAATAATGACAATGCTTTTTAAGTATCGAACTGAGAAAGTGACTCGGTAAGAAGAACGTGTGGTGAAATTATATAAACAGTTAATTTACTGTCATAACATATAAAAAGCTCGCGCCTGTGAGATATCAACAAAACATTAGAAAAATAGCTCACACCAAAGCCTTCACCGAGTATTCACCGGACAACCCACTTCCAAGCTGCGCGAACCTATTTCACTGCGCACATGCTATGAGCGCAGCCCAGCTGTTGAAACCCGTTTTCCCCAGAAAAGTCTGGGGAAAATGAGTGAAACGTTTGAACTCCGATTTCGCGCGTTTTTTTTCATCGCGTTATTTTTCAACTTTATAAGTTGAATTTGCATTTTTGACGATTTGTTTCGGTAAGTCCATACCGAAAGGTATCAGAATCTGCAAAGTTGTGTTTTACGTTGCATGTGACCTTTAAACAGTGCGCATATTAAGCAACGGTTCCCTTGGGCCGACGCTTGTGTCCAGAAGTGTCTGCTTGTGGATGAATTTGTGCTGGAGATGGGCAGACACACTAGTACAAAATATTAGCGAAAACCCCATATCTCAATATTCATAACAACGTTTTTCGTAAAGCAGAATCCATATTGTATCATACCGACTATATGTTACGATCATTTGTTTGTGAATCGCTGTAGAATAGTGACGGTAGCAAGTGTTTGCGAACAGGCCGCCTCAAGAGTCGCTCCCGTCCAGTAAGTCATAAGCTTGTGAGTTGTTCCTTGGAAAACAAACACGGAACATACGGTGCAGTTAACTCAAAATAGTATACTGCACGTGGCACCACCATAACACACATTCAGGGCACAGTAACCTCGCAAGTGATGACCATAATACACATTCAGGGCACAGTAACTTCGCAAGTGATGACCATAACACACATTCAGGGCACAGTAACCTCGCAAGTGATGCAGCACAAAACCAATAGTTTCGGAACTGGCTTCATTATTCGGATGTCTGTCTTGACCAACAACAGACCCGCAAACGAGCAGTCCTGGGAGGGTCCCGTAAAATCATTCCAAATACACAATTTTTGTGTGATAGTTGAAGTTTGTTACGCGTATCGCTGTTAAAGTAAATTATTACCAGATGAACACAAACGCACACAGACCATTTTCACGTGACAATAATTACTGCGTCAGTCGGGATGGAACCCCTTCTACACTGTGCAGGAAAACAGAAGGTCCGAGGGTGATTTTTAAACCAAAACGCTGAAGTGAGGCGGCGGTAAAATATATCCCCATGGCGAAACGTACATAATCCGCTCGTGGTTATTCATCTGGCAAGATAACGTGTACAGGCTACTGCGTATTCGGGGAGGTATACTTCACTTGAAGTCGAAAATACCGCACATAACGCATACAACGCTACAACATATACACAAGTAATACTGTAGATACCTGCATCAAACAAACTACTTCGTCTCTGGCCTCGCACGTCAATCGAATACTGTGAGAGTTGCGTCCCCTTGACCATATGTCATCGGCTGTCCCAATAAGGGCTGCAGGGTATCCGATAAAACCTTAAGTGGTCAGTGTGGCAACATTTGTTCTTGTTATATAGAAACAGGCCCAGGCCTCCCAATTCTACGAAAGTAGAATCATGACATGTACACACATCTGTACGAAGATACTGGACCTGTACTGCAGCAAACGTACTGAATTCAAATAAAATACGATCTATTTTCAATACCATTTCTCTTGCCAGATACCGTAAGAGGCGACTAACGGTATCGGCAAGTCAGGCTCGTTGACTTGGGTGACACGTGTCCCAATTGCGTAGATCGATGTTCATGCTGTTGATCACTGGGTTGTCTGGTCTGGACTCGATTACGTACAGACCGCCGATATAGCTGGAATATTGCTGAGCACGACGAAAAGCCACAAACACACTCTAGTCAGATACGGGTACCAGATGGTGAGGGAATGAAGGTCTTCATCAGTGTGTACAGCAGCAAATGTATTGTCCTAAACTCCAGTACGACCTATCGCCAAGACGGTTTCAACAGTGCGTGTAAACTATTCAGATAAGGGTACCAGATGGTGAGGGAATGAAGGTCTTCATCAGTGTGTATAGGAGCAAGTGTATTGTCCTAAACTCCAGTACGACCTATCGCCAAGACGGTTTCAACAGTGCCTGTGAACTAGTCAGATACGGGTACCAGATGGTGAGGGAAGGTAGGTCTTCATCAGTGTGTATAGGAGCAAGTGTATTGTCCTAAACTTCAGTACGACCTATCGTTAAGCGTTGGCTTGTCACGCCGAAGATTTAAACAGTGCGCATATTAAGCAACGGTTCCCTTGGGCCGACGCTTGTGTCCAGAAGTGTCTGCTTGTGGATGAATTTGTGCTGGAGATGGGCAGACACACTAGTACAAAATATTAGCGAAAACCCCATATCTCAATATTCATAACAACGTTTTTCGTAAAGCAGAATCCATATTGTATCATACCGACTATATGTTACGATCATTTGTTTGTGAATCGCTGTAGAATAGTGACGGTAGCAAGTGTTTGCGAACAGGCCACCTCAAGAGTCGCTCCCGTCCAGTAAGTCATAAGCTTGTGAGTTGTTCTTGGAAAACAAACACGGAACATACGGTGCACTTGGAAAACAAACACGGAACATACACAGTGCAAGTGATGACCATAAATTCAAAATCGCAAGTATACACATTCAGGGCACGTGGCTCCACCATAATACACATTCAGGGCACAGTAACCTCGCAAGTGATGACCATAATACACATTCAGGGCACAGTAACCTCGCAAGTGATGACCATAATACACATTCAGGGCACAGTAACCTCGCAAGTGATGCAGCACAAAACCATTAGGGCACAGAACTGGCTTCACTGGCTTCATTATTCGGATGTCGGTCTTGACCAACAACAGACCCGCAAACGAGCAGTCCTGGGAGGGTCCCGTAAAATCATTCCAAATACACAATTTTTGTGTGATAGTTGAAGTTTGTTACGCGTATCGCTGTTAGAGTAAATTATTACCAGATGAACACAAACGCACACAGACCATTTTCACGTGACAATAATTACTGCGTCAGTCGGGATGGAACCCCTTCTACACTGT